AGCCAGTGTCGGTTAAACTCTGAAGAAGCCCGCGGGATGATTGTCAAAACGTCATCGAGTTGGATTCATCAACAACTGGCGCAACTGTTTCAAAGTTTCTTTGAAAAATTATAATCTAGGAGGAACAGGAATCCAGAAGATCAAACGAATCAAAACTTGATATTCATGAAATAATTCAAGAAAATAAATGTATATTCCCGATCAAATACAAACTGAACGAGGCACCTTACCATCCTCAATTGAATCCCAGAGAAAAAATAAGTTAAAAACTGAGTTGCAAGCAGAAACTTCACATTTAAGTTGCCCAATGTAGAACATCTGGCGAGGAAACAAATTTTCTTTGACAATGACGTCAACATACTCTTTACTAAATTACTCGAATTGAACATTTTACCAATACGAGAATCAGTCAACCGAGACAATAACCGCGCCCTTTCTTTAGCCCCGCCCCTTTCAAACCGTATATAAGCGGATACCGAGTAGCACGCTAATCAGTTTCGGTTAAACTCTGAAGAAGCCCGCGGGATGATTGTCAAAACGTCATCGAGTTGGATTCATCAACAACTGGCGCAACTGTTTCAAAGTTTCTTTGAAAAATTATAATCTAGGAGGAACAGGAATCCAGAAGATCAAACGAATCAAAACTTGATATTCATGTAATAATTCAAGAAAATAAATGTATATTCCCGGTCAAATACAAACTGAACGAGGCACCTTACCATCCTCAATTGAATCCCAGAAAAAAATAAGTTAAAAACTGAGTTGCAAGTAGAAACGTCACATTTAAGTTGCCCAATGTAGAACATCTGGCGAGGAAAAAATTTTCACTGACAATGACGTCAACATACTGTTTACTAAATTACTCGAATTGAACATTTTACCAATACGAGAATCGGTCAATCGAGACAATAACCGCGCCCTCTCCTTAGCCCCGCCCCTTTCAAACCGTATATAAGCGGGTACCGAGTAGAACGCTAGCCAGTGTCGGTTAAACTCTGAAGAAGCCCGCGGGATGATTGTCAAAACGTCATCGAGTTGGATTCATCAACAACTGGCGCAACTGTTTCAAAGTTTCTTTGAAAAATTATAATCTAGGAGGAACAGGAATCCAGAAGATCAAACGAATCAAAACTTGATATTCATGTAATAATTCAAGAAAATAAATGTATATTCCCGGTCAAATACAAACTGAACGAGGCACCTTACCATCCTCAATTGAATCCCAGAGAAAAAATAAGTTAAAAACTGAGTTGCAAGCAGAAACTTCACATTTAAGTTGCCCAATGTAGAACATCTGGCGAGGAAAAAATTTTCACTGACAATGACGTCAACATACTCTTTACTAAATTACTCGAATTGAACATTTTACCAATACGAGAATCAGTCAACCGAGACAATAACCCCGCCCTCTCCTTAGCCCCGCCCCTTTCAAACCGTGTATAAGCGGGTACCGAGTAGAACGCTAGCCAGTGTCGGTTAAACTCTGAAGAAGCCCGCGGGATGATTGTCAAAACGTCATCGAGTTGGATTCATCAACAACTGGCGCAACTGTTTCAAAGTTTCTTTGAAAAATTATAATCTAGGAGGAACAGGAATCCAGAAGATCAAACGAATCAAAACTTGATATTCATGAAATAATTCAAGAAAATAAATGTATATTCCCGATCAAATACAAACTGAACGAGGCACCTTACCATCCTCAATTGAATCCCAGAAAAAAATAAGTTAAAAACTGAGTTGCAAGGAGAAACGTCACATTTAAGTTGCCCAATGTAGAACATCTGGCGAGGAAAAAATTTTCACTGACAATGACGTCAACATACTCTTTACTAAATTACTCGAATTGAACATTTTACCAATACGAGAATCGGTCAACCGAGACAATAACCGCGCCCTCTACTTAGCCCCGCCCCTTTCAAACCGTATATAAGCGGGTACCGAGTAGAACGCTAGCCAGTGTCGGTTAAACTCTGAAGAAGCCCGCGGGATGATTGTCAAAACGTCATCGAGTTGGATTCATCAACAACTGGCGCAACTGTTTCAAAGTTTCTTTGAAAAATTATAATCTAGGAGGAACAGGAATCCAGAAGATCAAACGAATCAAAACTTGATATTCATGAAATAATTCAAGAAAATAAATGTATATTCCCGATCAAATACAAACTGAACGAGGCACCTTACCATCCTCAATTGAATCCCAGAAAAAAATAAGTTAAAAACTGAGTTGCAAGGAGAAACGTCACATTTAAGTTGCCCAATGTAGAACATCTGGCGAGGAAAAAATTTTCACTGACAATGACGTCAACATACTCTTTACTAAATTACTCGAATTGAACATTTTACCAATACGAGAATCGGTCAACCGAGACAATAACCGCGCCCTCTACTTAGCCCCGCCCCTTTCAAACCGTATATAAGCGGGTACCGAGTAGAACGCTAGCCAGTGTCGGTTAAACTCTGAAGAAGCCCGCGGGATGATTGTCAAAACGTCATCGAGTTGGATTCATCAACAACTGGCGCAACTGTTTCAAAGTTTCTTTGAAAAATTATAATCTAGGAGGAACAGGAATCCAGAAGATCAAACGAACCAAAACTTGATATTCATGAAATAATTCAAGAAAATAAATGTATATTCCCGGTCAAATACAAACTGAACGAGGCACCTTACCATCCTCAATTGAATCCCAGAAAAAAATAAGTTAAAAACTGAGTTGCAAGCAGAAACTTCACATTTAAGTTGCCCAATGTAGAACATCTGGCGAGGAAAAAATTTTCACTGACAATGACGTCAACATACTCTTTACTAAATTACTCGAATTGAACATTTTACCAATATGAGAATCGGTCAACCGAGACAATAACCGCGCCCTCTCCTTAGCCCCGCCCCTTTCAAACCGTATATAAGCGGATACCGAGTAGCACGCTAATCAGTTTCGGTTAAACTCTGAAGAAGCCCGCGGGATGATTGTCAAAACGTCATCGAGTTGGATTCATCAACAACTGGCGCAACTGTTTCAAAGTTTCTTTGAAAAATTATAATCTAGGAGGAACAGGAATCCAGAAGATCAAACGAACCAAAACTTGATATTCATGAAATAATTCAAGAAAATAAATGTATATTCCCGGTCAAATACAAACTGAACGAGGCACCTTACCATCCTCAATTGAATCCCAGAAAAAAATAAGTTAAAAACTGAGTTGCAAGGAGAAACGTCACATTTAAGTTGCCCAATGTAGAACATCTGGCGAGGAAAAAATTTTCACTGACAATGACGTCAACATACTCTTTACTAAATTACTCGAATTGAACATTTTACCAATACGAGAATCGGTCAACCGAGACAATAACCGCGCCCTCTACTTAGCCCCGCCCCTTTCAAACCGTATATAAGCGGGTACCGAGTAGAACGCTAGCCAGTGTCGGTTAAACTCTGAAGAAGCCCGCGGGATGATTGTCAAAACGTCATCGAGTTGGATTCATCAACAACTGGCGCAACTGTTTCAAAGTTTCTTTGAAAAATTATAATCTAGGAGGAACAGGAATCCAGAAGATCAAACGAACCAAAACTTGATATTCATGAAATAATTCAAGAAAATAAATGTATATTCCCGGTCAAATACAAACTGAACGAGGCACCTTACCATCCTCAATTGAATCCCAGAAAAAAATAAGTTAAAAACTGAGTTGCAAGGAGAAACGTCACATTTAAGTTGCCCAATGTAGAACATCTGGCGAGGAAAAAATTTTCACTGACAATGACGTCAACATACTCTTTACTAAATTACTCGAATTGAACATTTTACCAATACGAGAATCGGTCAACCGAGACAATAACCGCGCCCTCTACTTAGCCCCGCCCCTTTCAAACCGTATATAAGCGGGTACCGAGTAGAACGCTAGCCAGTGTCGGTTAAACTCTGAAGAAGCCCGCGGGATGATTGTCAAAACGTCATCGAGTTGGATTCATCAACAACTGGCGCAACTGTTTCAAAGTTTCTTTGAAAAATTATAATCTAGGAGGAACAGGAATCCAGAAGATCAAACGAACCAAAACTTGATATTCATGAAATAATTCAAGAAAATAAATGTATATTCCCGGTCAAATACAAACTGAACGAGGCACCTTACCATCCTCAATTGAATCCCAGAAAAAAATAAGTTAAAAACTGAGTTGCAAGGAGAAACGTCACATTTAAGTTGCCCAATGTAGAACATCTGGCGAGGAAAAAATTTTCACTGACAATGACGTCAACATACTGTTTACTAAATTACTCGAATTGAACATTTTACCAATACGAGAATCGGTCAACCGAGACAATAACCGCGCCCTCTACTTAGCCCCGCCCCTTTCAAACCGTATATAAGCGGGTACCGAGTAGAACGCTAGCCAGTGTCGGATAAACTCTGAAGAAGCCCGCGGGATGATTGTCAAAACGTCATCGAGTTGGATTCATCAACAACTGGCGCAACTGTTTCAAAGTTTCTTTGAAAAATTATAATCTAGGAGGAACAGGAATCCAGAAGATCAAACGAACCAAAACTTGATATTCATGAAATAATTCAAGAAAATAAATGTATATTCCCGGTCAAATACAAACTGAACGAGGCACCTTACCATCCTCAATTGAATCCCAGAAAAAAATAAGTTAAAAACTGAGTTGCAAGGAGAAACGTCACATTTAAGTTGCCCAATGTAGAACATCTGGCGAGGAAAAAATTTTCACTGACAATGACGTCAACATACTCTTTACTAAATTACTCGAATTGAACATTTTACCAATATGAGAATCGGTCAACCGAGACAATAACCGCGCCCTCTCCTTAGCCCCGCCCCTTTCAAACCGTATATAAGCGGGTACCGAGTAGAACGCTAGCCAGTGTCGGTTAAACTCTGAAGAAGCCCGCGGGATGATTGTCAAAACGTCATCGAGTTGGATTCATCAACAACTGGCGCAACTGTCGAAAAATTCTAACATTCTTTTACCCTAACCACACTTACGTGCCAGTGTTCCGCGAACTGTTCCATTATCAGAGATATGGTCGGTGCCTCGCCCGGCAACCGGAACGTCTCCAGGAAACTTCTCAGGGCCTCGTCGATTCTCACCCCGGCGAAATCGAACGTTTTCACAAACGCGTCCAGAATCGCTAGGTTGTTTCTATTGCCGATGTACTCCCCGATCATTTTCTTGTCCAACGCCGGATTCTCCCTGAGGAACAGCGCTATCTCGCGGAAATCAGTGTCCGATTTCAGCACGCCGTGCTCCTGAAGAAACTGCACGCCCTTTTTCGGTTTGGCGTTGAAATATTCGGTACCTTGAGGGAGCCACTGAAACGAGGCGAGCTAGTTTTCGCACCTGGAACCGTTCCGCTTACCTTTTTGATGTTCTTTTTCGCTAGTAACCGTTCCAAAGGGGGCACGTTCTCGGAAAACCTAATTCGGCCGCAGTTTTCGGCGAATTTATTTGCGGTTCCTGGTGCAAAGTTTCCGCCCTTCGATTCGCAGCAATGCGTTTCTATGCCTACGAGATATCACGGAGTTCTACATACCGCAGTGTCCAATGATTACTGTACCTTCTATCACGGTCAATAAAGCGTCCAAAGATAACAAATGGGTCTGATAAATGCCGTTTGTCGCGGAAAAAGCGTTTTTCGCTAATAACTTCGTAAGATCTTCGTAGAGATTGGTACAATATATATCCGAATCGTAATTAATGTATAGCTCGTTGACGAAGCCCGGTATCCTCCAAAGCTGAAGGATATTATCCAGTGCGATCTCCTTATGCTCGTAAGTAACCTAAAAGCAATTAATATAGGCAAATAATCACGTTTAATTTAATTGAAATCTTCACCTTTAACGATTCACTAATTATTATATCAATCAGGCGGGTCAGGTAACATTCCATTTGAAATTTCAGATGGGTTCGAAGCGACTCGAACATCAAGAAACAAACTTGAAGGTCCGCGGCGAATATCGAAAGCCTTTCGGAGTTCAAGAGCTGAAAAGAATATCGGCAACGGTTGTTCGCTGTTACCGAAACCATTAACTCACCGAAAATAAATTCCTGCACAGTTCGTCCTTGACCAGGGTTAACAAAGCGGGGTGCTTTCCGATGCTATCGGCACCCACTTCGAAAGCGACCGTTAATAAGCTCAGCCCTAGATGGATCATAACCTCGGTGTTTTGCTTCTCGTTGGGATTGCAAAGGCTTATCAGAAATCTAAGGAGCGGATTGTTGTTAAAAAGGGCCGATAATGGAAATAGATTTTTTTTACCGCAGGAGCTCCCTCACGCAAGCCAGACCATAGGGTAGTAAAATAACATCATCTTTCATCTGCGGCGTGAACCTAATACCTCGTTCGTTGACGTATTCCTTGTTCGACTCGGACGATTCGACAGGCATGGAATTGGATCTGGAAACGATCGCTCGCGATTCTCCTATATTTTCGCTCGAGTTTGTAACATTTTCCACAGTTTTATCTTCCTAAAATAATTTATAATTTTTTTGTATTAAAAAAAAAAAAATGCAATGTTACCTCTGCATTGGAAATTTCTGTCAATAGCTCGAAATTAACTTTGTGGGGCTCCTCATTATCCTCAGTGATTAAAGGGCCATCAGCTGGATCGACCTTAGAATTGGAATCCTGAGATATTGAACCTTGCATATCTACTATATTTTTTTGTAGGGTCATAGAATCCCCAGAAACGCTTTTCACCACATTGTCGACCTTGGCAACTGAAGCCTTAGCGGCACTGATGTCACCCCCATCTACGAAAACACCACGCTAATGCCTTGCACAAATACTCCAATCAAATTACTAATACCCTTGTCTACTTTCCGAAACGAAGATCGGTGCTTTCTTTTCGTCCTCGTCTGATCCATAGCTCCGGGTTTCATTTTCAACTGCTTTATAACCACGGTCCTAATATCATCCGAAAACTGAGGTAACCTCATAAATACGAGTTGAACCATATCTTTCAAGTAGTGTTCTGCTGTTTTTTTTAATAATTCTACAAATTATTAAACCACAAATAGCGTGCCTGTATATAAATGCCTTTACTACCGTGTATCCGAGTTTCGAAGCATATTCTAAAACACGATAGCATTATTTCACATAAACTTTCATTGGTAAGCATTGTTCCTTCAGGCGCTAACGTTAAAGTCCGTAGAACTTGCAAAATTCGCATTAAAACTACCCCGTCTGAAGAATGGTCGGTTCCGACGAACCTTGCGTGAGTAACCGCGTCCGCTATTTTGTGAACTGTCTGAGGGACGCAGCTACGCGTCGGATCTGAAGCAAAGTCCATTTTTCGAAAAATTTTACACTCGTATGCTAGGATCGCGCACCTATGAGACCATACGATAGAAACTTATTGACAGCTGCTAGAGCCAAACTTGTAACAGGTCCTGTGGTTTCTTCCGAGCGGATCACATCAAGAAACGGCGACAAAAATATATCTGGCTCGATCAGCCTCAGATCGTCAATTTTGCTCAGGATCCCCTTTAAATCTTGAAAATTGCGCGTTAACCCTTCAACATCTTGATCTTGGTAAGAGTGAGAGGACCATCGGGATCCCCGACGAATAGCAGTTATCAAAATGGTTAGCTCGCCTTTGACGACAAATATTCCATTACCGGGTAGAGTCATTTTCAATTATTTGGTTTTATTTTATTAACAGAATGTTTACATTTCTAATAATAGAGGAACACGTCTACATTTATTTATCTGTTGTCGGTCAGTCAATAACCTGTCAGGCATAGATTAACTTCTTATTCATACTCGTCTTACCACCACGTTGGACATAAATGCTCGGATCATTCGCTCATTACTGAGGCATAGATTTGGGGGAAAATAATATAATGTATAAATAATATAAATATATTATTGCTCATTTAGGCTAGATTACTAAAATGAAGCGCCTATTGTCTTACAACTTGTGAGCTGAGAATAAAAAGGAAAATTATTGGGCTGCCTTGGAAAACCCAACTGGCGTTGGGTGAGTTTTTGACACTTGTACCTTCATTCTTCACGGCTAAGAAGAAGAAGTTTATGTTTTCTTCATCCGTGGGAAATTAGGTTAAATTATTTTGAGTGGCTTGTTTAACAGGGTTTGTTATGTTCCGAGTATTAGGACGTATTTAATGACATGGCATGTAAAAAAATGTAAACGATCAACGAGTTAAAAGTAATCCGTCGTCAGAAAACTATCTTTTGGAAATTGTGTAAAATGCCTAATACTATTTTGGAATGTTGTTTTGCTATCGACGGTTTTGTACATCGAATAACATATTCTTAATCGTTGCGTTGCTTTTGACGGCGGGATTTATATACCACTTTGAATTGCTGTACAACAATCGCCAAAGAAATCTGCGGTTTGCTGATTACAGTCTCAGAGTAAGTGTTTCAAATTTGCAATCGAATTGGCTGAGAACCCACAAAGTACACATTAAATTTCTTACAGATTAATGAACTGACTGATACAATGAACAAAATAGAGAAGTTGGCTGTCATAACCTCAGACACCATCGACAAATTACACAACAAACTTGAGCAAATGTCAAAAGCAAAACGTAAAAAGTGGAGTTGACCCCGCTTCGCTTACATTTATGAGACGGTGGTACTTGGAATCTCGTACGGCATCCCCTTGACTTTTTGGCTCGATGGCTTTTTCTTCCACTCAAAGGTATTTTATTTCAATCGAAAGGAAAAGTGTCAGTGTAACAAAAAACGCACAAAGTCTTTTTATAAGGCTAGATAATTAACGAGGGTGATCAGTACAATTAACATAAAGTTTTCTTTTTGCTAATTGAAATAATAAAAATCAAAATTTTAAAGACTGGTCCCAAACCGAAAATTAATTGGGGTTTGCACAATACTAGTCAGATTGGCATTTTCTTCAAATATAGCAGCTTGGAGGGGATAACTAATATCAGATACTTGTTTTTCGTTATTTATTCCCTTCAATCTTTTATTGTTGCATGTTGTTTTATTATTAATACTGTTAAATCTGTTATTAAATTTTATAACTTTTTTTCTCCCAGCGGAAATGGAGATTATTAAGTTGCACATCAGGGTTTCGAAAATGTTTATTATTTTATTGCTATATATTGTAAATTAATTTTGTATTTGGAGTGTTATATTGTTTTTGTTGTGACCTAACATACTTTTAAGACGATTAAACGAGATTTCCCAGTAATATCTGTCCTTAAATGATATTTATCATTTGTGGAAAGATATTTTCGGTTATCTTTGTTGTTTGTGGCACCACATTAAAACCAAACCAGTCAGCCAATGATATCGACCATAGTTTCCCTTTAATGTTTATGTAAAGCAAAGTAAGTGAATTAAAAAAATATTTTTAATATTTCTTTTTTTAACACTAGACATAATTATTAAGGCCCAAACATTGAGGGTTATCTTTAAAAGTCCCCTTGTCTTCTAAAACCGCATGAGGGGCACATAACCACGGATCGTCCGTCTCCTTTTGCCAGTCCCAAAGTCTTTTTTTCAATTCTTGAAGTGTTTGTTGCATACTGGACTTCTGTGCCAAATTATCCAGTTCTTCCGGATCGTACTTTAGATCGAACAACTCCCACTCCTCCCGTTTGTAGTACTGCCCCAAGGTTTTATACCACCGCAGACTTTCATTGTTTCTGGTTCTGTTTAACATGTCCTAAACAATTTTTTAAGCAATTTACAATTGTGTCGCTATATATACTATACGAGTAATTACCTGGAAAGTGGGCGACAAATAAAAATCTTGATCTATAGGAAACGAGCTTTCGTAATTCAAATTATGTATCAGTTTGTACCGTTGGGTTCTGATCATTCGCATGGGGTAATACATAGTGATTTCGTGCGAGTTGTGGCTGCCAAACACCGCCTCTTTCGTTTTGTCATCGGGTTCTAAAAATCGTGTTATGCAAAAGTTGTTTCCAATCACAGGGCGTTTGCATTTTCGTGGGCGAACAACAACTGCCTTATTGCATTTTTTTTGGTAGAACTTTCTAAACATAGTTTACATACGGTGGCCCCCTTTGAGTTTTTGTACCCCGATGAAACTTGGCGTGCACGTATAATATTTAAAATGCGTAATTTTTGACATAAAAATAATATGTCAAAATCAAAAGTTTTTTCACGTTCCATTCGCGTATCAATCTTGAAAACGTTTTTGCAAGACGAAAAATTAAACAAATCCATTTTTAATTACAATACAAATTCAAAGGTTGCGTGTGAATAAGTCATTAGAAAGAGCCACGTCATGTTAGATTACTTTGACAGACTTTATTATTGTCAAAATGCACCTCGAAGATTTAATAAAATAGTTGATATAATAATGAAAGTAGTTACTTTTGCATTTAAGCTACGGTTAAGTAATAGAAAAGTAGTAAAACAAACAGAACAAAATTATTACGCGAATAGAACGGGAAAAACCCTTAAAAAGAGGTGTCACATGATCCCTTTACCATAAAAAACTTAAAATGTCATTTTGACATTTTAAGATATTGCTTTATGTCAAAAATTAGACATGTCAAATATATACTTGGGTGCCAATTTCAATATTCTGTAATTGTCTTACCGTTTTTGACATCTTTTTTATTTTATGTCAAAAGTGACATTCGTAGCTCCAAATATATCTATTTCTCTGACAGTAAGCATTTGTATTTCGAAATGATTTCCTTATTTTAGTGGCCTATATTGAAATTTTCAAAAATTTATAAATACAGAGTGGGCAAAAACTAACACGTCATTTTGACATTTTGAGATATTGTTTTTATGTCAAAAATTACACATGTCAATTATATACGTGCATGCCAAATTTACTCGCGCTATATACAAGAGTACAAGAAATAAAAGCGGGAACCGCATAATATTCTGTAACTAAGTTTTACCGTTTTTGACATATTTTGACATATTTTGAAGTTTATGTCAAAGCGACATTCGCAGTTCCAGATATATCTATTTTCCTGACTGTAAACATTTGTATTTCAAAATGATTTACCACTTTAGTGGCCTGTATTGAAATTTTAAAAATTAATAAATACTGAGTGACCAAAAACTAACATTAAAAATTTAAATAGAAAAATCGTAAGACAACGCTTCATTTTAATATTTTTATACGGACTAATACAAAAATTTCGGAACTACTGGCAATAAAATGCCAATATGTACCTTTGATCAATAACGGCAGCAGACTTTTTCCGCTCAATCTTCTCTGGGAGTCTATGTCGTTGGATTCTTCGGCAACAGTTTGGTTTTGTTTAATCCCGAACCAATCGAGCAAAGTAGGTGTAACGTCGAGTAAGCTGGTCAAAGAATTTGTAATTTCGTTCCTTCGTTCTGTATGTAAAGGAGATGAAATGAGCATTGGTTCGGCCACCCCGGAATCATAAAAGTTGGTACGTCCGTTGGGGAAGGGAATGCCATTGTCTGAAGTGTATATAATGATGGTGTCTTTTAAGCGACCGGCGTCCTCTAATTCCTTGACTATGAGGCCCACGCCTGAAGAGAAACGGTGAAAACTAACCGGGAAATCATGAACGATACCCTACCCTGGTCAAGCCTGGATATAGTTGTATATTGGGCAGCGACGTCTCTCCTAGCGGGCTCTGTATCCGGCACGTAATACGGCAATTCTATTTCATCCCACTGGTAGTAAATGGGTTGCCAATCGGGAATCATCCCCATGCCTTCGTCGCCGTTGCCAAACCTTTGACAGAATTCGCCGTACTCTGGATTAGTGTGACCACACCGATGCGGGTCATGGAAAGAAATGTACAGGAAAAAAGATCTGAAAGTGATAATTGACTCTCATCTAAAGACCTATAATACAAAACCCACTGTTCCTTCGATTTTGCTAAAAACTCTCTGGCCAACAATTTGATGTGTGTAATATTCCGGCCAACCTGTAGGATCGAGTTGTTCTCTTCCGTTTGCTCATAATCGAATTTGTAAACTCCTTTCGGACCCACGTGTTTTTTGCCGATTATACCTAAAAACGAATAACAAAATTAAATGACGTATGGCAAATACACGTCACAACCGGTATGAACACCGTGACGTCCCAAAATCAGGGGCAGACTGTCAACATTAGAAAACGAATTGAAGTGATTGTTTCCCTGATGCAGTCCGTACATTCCATTCTGGTGGGACGGGTAGCCCGTTAAAATCGCCGAGCGGCTGCGAGAAAATTTAGTACCGCCGTATAAAATTTACAAACCTTAAACTTACCTTGGTGAACAACTGCTTACGGAAGTAAAGGCTTTGTTGAAAATTAGACTGCTCCTCGCCAATTTATCTAAATTTGGTGTCTGGCATATTTTGTTTCTGTAGGCGCCCATTTCGAAACCTCCATCGTCGGCTATGTGATAATTAAAGCGTATAAATATCAATTGTTTTTTTATTTTTATTGTTTGTTAAATATTGCTGGAAACATGGTCACGCGGTGACGTCACATATGTTCCCTAAACTGTCAAATAACTGAATAGAGTGGTCTGCGATTTGCCTAACGTCTATGAGCAGAACCCAAGAATCGTAAACCTAATAGGATTCCCCAATCCGCCAAATCTGTGCGCAACTGCAATGCGAAAACTCTCGCTGGCTGTGACATAGATAGCGCGTTTACTATGCAAATGCATGGAAATAATCTGAAACTGACCCGAGTTTTGATGGACTTTGAGTAGCTAACAGCATTATTTGTTAAAGATTAAAAACACTGTTTTGTCCCAGTCTTTTTTACAGAAATACAATTAACACAAACATAAGCACACTACTCACTAGTTTAAATTATTTTAATTGATCAAAGAACACAAAATACAACGGTTAATTACGCCTTCAAATGCATTGACAGAATACACAAAAATCACTAGAGGACTTCGCTTACGTCACAAGCGACCACGTGCGATCGATAATTTTGGCGAACGTATGTCTTATGGGATTGGGCAATCCTATTAGGTTTACGATTCTTGAGCAGAACCCATGTTTTGATTACAGGATTTATCTGAAGCTTTTTGTTTACGTGTCTAATTTCCCACTGATAAATATGCTCACCTGTGATTAGTAAGGCATTTAACCTGTTTCTACCATTTTGTTTAATTTCGGCTCCAATTAAACCTAAGAAACACAACACGATCCCGCCAGCACCGGTCAACCTCATTGTCCGACAAGCTGCAGCGAAGAACGAGAGCGAAATTTGAATATGGCGAGAAAAATTCTCTGCCTGTTTGACGTGGACGGCACGCTGACGAAACCGAGGGGTTCTATAGAAAGAGAGCTGGAGGACTTTTTGCAACAAAAAGTTAAGCCGTTATGTAGTTTGGGTCTGATTGGTGGGTCAGATTTTAAAAAAATAGCGGAACAGATGTACGGCAAGGACGTGGTCGAGAGGTATCAATATGTTTTTTCCGAGAACGGGTTAGTTTGGTTTAAAAACGGCAAAGAGGGCGACAGGCAGACCATACAAAAACACGTGGGAGAAGAGAAATTGCAAGAGTTCATTAATTACGTGTTGCGATACCTTTCGAAGGTAATACTTCCAGTAAAAAGGGGCACCTTTGTAGAATTCCGATCGGGAATGTTGAACATTTCACCAATAGGCAGATCATGTTCTCAGGAAGAAAGAGAAGCATTTGAAAAGTATGATAAGGTGTTTAATGTCCGCGAGAAAATGATAGAGGCTCTCAAGGCGCAGTTTCCGAATATCGGGTTTACTTATGCCATAGGTGGACAAATCAGTTTCGATGTATTTCCTACCGGTTGGGACAAAACATATTCCTTGAGGCATTTGCAGGAGGAGGGTTTCGATGAAATCCACTTTTTTGGTGATAAGACGTTTGTGGGCGGCAATGACTACGAGATATTCAGTGATAGCCGGACGATAGGTCATACAGTGATAAATCCAGAAGATACAAAGGCGCAATTAAAAAAGTTGTTTAATTTGTAATTTTTTACTTTGTTACTATTAATTTTTTATAACAATGTAGCACAGAATAACTTTACAATTAGTTATATGGTAGATAACGCGTATATCAGCAAATGAATGTGATAAGAAAGGGTCAGGGGACAAATATATATTTATAATTTTTATTGCGGGTTCCTGAGAGTTCAGATTTTGTGTAAAGTATTGGGTTGTTCGGAAAGTCATTTCGTTTTTTTTTGGGGAACATGAAAGACAGTTTTCGTATAATGAATAAATATTTTATTAAATTATATATTGGCCGTTCTGGTCCAACACCTTTTGCCATCTTTCTGGCAGTAACATAATTCCCCTCTCATAAAAGTTTTAGTCCTTGCTGGCAAAAAACTGGTTCAGGTGGTTTTTGACATCTTTATTTGAGGTAAAGGTTTTGCCATCCAGAAAATTTTGCAGTGACCGGAACAAATAGTAGTCGGAAGGCGCCAGATCTGGAGAATATGGTGGATGTTGCAGTACGTTCCATTCAAGCTGTAAAAGTTTTTGGCGAGTGACCAAACTTGTGTGAGGTCTCGCATTATCGTGGTGGAACACTACACCCTTCCTGTTGATTAATTCGGGCCTCTTCTCTTTAAGTGAATAATTCAATTTGTCCAGTTGATGACAATAGATTTCTGAATTAATCGTTGTATTGTCCGGCAAAAGCTCAAAAAAAACGATTCCTTTGACATCCCACCAAACGGAGAGCATCACCTTTTTTTGGTGAATGTTGGCTTTTGACACGCTTTGAGCCGGTTCATCTTTTCTGCTCCATGACCTCTTGCGTTTAACATTGTTGTATACAACCCATTTTTCGTCCCCAGTAATAATCCGCTTCAAAAATGGATCATTTTCTTGACGTTTGACGAGCGAATCACACACGTCAACGCGACGACACAAATTTCGCTCCGTAAGGACATGGGGCACCCACACATCGAGCTTCGAGGTTAAGCCCATGCCTTTCAAATGGCCATAAACAGTCGAATTCGACAAATTTAATCTCTCACCGATCTCTCGTGTGGTTATTCGCCGATTTGCATCAACTAATGCCTTTATCGCATCTTTGTCAGCTTCGACCGGCCTTCCAGGCCGTGGTGCATCTTCGACATCAAAATTGCCGGATCGAAATTTTGCAAACCAGTTCTGGCACTGGCGTACTGTTAACACGCCTTCTCCATACACATCCGTGAATTTTTTTCTCGCTTGGACAGCATTTTTACCTTTTCTGAAGTAAAATATGACGAAAATGCTGCTTATTGCTCTCCATATTTAAAAGGGCACCAACCAAAAACTACTGCGTAGAATTAATAGAACTTTTTCACACACAAGCCTTGCAATATCAGCTCTCAAGACATATAATGGTTATGCGGCTTAAGTGTGAAGTTGGTTTCGAAAAAACGTAATTAAGTCCTCTGACGGGAAAAAACGAAATGACTTTCCGAACAACCTTATAAATATATTATGTAAAGTGGTTTTTCTATTTTGTTTTTTTTTTAAATATGTTTTTAAAATTCAAACGACATTTTTTAAACTCAAAGTTTTATTTCCCCACTAACAAAAACAAAGGCCTAATAAAATATATACCATTTTATTATCAGGGAGCCTAGTGACCCTGATATTTAGGTTTCCTCTTTTCTTTAAAGGCCTGCAGCCCTTCCAAGCGATCTTTTGTTGGTATGATTTGAGCGTAACAAGCTTCTTCTATGGCCAAACCGGTATTCAAATCAACTTCTATCCCCTTGTTAATAGCCTGCTTTGCCATTCTGGTTGCCAATGGGCCGCACGAGAGAATATCTTCGGAAATATCGAGGCATTTTTGATAAGCACCGTCCCCTTTGTCCGTTTGCTCGACCACATGATTTACGATCCCTGAAAATTGACCTGACAATTGGTTTGGAAAATCTAGAGTTGCCCGTTACCCAAATCGCGTGCCGCAGTGCCGTCTACAATTTTAGACGTAAAGATGAGTTCTTTAGCAACGGAGGGATTTATTAACCTCGGCAATCTTTGGGTCCCGCCCCCGCCGGGTATAATGGCTAGCTTTGTCTCTACAAGCCCCATTTTTGCATCTTCGGAGGCTACCCTTATGTCGCAACTCAGAGACATTTCTAAACCTCCTCCTAAAACAGACATCCGATATTGGATGAATACAAACGAGGGATGTCTTACCCACTGCGACACCATCGAGAGCTGCCAAAACTGGCACGGGTACATTTTGAATCTTGCTTATAACGAAACGAATATTGGTGACAAAATCCGCCACTTCTTTTGGTGTCATCGTAGCTCTTTCTTTCAAATCGGCGCCTAAAAATCAAACGTCATTTTTTCTCTAAAATTGCTAACGACTTACCTGCGCAAAATATTTTGGGCACCACACTTCTCAAGATCACAACTCGAGCGACATTTTCGTAATTTATTTTATCGATAGCTTTACTTAGTTCGCGCACTAAATTAACACTAAGCGCGTTTTTCTGCTCGGGCCTGTTAAAACCCAGCACCGCAACACCTTCGTACCTTCCAGTTAGATATTGCAATATCATGTCTTTATGGTTTTGTTGTGAATATAGTGAGGACATTGTGTTAACTATATTTCTACCGTTTTTTAAAGTAATATATTTGGAGGGCAGCATTATTCCTGGGAATAGATTGTTCTGGCGTATCGTGTTCTAATGCATTATAACGAAAAGTCACGCGTATATGATATTGCATCCATTTTATCACTGCATACGAACCGAAAACGTAAAATGTGCAAGCTGATTTACACGGTACAACAGAAGAATCCTCTGAATGAACAGCTTTGTGGCTTCCTCTCTGCCATACTAACTTAATATTGATATTTGTTTTTTATTTGGAGTTCCACTGTCAACCGGTTCATGTATTCCGTGATTTAATCGACTGACACTTGTGGATCTCCCTGTTTTCTGTGGCTTCTCCTCCATTAAAACCACAAAAAAAATGTGATGGCAAATATTAGTCCTATTGAAAGTAAAACTTTCTAGTTAACAAAATTAAATACTGAAAATAATATTTGTAATTTCGGAACTATTCTATTTATTTAAACATTATTATTGCTAGCTAGTAAGGGAACGTTTTTATTCTGTGGAATATGATTGATTGCCTTTTTAATCATGGAATTTCATACTCATTTTAGGCTTAAAAATTGATTGAAAATATTATTTATTATGGTTCTTTATAAGTTCTCTAGGTAACTCTGTGCCAAGTAATTTATTGTATATTCGGTGCATCTCGTCAGCTGCCTAAAATATGAAGTTTTTAGCTTCAACAAAGGTAATGACTACCAGTAGTTCATTAGGCCGAAAGGTTCATTTTTCACATTATAAATACTGCAGAACGGAAAATATATGAAATCTTTATTCCGTAAATTTTCACTAATTACAAGTATTAACTGCAGTGAGATTTAAACAAGAGTAATGAAACAGCACTTAAGAGCAACTTTCTCACTGTTGTTGTTCTTGATTATCTTCCATCTCTTTCAACTTATCTAACAAAATATTCATACCAATTTTCTTGCCCAATTTCTTAAAACTACTACAAATTTTTTTCCCCTTCATTGTCCTTCGTTTCGTTTTTGCTTTATTTTTACTTAAGAGGTAATCGTTAAAAAAAATACTCCTTTTAAATTTTCTCGAACTCATTATCAGATCTTTTTTGGGTTCCTCAAAAATAGTTTCTAATGACGGGGAACTTAATTTCACTCTTTTGTCTAGATAGTAGTTTTCAATGTCCCTTGTGCTGCTGGAGAGCTGCAATTTTCTCGGTCTGAGTAAAATCCGCCTTTTTTCAGTCGGCTCTTCGGCTCGAACCTTTTTGCGCGCCGACCGACGAAGTTCCGTCCCTTCCGTAGCATCGGCATTTGTCTGGGAAGTTTTTGGAATCTCGAAATTTGAAGAATCTAGGCTCCGTTTCTTGTCACGTATTTCTAATGATGATAAATCTATGTCGACCTCCATTTCTGAAAAGAAAATTAAGTAATAACACAAACACAGTGTCAAGTGGTGTATTTTATTACTTATTTGCTGGTTTTTAATTCATCCATCACTTTAAATTGGCTTTAAAAGAAGAAACAAACAATACTCAACGTTTAGAGAATTACCACCAACTGCATTCACAGCCACGGATCGATAATTTCTGTTAGATTTTCGTTGACTTGTCTAGACTATGGATATTGTATTTAGACTATGGATCAAGTATTTCGTGGTCTGAGGTGAAAAATACGCCGATCCAGGCAAGCGCTCCCCCTCTTCGGGAGTCTTCCTCTGATTCGGAAATGGATACTTCCCAAGCGGTCTCTTGGGAAGATTTTTGGTCTCAGTTTAAAGATTTTTTATTCAAGTGATGAACCTTTTAATAAAATAGAAAAGCTTCTATACGTGATTTCGGCGAGAGACAGGGGGTTGCCTTCCATAAATTGTGATCTCTAAAGTTAAGCTATTATCTTCATTCGGGTTTAACGGCCGTCGTCGATTGGAATTACTTCCTAACGTTTCGCTAGCACGAGTGGCGAGCTTCTTCAGAGGTCCTTCCATCTCCGATGTTGGACGTAGATACATACATATAATTTAGTTAGAGCTGTAACAGTCTCTGACTCTAAGAGTGCCCTCCAAAGTCTGAATTCTACAAAGTTCAATGCTAAATTGAGTGGTATTCTCCTAGATGTTAAACATAGGCTGAAAGTCCTGGCTCAGAAAGGCTTCCGAATCTCTCTTTGTTGGGTTCCTAGCTACTCCTGTATTAGAAATAATGATAATGTCCTATTGGAATTGAAACATCATTTTACTGAGTTTTTTAGAGTTGTTAAAAAGAATCTATGGATTTCGTGGTCTTTAAGATGGAGAAGAATGGGTTCCTACAAAGGTAGGATTTATGCCAGCTTCCACGAGAACCCTTCGGCCAAACCTTGGTTTCATGGATTGAATCTCACCAGAAAAGAAATTACTACTATGTGCTGATTAAGAAGTAACCACTGTTGTTATCCGGTCCACCTATGCAGGATAAATATAAAAGAAAATAAGCATCGGAACTACTCTCAATCCCTTTGTAGAGACCTGATTAATTCTCATGTTCCCTCCCCTATTTCCTTAGTACCTGCTATATCTTCTATGAATAATTTGGAACGCGTTGCTAAGGCTATATGTAACTTTCTTAGTGCGTGTGATATATGCTTGTAAATAGATTTGTGTGCATAAATTTTAAACTGTTAAGTGACACCTCAAAATAGACATTATTGTGCATGGAGAGTAACTGTGCTATTTAAATTAGGAGCATCCCTCGACGGTAGTCGGCAATGGGCGAATGTCCTCGGTTGACGTGCCCACCTTAAGGAAAAGCAAAAAAGAAGAAGGTGAAAAATACATTATTCTTCCGTCGCGTTAAATTTAAAGTCTATCTGTTCTCGGGAGCGGAATAATAACGAATTAGGCTCGCCGCAGTAGGTCGCCAGTATCGAAATAATCGAAATCTATGTCGACCTCCATTTCTGAAAAGAAAATTAATAACGCAAACGCAGTGTCAAATGGTGTATTTTATTACTTATTCGTTGGTTTTTAATTCATCCATCACTTTAAAATGGCTTTAAAAGAAGAAACAAACAAGAAACATTGAATGTTTAGAGAATTACAACAGCTTTCGCAACCACAGATAAATAACTTATGTTCATTAGTTGTTCATATGACTGGTTTAGACTATGGGTCGGGTATTTCGTGGTCTGGGGTGACGAAAATACGACTTTTTTTTTTCAGTCCCGTCAATCGATTTAATCTGTCATCGGGAGCGGAATAATGCTTAATAATAAGTAGGCTAATCGCGGTACGTCGCCAGTATCGAAATAATTTAAGTTAAAAAAATATGGACTGTTGTTTGTTTACGTCCACGTAATGGACGATGGCCTAAAAAACATTCAGGAACGGTTCCGGACGGCGGAATCGCGTGCGGAAACGGACGCTATCCATCACAGATTCAACCCGGAAGATCCGACGGTTGTGTCGCAATATGAACAAGAAAACTATTACCATTGCGAGCAGTGTCGACAGTACTTCGCGCCCACCGTACTGGGCCTCCGTACGCATTTCAAGGGCGATATGGTACGTCACCAGCCCTGCGGTCATTGTTTTTATTGCGCGGGCGAAGTCTACGAGTACTCCCTGAATAGCGAGAGCAGGATTTACCACAACTGCAAGGGCAGGAGGTGACAGATATGTTAGTGTTTTTAGCTTTAAGAAAGATAGTGATTACCATTAGGCCGAAGGTTCATTTTTCACCTTATAAATAATGCAGAAAGGAAAATATATGAAATCTATATTCCCTAAATTTTCACAAAAAGTTAACAATGTTGCAATAAAATGAATCAGTGTTCTGTGTACAAAAAAACTCTAATTACAAGTATTAACTGCAATGAGATTTAAACAGGAGTAACGAAACAACCCTTAAGAGCGAATTTCTCACTGTTGTTCTGCGTTATCTTCAATCTCTTTCAACTTATCTAACAAAATATCCATACCAATTTTCTTGCCCAACTTCTTAAAACTACTAGAAACTGTTTTCACTTTTATTGACCTTTTTTTCAATCGGCTTGTCTAGACTATGGATCAAGTATACGTTATTCTTTCATCGCATCAAATTTAAAGTCCATCGATTTAATCTGTTCTCGGGAGCGGAATAATAAGGAAGATATGAAAGGTTTGTTTGTACTTGTTTGATTTCACAATTGTAAATGCTGATATGACCTCATGTGAAGATGATGGAAGAGAAAAAATCTCCGAAAATGAAGACTTAAAGGATCCCCTCCGTTACAGATTTCAAAGCCCTACAAGTGTATTGGACGCCAGAAATGTAAAGTTTATTTGTGTTTAAATAAATCAAGGAACTGTTTTTTTTTCATTCCATCAAAAATAATTTCATTATTTCCATAAAGTTTAAAAGAAAAAAATGTTTCTTTTTTGTTTTGTTGTTTTTTGTTTGGTGTCCTATAATAAATAATATTTGAATCAACTTAGTTTCCTAATTAGTATCCCGAACTCGCAGGTAAAGTCTGTTCATATATATAAGAAAGTGACTAACTGATACGAAAAGGAAAGACCCGGGCAAGCTGTAAGAATGAAATATGGCCGAACAGGTCCGTATTTGGGGTTACCTCTTTTTGATGGCGCGTTTGTTTTACACTTACACTTTTTTTCCTCGCTGAAATGGGATTATACACAATTTTCCATACAGTTGATGTTGGAATTTTCGTCAATGTGTCCGTTTCTTCTAGAGATGCTTGCTTGCTGGCACCACGTTCAAGGAGAGTCATATAAACATTGTTTATAACTTCCTTAGTCTCAATAGAATAATATTTTCTACATTTGGGCGGGAGCATCTCCTGAGATACACTAGACTCGCACATATTTTGCGTAATCCGCACCCGATTCGACACACGCTGTATTACACACGAAATAAAAATGATTACTAATAAAATTTAAACTAAGTAGAATATTAAACACAGGTAGGTATAAAATTACTTTCTATTACGGACCACAATTTTACCTGAATTTAAATTCCGAAACTTCTTGTTGCATTGTATGTTAATGACCACCCTTGGATAATCCCATTCAAAAGCAATTGGTCACTTTCTTATATGTATGAACAGACCATACTACAATTTTTCACAATTGTGGCTGCCACTTTGACAATCGCAATAGTTACATTCAGCTTCGACTACTGAAGCCCACACTTACGCACGTCCTGGAATTCCCTAACTAGTGACAGGGACCTCCTTTTAGTTATTTAAGATGTTTTGTTACATATCTAACGAAAAGTGCGATTAAAAACAGGAAACTATTCAGAAAAAAAAGTGTCAGCATCCAAAGGGTTAACTGTAATAAGTCCCACGAGGCAAACAACGTCCTCTCTCGAATAAATCATCGCCGCGGAGGGAACCACACACACACATAGCGACGCTACCCACGCGGTACCTGTTTTTAAAACGCACATAATGATCCGCCGGCAGTGTCGCGCCGACAGTTGCGCGGAACGTGCTCGTCTATAGGCTACGATCGAAACATTCGAAATGTCATTTTGGGCATCGTTGACAGGTAAGATCCGCCCGTCCGTGCACGGCCAACGCCGCGAGATCGATCGCGCGTCGGTAGAAAATAGCGCCCGTTCAAGGTTTAGGTCAACTTCCAGACAACCCGGCACCTTATTTTCCACCCGCGGGCGTTGAAATCGATACGCCCGCAGTGTTTTGCGGTGGTCGTCGCGCGTGTTTGTGTGTCCTGTCTCCCGGTCAGTTTGTGCATAGTGTGCCGTGTATCACTACTATTTGTGCCGCGAACAATGTTTTGTAAGTAAAGAACGCGTAATATTTTCGACGATCCAAATTTTCAGGCGCCCGTTTCTAAAAATAAACGCGCACGCATGTATTTTCGCGATTCCGCGTTTTTTTTTTTCACGCGGAACGTGCATTATTTCCGGTAGGTCGCGCGATTACGTCATGCGTTGAGGCCGCGGGGGTCTAGTCACCGGTAAAATTGTATCTGTGGTCGGTTTTCGGCGGAATGTAATAAAAATAACAACGCCGATTTAATAATATGCACGCTCGGAGCACCGCGCTAATGGGCCATGACATCATCCTTTAACCATTCCGAGTTAGGAAAGGACACGTACGCGGCGGCGTGTCGTTTTTTCCCGTTTACCGGCCGACTTTTGGAGGCGACAAACCGCGCGCGCGCCGCTGGAATCTTGCAATGTTTCCGACCTTGGCATAACTGCGCTAAAAATACGCTTCGCTCTTCTACATGCCCAGGGGCGTCCCGTAAAAATCGTGTGCTTTGGTTTCAGCGTCGTTGCGCAATTTTGGCTCGCGGATCGGCGAGTTCTTCGGCAAAAAGAAGAAGGACGTGGCCGAGGAAGTAAGGGAGACCGGGGACGCGGTCGAGGACGTCGTCGAGGAGAGGGCTAAGAAAACCAACGAGGCCCTCGAGAAAGCCAAGAGCGACGCGCAGAAAATCGCACAGGAAGCAGGTAAACGCGGTTGCTACCTCGGGAGAACGTGGTTCTATGCACCAAAGTAACTTCTTCTTTCCATAACGTGGGCATTATTCACAGACAACAGAACGGTCCCAATCGATTAGCCCATATATCCATAGGAGGTACACGCCGATAATACAGGAAACTTATGAAGCAACGACAAAAAAAATATTGGAAAGATTAAAATGCGCATGCGCGAGATTTATAATGTCTTTTTTAACCGATGACCTTGCGGCACTCGACAACGAACATGGCCGCTGACATCGATGTTCAGCGAAAACGAAACGTAAACGTAAAAACATTTGTTCCGTATGTCTCCTGTTATATAAGTACAAAACGGTAATTGAGTTAATTTAAGCGCTTGGTTTTGTACACCAATGTTGGTGTTACTAATATTTGAAATATCATCTTTTTGGAAGATAAAACTTGGTATAATATTACCTACTTCACAAGAAAAATTATTTCGACATATTTCAGGGTGCAATTCAGGTTCGCTTAAGAGTTGATAATAGGCTTTTATAATTGTGAGTTTCGTTTGGTTTATAGTTCCTTTGCTTTTTCAATAACTACAGCTTTATCTCCTTTTTTATAGACTAATGAAATTCTTAGAGCTAACCTATTGCATTGCAGTTTTATTTTATTTATTTGTTCCGAGCGACATTTGAAAATGTTATAGTTTTATTTTTTATCGAGCACATTTCAATCCAATGCGAAAAATGGCCAATAACTACTAAATAAGGTTTATTATTATTCTAGGACCTATTTTACTAAATATAATATTTCTACACATCACTCGTTTTCACAGAACAATGAACGAATTTTCTTAAAAATGTTACATCCAAACTGAAACGTGTCACATTGACGGTTAGAATTTTAGTCTGTGGTAATGTCGAGAATCAGTTTTGGCAAATTTCAGCAGTTTTCGCTTTTTAACAATTAAAATATTAATCAAGAAACGTGTATGGTTAAATGAACGAGAGAATCATAACATTGACGTACCGTCGGCCGCCATGTTGGTTGAAAACGACATTTGAAATGGCCGCGCGTGCGTCTCAATATCTTTTGTCATCGTCGTTCGAAAATTCCTGTATTATCAGTACAGACAGGCCCTCCATATTATCTAGTTACTATACAGGTTAATTTTCCGAACAAAACCCACGGACCTTAAAAATATGAACGGACCATTAGTGGTGAAACCCTAATATATGGGTCGAACTACCAAATTGGGCATCTTTGACAAGCGTTCTACTTCCGTTTAAGTTTATCATAAGTCATGTTTTTCCATACTTGCAGCCGAAGAGGTGCGCAGATCGAAATCTAACGTCGCTCAGGACCTGACCAACGCGGCGAGACAAACCGAGGACGCTTTGAGCACAGGCGCTCAGAATCTCGCCAAAAGCATCGACAACAAGCTGAAGGAGACCGAAGAGGCGGCAGCGAAGAAAGCCCGCGAAGCGTCAGAAGCTGCCGAAGCTGAAAGACGAAAATTAGCAGACGCGGCAAAGAATCTCGCCCACAATGTCGACAACCGAGCCAGGGACGCACAAAACGTCGCTCTAAATTTAGCCAAGGGCGCCGACAACAAATTTAAGGAAGCAGAGGAGGTCGCGGCCAGGAAAGCCAGGGAAGCGGCTGAGGGGGCCCAAAATCTTGCAAGGAGCGCCGAAGATGCCGCCGCTGCGAAAGCCAGAGAGGCAGTCGAAAGCGCTCAGAACGTAGCTAGGGGCGTGGATAATAAACTCAGGCAAGCGGAGGAAGCAGCTGCCGCTAAAGCCAAAGAAGCAGCCGAGGGCGCTCAAAATTTAGCTAGGGGCGTTGACAACAAACTGAGGCAAGCGGAGGAAGCAGCTGCCGCTAAAGCTAAAGAAGCAGCTGAAAGCGTCCAAAATTTAGCTAGGGGTGTAGACAACAAACTGAGGCAAGCGGAGGAAGCGGCTGCGGCTAGAGCCAAAGAAGTAGCTAAGGACGCGGAAAACAAGCTGTTGCAAGCGGAGGAAGTAGCCGCTGCCAAAGCTAAGGACGCAGCTGAGGGCGCACAAAATTTAGCTAGGGGCGTTGATAATAAGCTGAGGCAAGCAGAGGAAGCAGCCGCCGCTAAAGCTAAAGAAGCAGTTGAGGGCGCGCAAAATTTTGCTAGGGGTGTTGATAACAAGCTGAGGCAAACTGAGGAAGCGGCCGCGGCCAAGGCCAAAGAAGTAGCTGAGGGCGCTCAAAGTTTAGCCAAGGGCGTAGACAACAAGCTGAGGCAAACTGAGGAAGCGGCCGCCGCTAAAGCTAAAGAAGCAGCTGAAGGTGCTCAACATTTAGCTAGGGGCGTGGAAAATAAGCTAAGGCAAACGGAGGAAGCAGCCGCCGCTAAAGCCAAAGAAGCAGCTGAAGGCGCGCAAAATTTAGCTAGAGGCGTTGATAACAAGCTGAGGCAAACTGAGGAAGTAGCCGCCGCCAAGGCCAAACAAGTAGCTGAGGGCGCTCAAAGTTTAGCCAAGGGCGTGGACAACAAGCTGAGAGAAACTGAAGCAGCGGCCGCAGCCAAGGCTAGAGAAGCTGCGGAGAGCGCCAAGAACTTGGCTAGGGCTGTCGATGAAAAAGCTAGAGCGACGGCGCAGGAGGCCGCTAGGGCCGTAGACGCGAAGCTTCAGGGCGCAGCTGAGGCGGCGAACGAGGAGAAGCAGCATTTGGCTCAGGGCGCGCAGAATTTGGCTAGGAACGCGGACAATAAGTTGATCGAAGGCGGGTTACCGGTTCAATAACGTTATTATGAATTTATTTTTGTTTGTTTTAATGGCAGGTTATCAGTCGTTTGGCAGCGCGATGGCGCAACGGGCTCAGCAGCTGAACGCGGGGCTGCACGACGCCGAGATTGGTCTCGACAATAGGCTGCGGGAGGCGGGGCAAACCATCAGTCACGGTTTGGACGAGAGCAACAAGAGGGCGCACGCCGGATTGGACGACGTGACAAGCGCGGCGACGAACATATTCGGCAAGGGGCTGATAACGAAAGAGTGAGTCGACCGAAAAGCGCTAAACAGACCAGTCATCTGTGGTGATAACGTCAATTTGATTTGTTGTAGTTGATTTGTTTTTCGCCAGGGGCGGTGACCCACACGAAATGTTTTTCTGAGCGTTTTATTTTTTTATATGTATAAGTAGGTAAGGAAGCATACATTTCGGTCAATTATCGTGCCTACGCAGAAAGAAAACAAAGCTACTTGATATTTTATATATAAACTTTAATATTCTTACTTTTCGTTGTTGTTAGTTTTTGTAAAATGCTATGGGCCTTAAATGTGTACCGTGACTATGAATATTATGTAATATATGAACACTAACTTTTGGCTAGTTTCATTTATTTCTTCTGTATTCAACAAATCACTTAACTTACGAAAATGTGCGCCATAGGATCTACCTTTGGCTGGTGTCCCTCGGTTTGTAAACGATGCCCCTACTTTTCATTTCCCTTATAACGCCGTTCGGTAGTCGACCTGACACTGATATGGCGTACACGCCCTTGCAGAACCGATCTAAAATTTTTGCATTCGCTGATGGGCTATACTGAATTCGAGCACTTACTGATCCTCTGCCATTTGGCCACCCAGCTGTCCTCCGGGCTCATCATCGATATCATTCTGTAGATCAGAATAAAGTTAGTGGGGATCTCGGCTCGATCGGAGGTTATACCCTTACCCGTCGAAATTCGCGCTAGTGCAGTCGTATACGTTGTCTTTATTATTCTTCATTCGAAGGAATTCGTCGCAATTGTCGCAGCCTTCGTACTCGAACTGATCTAACGACTGTGAGGGGAAAAATTCTAAAATATCTTCTTTAACATCTTTTTAACTGGTTACCTTAATTAAGGAACACACCAGACACGCCCTCAACCCTTTCAGATCCTTGGGGATGGTTTCCAAAGTCATAATTCAATTTTATTTATAATCCAACTGGTACAAAACTGTAGGAAAAAATAGTAAACTATAGACAAGGAAGGTTGGTTTTGGTTCTTCTTCTTCTTTTGGTTCTAATGGCTAAGTGTACTAAAGGTCAGTCGGTCAGCTTACAAATATTGCAACTTCCCCAGATGTGTTAACCATATTCATGCAGTGGAATAAACTGCTAAATAGTGATAAAATGATGAGTGAGTCATCTAACGGCTCATACCGGATACCGATCCCCATCCGGCCTGGATACCAGCTTGAAAATAAGACGCCCGGAGACGGACCTATACGCCATACAAATCCATAAATATCGGATTAAAACGAGTAGTAACTCGCAAAACTATAAACACTACGATTCCGAAAATTCAGTTAAAAGATATACTAAACAGAATTTTTTCAAACGGCACAATTTTTTAACCGATTTCTAACTTTTTTTCGAACCGGGCTGGAACAAACGTCTCCCACCCGCTTGTTTTATTTAAAAATATTGATTCAAATTGATTAAAACAAATGTTGAATGAAGGACGTTGAAGTGGCCAATGACCCTAACGTATTTGGCCCACCGATATAAGGTTATGTTCGCGACCAGCGTCAAAATTTAAATAAACGAAAACAAACCGCGGCGTTATTATAATTCCATTTTAACCCCGGGAAAACTTACATATGGAGGAGAATCAAGAATCAGTTTACCAACTGATAACTCGGTTAACGGGGTTGTATACCGACGAACCGGCAACGGTCAAACGGCTACGCTCGCGTTGTTTCCAAACGTTGCTCGGCAAGACTGTCCCCCCAAATCCGAGAAGTAAGGCTCCCGTTTAAAACGACGCTTCCTTAAACCATCGTTTCTTTAGAATTTAAAGATGTGGACGGCCTGGACGACCCGTTTCTCAGCATACTGTCTTGGAGTTTTAGACTGTCGCACGAATTCGACATGCGGGAATTGGGCCGCAAGCTTGTCCGGTGCCTCGACCGATTCAAGGACGAATATAAGGGGGACGCGGACTGCCGCGACCGCATTTTGAGGTTCCTCTTTATTTCGAGGGACTTGCCGTCAAAAGAAGACGACGATCGACTAGTGAGTGACGGGCGGCGAGTGCGGTCGAGGTACACGTAGCCATTTTTCTAGAATCTGTCGACCTTGCCGGACATAAGCTGCGATCTAATGAAGTTCCAAAGCGTGTTTTCCACGTTTGAGATGCAGAGGCACGATTTAACGTTAGGCGAGGTTGAATTGCGACCGGCGGACGAGGGTCACGTTTCACCCACGCGTGATCAAATCCTCGAACTCGCCTCGCAGGTCGAATACTCGAGCCGCAGAACTTGGGAATCGTACGGGCTTTCGTTTCCTGATAAGGAGAAGCCCTTCATGTCGGAACTGGGCGAACTCTCGTCGCTGTGGGTCGAAAACCTCCAGTCTCTTTACTTTACCCACAGAGACGCGAATTTTAACGTTCAACTTCGGATAAAACCGAAAGTGGAGCTCATAAAGCAATTGAAATATGCCTTGGGTAAGTTACCGCTAACGCAATAAGATGGAACAAGACTCATGGGTGTCTTAAGAAGAATTTTTTTTTAGTATCCGCTGAACATAAATGGTTGTGATTTTGATTTTTATAGATGAAAATTACATAATCTCAAAAAAAACTTGTCTTATCATTCTATAAAAAAAACTTGTTTTGGTATGTATGTAACATTTGAAACCAGTCTATTCTGCATATTTTTTTGGCACGCAGGTGGTAACTCAACGAAAATATAATATGTCAGCATTGTAATACATTTTCAAAGTTGTTCTTGAGATATTAAAAAATGTATTAATAGTTTTCGAACTTTAAGTTGCTTAATATTTGAAATGAAATATTTCAAAAATGGTTCTTTCAAATATGTGCATATATTTCTAAACCGGGAACGAAATATAATTATAATAATATTAACAATTGGTTTACAAATATTTTGTTTTGTAAAATAATAAACTAAGTAGATATGTACAGTATGTCCCACTTGAGAACTCTACGCCATTCAGGAATCTTTGTGTGACTATGTAACAGCAGAGAGAGAAAACACCAGTAGATCTTATTAAAGAAAATTGAAATGGTTTTTTCATATAGTCATGGCTAGCTGACACAGTTTTTTTAAAATCGAGAAGTACTTTTAGAAATTTTTTCAAATTTAAAATGAAAGACTTATATTCAGGACTACCTAAAAGTAACTAGACCAATGGTTAAAGTTTTTAGTGTTTAAAAGAAAAAAAGTACTGTCAACCTTGTAAATAGCGATTAATTTGAATGTGATTTTAAGATTTTTCAAAGAAACTCCCTAAAATTCTTGCATGTAATCAATTCTTCTACCAATGAAAAATCCGAGAGTCTATAGAAATCTATAAGCAACCTAATAATCTTAACCGCAACTCAGGTCTCTACCTGTCACCAATATGGGAATCGGTCATCCGCGACGGTTTTTATGCCCCTCATTTAGCTCCCCTACCCCTGAAACAATATAAAAGCAGGTATTGTCTGTGCATAGGTATAAGAAAGTGACCAATTGCTGTTGAATGGGATTCTCCAAGGGTGGTCATTAACATAAAATGCAACAAGATTATTACCCAAAGTTTCGGAATTTAAATTCAGGTAAAATTGTGGTCCGTAATAGAAAATAAAGTCTGTTCATAGATATAAGAACGAAATACGAATTAAGGAAGGACCCGGGCAGGCTGTAAAAATGAAATATGGCCGAACAGGTCCGCATTTTGCTTAGATTTAATTATTTGGGGTTTTATTAGGAAAGGTACTAAACCATATTTATTTATGAATGTATTTATGTTTAAATCTAAAATAAAATTACAAATTATTTTTATTACCTACTTAAATTACTAAAACTTTAGGTAATAATCTTGTTGCATTGTATGTTAATGACCACCCTTGGATAATCCCATTCCCAAGCAATTAGTCACTTTCTTATGTCTATGAACAGACCATATCTATTGCGTTAGCTATAATTATCGACGTGTACGTTTCAGTCGGCGTACCGTTCGACCTGTTCGGGGTCGGCAAGAGGGGCGTGTTTTTCTTGAAACCCGACGTTTTGATTGACGGCGTCACTCGAAACACGCTCGAGCGTTACTGCGCAGATTTTTCATTCTGCGCGGCGTGTTATCGGGCGCTGTCCGACGTGGCCACGCCCGACTCGTACACGTGGCAGCACAAGCGACCCGGATACATATTCAAGGTGCGTACGGATCCCTAGGGACCCCACGCCGAAATAACCCAGTCGTTTTAAGGAGTTCTGCGAGGGCGTGGGCTCGTATCTTCGGTTCTATCGAGTGGCCGTGTTCGCTGTCCCCGATCGCACGCCCCTGCTCGAATTTCACAGAAGGACGGCCTCGATCCGGGCGCAAATCGCGACCCTCGCTTCCGTGTGCAAGGTGGGGCCCTTCGAATCGAGTGCGGACACGGTACCGCACGGGGTCGCCCTTTTGAACTATCTCTACAAGAGGGTGCTCGAGCTGCGTGACGAGAAACTCCGCCACGTGGTCTACGCAGTGCTGTACCCGTGTTGCCAGATTTACCTTAGGTTTGTTGCCCTAGGTTATGTCTGTATTATTCTTGACGATATTTACTTTTTCCGAAACTTCTGGATTCCTTCTAAGTCGAACTTGCTGACGTTTTGCCAATCATCCTGTTGGCTTCTTCAGAGCTTGATTGAAACTTTCTCGCATTTTACTCTGTACCTGCTCTTATATTGTTCGTAGTCGACAAAACATAGCTAGATACCTCTACCTCTATTTTTGACCAAATGACAAACAAAGCGAATATACAGCTGGCACGTAATATGAGTGTAGTGTGTCTAGAGTTATTACATACTCCCGTACTGTGTTTCTTATGGAGAGGTATTTATTAATATATTAAATTATTAATTTATTTTTGCAACTAACCAGTACCTATAGCTTTGTGTACGTGTCTACCGTTAACAGCAAACCGACGACCGATTTACAAATGCTTATTTTGAAAAAGTGTTTATCAATCAAAAAAGGGATTTATTTACTGATTAAATGTGCTATTGGATTCAATTTTTTAATATATTCAACTTTATTTTGAATTAATTTGCGATGTCAATGCCTCTTAACCGCAGATAAGAGACTACGCCTTTGATCTTAAGGCGCAAAATATATTTTTCTACTCCCGTCTGTAAAATACCTAATTACGCACCGATCTAGCGTGCGGGAAGCGTCACTTTACCGCGTCAGTTTCGTTTCCCACGAATCCGAGCCACTTCGGATATTTCCGGGATTTTACCGCACGGGTTTGGGAGCAATCGTATGTTTCCCACGCTTTGAATTTTTGACATTTGTCAATTCTGACAGTCATGTCAGTGAATGTATTCGTGTTGTGCGAAAATGCATCCAAAAAGTAACGGTCGTAGAAAAAGTATAGTATGCAACACGTTCGGTAAATTTTTTAACTCACTCGTTTATTAAAAACTCGCTCCGCTCGTGTCAAATAAACTCGTGAGTCAAATGCCGTTTAGCGCACTTGTTGCATAATATACCATTTCCTACTCCCGTCTGTAAAATACCTAGTTACACACCGATCTAGCGTGCGGGAAGCGTCACTTTACCACATCAGTTTCGTTTCCCACGAATCCGAGCCATTTCGGACATGTCCGAGATTTTACCGCACGGGTTTGGAAGAAATCGTATGTTTTCGGAGATATTTCCCACGCTTTGAATTTTTGACATTTGTCAATTCTGACAGTCATGTCAGTGAATGTATTCGTGTTGTTTTTCGAAAATGTACCCAAAAGCGAACGGTCGCAGAAAAAGTATAGTATGCAACACGTTCGGTAAACTTTTTAACTCACTCGTTTATTAAAGACTCGTTCCGCTGCGCTCCGCTCGTGTCCAATAAACTCGTGAGTCAAATGCCGTTTACCGCACTTGTTGCATAATATACTAATTGCGTGTACGATCAATAATTTTTGCTGTGTATTTTGTACCTAATTATGTCATGTGTTTGTCATACTCTATCCGCTGTGTACGGCTTAGATTGGACGGGTTCCAGGTTCGATCCTCGGTAACGAAAAAAGAAAAAAAAAGATGAATCATCATCCTCAATACCTAACACACAACTATCCATTATTTTTAATATGCCCGTTAAGCGCTAAAGTCGGCGCTCACCACTGAACGGGTTCTGGGTTCGATCCTCGGTAACGAAAAAAAAGGTGAGTCATCAATAACAGCGCCGGTGACGTCATTATTCTCGATATCTAACACACAATTACCCATTGATTTTAATATGCCCGTTAGCTCGGCGTTAAAGTCGGCGCTCACCACCGGACGGGTCCCGGGTTCGATCCTCGGTAGCGGAAAAAAGAAAAAAAGTTGAGTCACGTGACTGCATATGTGAGGGAGGGTGGTGAGGGTTGTAGATTGGGGGTGAGGATGGGTCGGTTGTTGCTAAGATTTGTAGTGGATCGAATAACCTTGAGCGGACCAATTTTCGCTAATATGAACGAACCTTAAATTTTCTTATGGGAATTTAACGGCCGAAATTGCTGTTGAACACACATAGCCTATCTACTAACGACTTTATACTAATATATATTTTTGAAAGGCTTAAATGATTTCCAAATATATTTCCCTATAATTCCATAAAAAAAAATGCTTCATAACCGTTTTCCGCAAAATTGTGCTTTAGAATTAGAATTACCGTTTTTTAAGCAAAATTAATGCGTCTGAGAATTTACAGCAATAGGATTTTTTTTGTAAATATATATGTCGATGTAATATTCAATTCGGAGCAACTTTTAAAGTCTTAAAATCAAAAAGAGTAAAACATGATGGGATAATTGCAAATGAACATTCCTTTGTATCGAATGTTGAGAAAGATTTTTTTTTTGTTTTTATATACCCTTTAAATCAGAAGTAGTTGCATTTTTAGTTACCTACAGTTTATATACTTCGATATTGACACTAAAGCTCAATTCTTCTTCTTAATAAATAGGAGCAAGTGTAATAAAATCCTCTGAGCCAGCATACAACTTTGCACTACTAACACGAGGTCGTTTATTTCTGTAGTGTTCCTAACGTATCTCGCTCTTTACGGCGTCAGACTGACTTTGATTTCTTTTATATTGGTAGCAAAACAATTAGATATTAGATGATGAATGGAAATTTTTCCTTTTAATTTATCATCATAACATTTTTGATTGGATGTAACGTTTTTGATTTTAGAGATATCAAGGTAAACAAAAAACAAAATGTGGAGCGCATTTTATATCGTCCATCCTTGTGTAGTCGTTTTTGCTCGTGTCGCCAGTGCCCTGTTCAATTTCACCATCTTTGGAAATATGTTCTCCCACCTGTCGATTATATCGTTGTCTCTTTCTTTTTAAGTCTTTAAAAGTTAAAATTAAAATTAAAAATTTTATTTACTCATATACCATTTACATTATTATTACAATATAGTATAGCCTAATAAAAGTAGTAACCAACACTTACAGTTGCTAGACTACCAGGTTTTGATTAAAAACAGACATCTTTACTTTGCGATTAAAACTACTGAGAGAGTCAGTCAGTCAGTCAATTTAGGTCTCCAAAGATTCCCATCCCTGAGAGCTTCCTTACCAGAATGCCATGGTCAACCCTGTCGAAGGCCTTGGAGAAGTCAGTATATATAGCATCTACTTGATACCCATTCCCAAAGGCCCCCAACAGCGGACGCTCATAACTCAGGAGGTTCGAAACAGTTGACCTTCCCTTGACAAAACCATGCTGTTCGGTAATAATAAAGCTTTTGAAATGAGGGGTGACATAATCGGCAACTATACTCTCAAATATTTTCGAAAACAAGGAGATTTTAGAGATTGGGCGATAGTTTTTTATGTTAGCAATGTCACCATCTATGAAAATGGGTGTAACACAACATTTTTTCCAATATGAAGGAAAAACGCCGCAGCTACAATTTTACATAAAATTTCGGATAGAACGAATTTACAATTCGGCACCAGTATCACAGGTATTACCGTCGGGTCCCGGTCCTAAGGTTTGCTTTAAAACACTTATTCTATTGAAAACATCCACAACATTTAATTTTAAAAATCCTAGACTAACCGATTTATCACAAGAAAATGATGTACTGCATTCTGCATATTCTGAATAGACTGAGGTGAAATGTTGGTTAAACATATCCGCTATTCTCTGAGTGTCGCTGGTACTTTCATCATCAAGCGACATGCATTGTGGATACTCGAGGTTTTGTTTCACATATCGCCAAAAGGACTTTTTATCAGTTAACCGATTTTCGAGCATTCCGATGTAGTCTCTATGAGGAGAGACAGATAAATTTCTACAAATATTCCCATGATTCTCTCTTCGCTTTCAATATCCGTTGCTTCACTTTTTCTATTTGTATTTTATACTCCTGATAGCTGTTGTTTTTGGTTAGTTGCTGTGCTTTTTATGTCCCTGTTTATTTTTGTTACTCCACGTACTTCTGCGCTTGTTTTAAGTATCGCACTTTTAAAAAAGTCCCACAGTTGATCTAGGTTGTTGGTTTTTATATCACACATTACACATCTTGACATTCATTTTATTTTGGAATTCCTCTGCTATCTCTTTGATGCCAAGTTTATAGGATCTAATTGATTCTTTTCTGGTTTTATTTTGTATGGTGTGTTTTGGGTGGGCTTTGGGTATTCCTAGGGAGGTATTTCCAACTAACATGTAGTGGTCATTACGTATCTCAGCTCCTCTCTTTATTCACAATGATTTAGTCAATTATCGATTTTTCATTCCTAGTGATTACTTCTCTAGTGTATTTGTGGCTAAAAAACCTGTTCATCACTAGCAGGTCATTCTGAATGCCAATAATTCTCAGACCGTTTTTCTTTATCTGTTGCACTATATTGAATTTATCGATGTATTTATGACTTCCTAATTAGTTTTCAATTTAAACATTTAAGGGGTTAAGTGGAGTAGCTTTTCCTAGACTCCGCCTCTTCTCTACCGTATATTATATAATAAAACAACGCACACTTACGTTCGTCGTTTTCGTCCTCTCGTAGCCGTTTCGTCCACCGGTGGATCTTCAGGGGCTCGCTGAGCGACTCGCACGACGAGTTCTTCGTCACCTCGCGTCCGAAATACGTCGCCACCAGGGGGCGTACGTACTGGACGCGAGGCTACGACGTCAACGAGGACCGGGTGCCCGATTTCCTCATCGATTTGAAGGAGGACATCGTCCGATGCGGCAAAATGGTGAACCTGCTCGAGCTGTGCGACCCGAACGTGAGAAAGAGACAGCCCCGGTTTTCGAACCGTCCGCCACGCCCCTGTTTCAGAACCCGCTGTGCTCTTACCTGAGGGGGCGGATCCCGGTGGCCGTGCAGTGTTGCCTGACCCGCGCGAAGTTGAAAAAAGCCGAGGCGACCGCGGCCGAGTACTTCCTGGAGGCCTCCTCCATTTGCGGGCCGAAATTCGACCTGGAATTATTGCTCGAACGGGAACGGTCGAGAGAGGAGGCGCTCTGCGCAGCGGCCGCTAAGAAACGTGTTCTCGTAATGCACAGGATCGAACGTGAGTGTAGGATGTTTTGAAATTACGCAGCGAACATTAAAAAAGTAGTCCTTAAATGCTACGGTTGAAAGATTCAAAGCGTCCAAATAAATTTTTCAATAGGGATGTCCCTCGTGGGTAGCGTGTGTCTCATGGGTAGCGTTATAATAATAATAATAATAATAATAAACTGTCTTTATTGATAATCAAAATATTACAATATAAGGTACAATACAAGAGTGGCGTCAAGGAAATACGTATCCGTATGTACATACAGAAGAAATAGACGCACATCATGAACTCATACGCTCAGCTCAGCGCAATTTGTTTAATGATATTAAGTTCTTTGTTGTAATTTTCTGTCGAGAGTGGCGTCTGTGTATAGAAGAGTGGATTGCAGCCATTTTTTGTGCATAAGGGTGATTTGAGCCGTTATGTAGGACCGTGTCCGTGTGTGAAGGTTTATGAATATAACATACAGGGTGTTCTATTTAAAAAAATACGATGTAGCCTTATATGTCAGTGTTTTATACGTCACTTGGCTATTGTATATAGCCAGTCGTTGCGTAGTTAGGCGTAAAACGATTTCTCCGTTTTAGTGGAGCGCGAAAAGACGGCGCGCGAGCTGCTCGCGAGGAAGCAGGACGAATTGGCAGTACTGCGGGATCAATACGAGTCGGCCGTGCTCGACAAACAGTTGAAGGTGTGCCGCGAGATCGCGACCGACATCGGACAGTTGGAGGCGGAGCTGAAGATCGAGCGGCGTAGAGAGGAGCTCGTGGGCGGGGAAGCGTGAGCTTGTTATCCCAGCGCTCCCGCTTTTTTTTTTCAATTCCCTTCGTTAATCTTCGCAGGAGAAAGCTGATCGAGTTCTACGCGGAGCTGAGTCGGGCTACCGAGGCTCGCGGGCTCAAGGTAGAGCGTTGTCTGAGTGCCGTGAGGCACGTCAGCCTCGATGCCGACGTCCTTGAGCGCTTCTCGTCGGCGGAGAACATTTTAAACTCACCCCGGACCAGTTCGGAGGAGAGTTTTTACTCGGCGCCCGGCGAGGAGGCGTCGGAAAAGCGTCGCGACGACGCCCTCGCCGTCGAAGACGCGATAAACGCGAACGACGCGAAGGGGGCGGACCCGAACGTGCCGAAGATCGTGGAGAATTTCGAGTTCGCGCGTCAGATCCGACGCAAAGTCCTCGAGCAGGATTTCGATACGCGACAGGAGATCGGCGTCGCGACGGAGACGCCCGCCGTATTGACCGACGCGCAGCGTAACAAACTGAAAGTTATGTCGTCGGAGTTCGGGATCGACGTCGTGACGCGGGCGGCGACGCCCGCCCACTTGACAGACGCGCAGCGTAACAAATTGAAGGTTCGTTAGTTAGTTAATTTACTTCTACGTAAGGCATTAGGCCGGCTTACAACAACAGGTGTGGACCAATCCATCATCCTTCAGGTTTGTTAACGATTTCTAAATAAATGGTGAACGTTTCTTCTGCATTCTGTAATACATTTTACAATTCTTCTGGATTCCTCCGGAGTCGAACTTGCTGACGTTTCGCCAATCGTCCTGTTGGCTTCTGCAGAGCTTGACTGAAACTGGCTCGCATTTTTGTACCTGCTTATATACATTTTGAGGGGGCGGAGCTAAAGGGGGGACATAAACGCCGTCTCGGTTGACTGATTTCCATATTGGTGACAGCGGTTAAGATTGTTAGGTTGTTTATAGATTTCTATAGACTCTCGGATTTTTCGTTGGTAGAAGAGCTGATTACATGCAAGAATTTTAGTTTTATCCAACAAAATATTATGTCCGGTTTCATGAGTGTGTTCGGCAACAGTTTATTTGTCTTAGTTAGATATTTTTTGCCCGGTCTCAAATTGAATTTTGTCTTTGACTTACCGAAAATGTTGAGAGATTTTTGGACAAGTGGTAAATCTGGTTCTGACGTTATACTTCTTTAGAAGTTTTGATATGTGGTCAGTGGTGTTTTGAATGTAAGGAAGGACCATAGTGGCAAGTGTACGAGGTTAGCGCCAAAATTTCCCGGCCTGACGTAGATGCAGCTCCAGTTACACGATAAAACTTTGTCTTCTTTTAAATATATATCTTAGTAGGCTGCAAAAAAAAACCGCGGCGACGTCATCAGATAAATCTCCTTCTCGCCCGTCTCCTTCGCCAAAACCTTTAGCTCGAGGAAGGTCCTTTTCAGCACCCGCGACGCGCGGTTCACCTTCACCAAATACTTGAACACCTGATCGTACTTGGATAACGTATCAGTCGGCAGGAGGATGTTGAGCGGAAAGTCGACGTTGTAAGTAAGCGAGAGACGGTCGAGGACGTCGGGGTCGCCGAGGTCAAAGTTGGCCGGCAGGCGGTCGATTTTGAACGAGAGCAATTTCGAGTTGTCGTGCGCGCGAGTCGAACTGTCCAACGCGCCGAACACTACGAAAAAAATGACGTCACGACGGGGGGCGGGGCACGTAAGGTCGGGTCCCCCTATCGAAAAAAGAATCAATGGAGATATGTCGTAAGGATGAAGCATCTCCAAGAAAATTCAGAGTCTGTCAGTCAACAAAAAAGGTGATGGCCACGATCTTTTGGGATTGTGAAGGAATTCTTTTGATAGATTTTAATGAAACTAATACCACCGTCAATGGTAAATATTACGCAACGTTATTACATACGTGCAAAACGTCGAGGAAAACTGACCACGCACGATAATGCACCTGTCCATACTGCTGGTGTTGCACAAGCTGCCATTTTAGAGTGTGGGTTCCAACAGATAGATTATCCTCCTTATAGTCCAGATATGGCCCCCAGCGACTATTATTTGAAAAAGGACTTACGTGGACGGCGGATTAACGACGAAGTTGAGTTAAAAGAGGCTGTTTTAGCTCATTTTGCAGGCAAACCAAAAGAACATATTTTTAAAGGGATTGAGTTGTTGATAAAGAGATGTAATAAGTGTATTGAAGTTAAGGGGGATTATATTGAAAAATAATAAAAAAATTGTTACTCTACTTTGTTTCTTTTATATTAAGGCCGGCGCTGTGCTTTTCTCTCAAGAGCTGTTCCCGACGTTTGTTCAAAAATTTTATCGTTATAAGAAAATATGTTCCTTCTTCTTCTTATGGCGCCGTCTCCTTTCGAAGGTTGGCGATCTTTTTCAAGTTTACGATATGAAGAAGCCAACGGGATGATTGGCGAATCTTCAGCAAAACCCGACGCAGGAGGAAACCAGAAGTTTTGACATCCGCTTAAGACGAACACCATTTCCCAAATTCATTAGCACTGCGCGTCTGTGACTTCAATTCAGTTTCAACAGATATCTACATTTCTATGCATCCGTTTTACTCAAACTTTTCGTTCGATATGGACCAAAATATCATAAATAACTAAAAGTAAGGAGGTTCCTATTAATGATTGGGGAATTCCAGGACGTCTAGAAGTGCGGGCTTCGGTAGTCAAAGCTGATTATCACATTTATGAATGTGGTGAGAATTGTAATTATCAGGAGGCAACAGTGAAAGTCACAATTACGTTAATACGTGATTTGTACAGCCTCGAAACCTGCAACTGAGGGGTCCTTTAAGTTATCATTTACCGGTCATTCTTCAAACCCATGAAATGTAATGTATATGACGTTTTTTCTTCTTTATTCAGAATCTTCAATATTTTTGGCCGCAAAACTAGGTGCGCCAATGTTAAAATTAACGTTAAATCCGTTCGACTAGATTTTCGAATAGCTCGCAGGTTTTCTCAGCTGTTTGTTCTTTTGAACTTGCTCGAACGGTTTCCACAACGAGCCACAACACAAGTAGAAGGTATTTTCAAACTTTTTCACATTTTACACCACCAAAAGTAACATAGCATTAATACAAAAATAAAAAACGAATATTTTTGCGCAATGCCCGATCAGAGCTAAGAAAAGCCTATAAAGAAACGTTATTTCCGTGGTTCGTGTGTCGTTTCGACGCCATATTGCATTTCATTCGACAGATCGTTGGATTGCCTAATTCTAATTGAAGGTTATGTCGTCGGACTTCGGCGTCGACGTCGTGACGACCGCAGCGACGCCCGGCGAGTTGACGGAAGCGCAGCGCAACAAATTAAAGGTTATGTGGTCGGAGTTCGGGATCGACGTAGTGACGGAAGCTAAACGCTTTGCGGGGCCGCTTAGCGCCGCCATCTTGAATCGGAACAAGGTATTGGGCAGCAGCGCCTGCTTCGCTGGCCTGGATAATGAGACCTACGTCAACCGGAACATCGGTGAGACCCCTGGCGGGAAAAATATTAAGCTACTTGTGAGTTAAAATGGCGGCATTGAGTTTCATGCACATTTTAAATATAAAAAAATCAACAAATACTTATAAACTAGAAATTCCTATTTTTAGATATATTAAAGAACATATTAGAAAACAAAAAATATATTAGCCATACATAACTATTTATAGGTGGTAGGTAAATAATAATATGTATTTGTATGTACCCTCTTATGTACATAGTATAAAAAAAAATACATATTACTACATATACTTAAATCTTTACCGTTAGAGGACTTCGCTTACGTCACAAGCGACCAGGTGCGATCGATAATTTTATCGAACGTATGTCTTATGGGATTGGGCAATCCTATTAGGTTTACGATTCTTGATCCAGACCTCAGTTACATTAAATGGAGATTTGATGTAACTTTCGCAGAGGGGGATTCACCTGTTCGTTGTCTGTATATAGTGCTTGAATGTTTACATTAAAATAAACAAAATTCCGGGAACGACATGGACACAATAATTCAATCTTGTTGAAGACGATTCGCTCAATGACGATTTTTACGGCCAACTTGATAGGTGGAAAATTGCAATCACACGTGCATAGGAAACCCGACAGATTAGAGCAGGTAAAAACTAACCGAGAATCATTAATATCGATGGAACGTTTAACTATGGCGATAGAGCACAGATTCACAGACCCACAGAAATATTACACCCAATCAACAATACAGGACTTTTCTTAAATAATCTGGGTGTTTCAATTTTTCAGACCATCCACGCTGATGGATGTAGCACATTTCTAGGAACCTATGTATCTAGGATACAAGGGTTTTTGTATGTCAAACAGGTATTCACGATCACACATTGAAGAGTGCTTATTAAGAATCTAAAAATAATTCAGCAAATTGCAGTAATTCATTGACCTCGCAGCAATATCACTACTACTTTCATCATAATTTTTATTTTTATTAGTTTTCTTTTATTGCGCTAAAAAACCCTCATTGTCATGTTTGTTAGATATCATCAATTGTAACTATCCATTTTTTAAGTTTTACTCTTATCGTTTGATCTATGGTAAGGGTTTTAAGTTGATTCGGCAGCCTATTAAAGATATGGATAGCTTTTACATAACTGTTTTTGATCGTTTTGGCATTTGGATGCTCTTATTTCTGATAGTTGATTTCCACCTCCAATCATACAATTCAAACAAAAATGGTCCCATTGGTCTCATTGAACTCTATCTTGTAAATATGAATTTATCAGCTGGCCTATGAATCCATACTTGTATGGCTTATCGAGTAATATGATGCGGTCGATTGTCTCAAACGCTTTGGCCAGCTTTTTTGCATCTTTTGTACCTAAGTTTCTCATAAATCCGTATCGCCGTTCTGACAAATTCTTTTTCTCAACACTGTCAAGGTCTGTGGTTTAGATTAGATTAGATTAGATTAGATTATTAGGGTAAGGAATTCAGAGAAGGTAAGGTGTTACTGTAAGGTACTGTGTTATCTGATGTGCCCTTTTTTCTTTTGGTATAGAGAGTGTGAAATTATACAGAGTGGATTAATACCGGCAAACCGGCCTTACAACGGCAGGCACATTGTGAAAATGTAACATGTAAATATTCCTGGCTTTGGTCTGCTCTTGTTAACTAACGTCAAAATGGCTCGAGATTAGCAAACGGCAGTTTCAGGCTCGGCGATACCAAAATCTGAGTCGCTGCACCTAGACCTCAAACGATCGATCGAGACGGTAGCGGACGGGCCGGTGCCTATGTCGGTCGACTCCACCCCCTTGAGCGATCTACCGCTAACCGTCACGCCCCTTAGCGAGTTACCGCGGAGCGTCGCTGCTAGCACGACTTATTGTACCTCGGAGACTCAGAGCGATTACGCGTCGGTGGAACCGTGTCCGGTGGACGCGACCGAGGCCCCGCCCCCCGCGGATTTCAGCAAAACCGTGAGCCGAGACGAGGCGGAAAACGTCTGCACTTCAAGCGTCGGTTTGTTCTTGCGCGAGAGCGTCGCGGTGCCTCTAATGACCCAGAAGAAACTCGTCGCCAACGCGATACTCAAGTATTTCGTCGAGAACGTCAGCTATCTGCGACATTTGGCGAACCTGCGCGATTATTTCTTCCTCCAAGACGGCGAGTTCGGACGCAATATGACCGAGAACCTCTTCGAGAAGCTGTACGACGCCAGTTTACCGGCGGAGTTGATCAACTGCCGCACTTTGCAGCACTTGGGTTCGCATATTTCGTTCCGGTCGGAGCAGTCGCGCGGTTACGTCACGTCCGGTGACGTAAACGAATACGATCCGTATGTCTTAGCTTAGAGGGGCCTACAGCTTATCTCGAAACCTAAGGGGGTTACAAAAAAAAAGTATACTCAATTTGTATTATTTGCGACATTTTTTCGGACACGTCTTGTTTAAAATGCTGTCAAAAAAAAAAAACTATTTGACGCAAGATTTTTTTTTGCGGCCTACTAAGATACATGTTTAAAAGAAGACAAAGTTTTATCGTGTTGCTGGAGCTGCATCTATGTCAGGCCTGGAGATTTTGGCGCCAACCTCGTATGTAGTAAGTAACGATTTCAAAACTGACAAACGAAATTCGCGTATCAATATACGATATCCGTTGATGAACTAGTGACGTAACCGCACGATTGCTCCGGCCCGACCTTTCGTGCCCCGCCCCCCGTCGTGACGTCATTTTTTTCGTAGTGTTCGGCGCGTTGGACAGTTCGACTCGCGCGCACGACAACTCGAAATTGCTCTCGTTCAAAATCGACCGCCTGCCGGCCAACTTTGACCTCGGCGACCCCGACGTCCTCGACTGTCTCTCGCTTACTTACAAGGTCGACTTTCCGCTCAACATCCTCCTGCCGACTGATACGGTATCCAAGTACGATCAGGTGTTCAAGTATTTGGTGAAGGTGAATCGCGTGTCGTGGGTGCTGAAAAGGACCTTCCTCGAGCTAAAGGTTTTGGCGAAGGAGACGGGCGAGAAGGAGATTTATCTGATGACGTCGCCGCAGTATCGTCGGCTGCACCTGTACAGGCACGTGATGTCCCATTTCGTGCAAACGCTCCAGAACTACGTGGTGGGGGACGTGTTGCGGCCCAGCTGGGCACTGCTCGAAAAGCGTCTAGCCGCCGTTACCGGTCTGGACGGTTTGTACGATGCGCACGGCGCCTACATCAAGGATATCCTGTTTAGGTAAAGTCTGTTCGTAGATATAAGAAAGTGACTAACTGATAGGAATTAAGGAAAGACCCGGGCAAGCTGCAAGAATGAAATATGGCCGCACAGGTCCGTACTTTGCTTAGAATTTAATTATTTGGGGTTTTGTTAGGAAAGATACTAAACAACATTTATTTATTTATGTTTAAATCTAAAATAAAAAACAAATTATTTTTATTACCTACTTAAATTACTTAAAATTATTCACATAATATATCAGTATCACTATCGCTATCATCGCCTGTTCTAATTATCATTTGTTCTATATTATTTGCAATATGGATATACGATTGTTCTGCTTTTTCTACATGTTTAACAGAATTTGCCCAACTTTGTGGAGGGATGGTAAGGTGGAAGCCTTAAAACTGTATGGCCTAGATTTTTTGCATAATTATCACAGACGTATTCCTTTTGTAGGTTCAAGCTTTGTAGAACCTCAATTAATTGCTTTTTGGTATAATCTTCGTGAAAATAAATGTCGTTATTATATATGCAGTTTTGGATTGTTGCTTTTGTGTCACATGAGGAAGGGGTTTTAGTCAACTGTCTACTGTGATAACTTGCATTGTCCATTACAATGACGCTATTAGGAGGATTGTATATATATATATATATATATATATATATATATATATATATATATATATATATATATATAAACAGATCATAAACGTTGAAAGCTCAAATAAGTTTCAAATACGCGGCTTCCGCATCCAAGTTCAAATAGATAACGACTGTTTGGCGTTATTTCGATTGCCGAAACGGCATTTCAGGTATAACGACGCCATTTTCAGACAGTACTTCAAATGTCGCTCACGGATTTTTTGGCTCGAAATTTAGAAGAAAAAAAAGATTTTTTTGGTTTTCAATTCACTTTCAGTCAGTAGTTTAAATATCATTTTTTACTTTTAAATGGCCCAAACGTTTTTAAAATGCGATTTCATAGCGGTAGTTCAACTGACTTTTTGAAGATTCGATGTTCGCTGTGAAGTTCAACAAACGTATAACGTGCATGTTTTACATTTGATTTGTCGAACCGACTTATCAGGCTTAGGGACGCGATTTCCAAGCATTAGTTCAAATATTTCATGGGAATCTTGGCCCTTACGTTGGTGGGACGGCTTTTATAAAGCGGTTCTCGGTCAATAGTTCAAATGTACCACATCTAATTTGCCTAATTTAGCCTTTAAGCAATTATAGGAAGCGACTTTTTCACAGTAGGTCGACTGTACCGCGTCAACTTTTGAAGTTTTTAATCGCAGTGACCGTTGAAAACGTTTTTTTTTTCAGGTGCCACTTAAGTCAGAAGACGGCCGCTATGAAGGCAATAATTCAGAAAATATTCGTCGTCGTATTGAAGTTTTACGATTACCTGAGGTCACGACGGTGGCGATGTTCTGAAGGGATCTACGTGCATCCCAACTTCGACAAGCTGGACAAGATATTTAAAAACTTCGAGGAGTTCGTCGCTTATATGTTTAGGGTGGTGAAAAAACTGACGCGCACGGGCTACCAGCCTCATTTGGTTCAGTTCGTGGACGCTTTAGACGTCAACGAGTATTATTCGAACAGAATCCAACCGAAAATAAGCTTGTCTTAAAAACCGTTCATTTCTTTTTCGATTTTTCGAACAATTTTGCATCGATCTTGTTTATTATATTGCCGTCGTTACGCGCTAGTTTATTTATTTATTATTAAAATGTTCTTCGCAATGTGTGTTTCATTTGCCCCATTCCGCAAAAAGTTCCATGGTATACTTGGAATATATATATATATATATATATATATATATATATATATATATATATATATATATATATATATATATAATGATGACACTATATTCCAGGATATCATCCGTTCGCTCGTTGAACTCCGACTGGAATCCTGCAGACGTTTCGCCAAAATCTCACTTGGCATCTTCAATGCTCGCGCTCCGAAAACACTTCGAACACATGGGATTTTTATAATAAACGAAGAGAAAAAGAATCCAGCTCTACAATTTAATAAAACGGAGCATATTACAATATTTTAATAAAATACATTTCTAATAAAAAAAAACAAATACATAAAGAAGCTTCCACAAGCTAGACTGCGTGAAAAAATATGTCACCCCTCATGACTCTAAAATTCCTTGTCTCTAGGGACTCCCAAAAATTCACAAACCAGGATTACCCCTTCCTCCTATTGTCAGCACCATTGGTTCTCCAATATATTCTCTAGCAAAATATCTAGTTTCCTTATTAAAACTGACAGTTTCGCACTTAATTGCTTTCACTTCATTGAACAAGAAAAAGCATTACAAAAACCAAACTAAACCAACCAATACCTTTTATAAAACTGTTGCATTCCTCCTGCGTCGAATTTTTTGAGTCTGGAACTGGAACCAGTTTCAGTCAAGCTCTGAAGAACAACAGGATGATTGGCGAAACGTCAGCAAGTTCGAACAAACAAAAACCGACGCAGGAATAATTCAGAAATTTAAAAAGTATCGCCAAATATAATTCATAATTCCTAAATAATGTCTTCGTAAAGAAAGGTTCTGGACTATTTCATCATCCTCCAGGCTTGTTTACGGTTATTTACTGACACTCGCCAAAATATTTTTTTCAACGATACTATAAAAAACGTGACCTCTGTAGCAACCGGACAAAAATCAACCACCAACCTGCCTCGTGCAATGCTATGCATAGAATCCAAAATTTCAGGTTAACGAATGACGATTCCACTTATTTCTTGAAAATTTTTACGATGGCTGCTGCTACAGTTTCGCGATATTGCCGTACTCACTTGTAAGATATTTCGGGTTCTTACTCCAAAGCATACTGATGTAGTGTGAATTACAGAATTCAACTGCTAGTCGCGATCTCTTCGTTTTATCAACAAAGCCGGTTTAAACCACGAATCATTCGCCCACACAGTCGTGGGATTAGGTAAGTTTTCCAACGGTTGACAGTATCTTTTCACGGTATAAGTGTGCCGTGGTTTCGCCGTTTCTCCTATTCAACGGCGAAAGACGAAAGAGGAGACATTGGCGGATGTCGACAATGGTCGAGAGGTCCTAGCAACTGTGCTCGACGTTACATAAAAGAAGAAGTGATCCGCACGTTGCGCCATCTCTGCGGGACAATCGTCACCGCGTTTGATTTGAAATGATGTGGGCAGCAGAAAGGTGCCACGAGCACAGAAAAAACGTTTTGCTATTTATGATTTCCAAGGCTCCCGCAGTTCGTAGAATGGACGCATTAAAATCGAGCTAACTTTTGCCTATTTTGTTACAGTTGAAGGTCGACGGCGATTAACAGTACAAAAGAAAGAGAATCGGGCTAATTTTTCGGAGGTTTGAACCGCAGATGTTCAATAAACGGGCACAACGAATAACAATTTGTATTAATGTCACGTTGCCAAAGATGGTGGCCGGTTTTCGATTGGATTAAAAAAAATCTCGCCACAAATGGATTGATCAGCTGACCGACTACGTCTAAACCGGGCAAACTAAATCCTCCGCTACGCGTTGACGCGGACTACTTTGATATACGGAACGTTTGGTAAGTACATACCTTCACCGTGCATAAAGAGTTGCGACATACGACGGGGAACTGTGGACAATATTTATTTATAGGAACGCTACGTTTACTTACTGTTTTTTTTTTTCGCGGAACAAACGAATCTTCCGCCCAGCGCGCCTTAAATGGCGATCCGGTGCAACGGCGGGTGGGAGTTCGGTGACGTCACGCCGTCTGACCGGCATATTTCACGTCCTCCGGTATCTCGTAAAGTAGCCACCAGATCTGAGTCATTCCGGTGCCTCGATGGGCGTCGATTTGATCCGCGGGAAGATGGTAAATCAGAAAACCGCTTTCTAGCGATTAAAAAATAAGCGGACGGGTTGAAACGGTCGTAGGCGGCTTTGACTCGATTGTCACTTTGACGGAGCGGCCTACTTTACGAGAGATTTTCGCCAGTTTTTAAGTTTGGAAGTTGTGGAACTAAATGTACGAGAGTCCTAAGCGTGGAAATATTTCAGCCTTATACCCAAGCATTTTGTTTTTCTGGAAGTCGGATGATGCCGATGTTAGATTAGAAAGGGAACCCCTCGTTGAAGTCTACAATAACAACACAAATACGTTCTCTGCAGCTATCCCTTTTATTTGCATTTAATGAGGGACGCGGTAGGCTACCAATAAAATATTTTCCTTAGGCGGCGGCTACTTTCGTATATGCTATGAATGGTGGTTTCTTTGTTATCACACTCTAAATCATTCGAACATTTTTTTTCAAAATCATGACCTTCTTGGTTTTCGAGATACAAGGAAATGCAAAACTATTTTGGACCACCCTCGTATCTCCGTTGTCTTTGAAGTTATTGAAGTGTTTAAAAAACATTATTAGTTATGAAGCAAACATATATTTTTTGAAATCGAACATCCTGTATATTATTTATTAGTATATTATTTTTAGTAATTTTTAGTAATTGGAAATCATTTAAGGTTTTCGGGATATGTGTTTGCATAAAGTTGTTTTAAAACAACTGCTTAGATTACCTTATTTTTAGTTGATTTGGTTGATTTACCATGGCCTACTGCTACAAATAAAGCAAAAAATAACTTTATACTAATAAATCTTTTTGAAAAGCTTAAGTGATTTCCAACTAACCAAAAAACGGTTTCGGTGGATTCTACGGAAAAAATCCTAAAGGGTGATTCAATAAGGGTTTCCACATTAAAATAATAAAAAAAAATATATAAAAATATACAAACATTTTTATTTGCCATTTTAGATTAGTGTATTGCAATTACGTATGAAAGATGATGTCATTCAAATGACCCGCGCGACCCATGTGGCATGACGTAATTCGTTTATTGACATTTCCTATCACTTTTTGACACAATTCATTTTTTCTTGATCGACCATTTCCATAATAGGCTTGCACAATTTATACACGTTTTTCAGTCGTATCACTATGTTTGTTTATGTTTTGAGGTTAGAAATCTCATATGACAATAAACAAATACAGTGGCGTTTCAAAAATATTTCAGATTGCAATGTGGAAACTCTTATCGAATCGCCCGTTATAAGAACATTTTTATGAATGGTTTTGTGTTTGTGTATGTTAAATGTCACACAAAAGTGATTAATTACACAAGTTTTAGTCATTACAGTTTCAATTCAAACACAGGTTAACATGATTAATATTTATTCAAAACAGAAAAGTCCACAAACAACAGGTTAACAAGAGTTCTCTATGACGTCGATTTTCCTCATCTAGAAATAAGATCAAACAATGAGATATTGTATTGTCGATTTTCTATTACACATTGTTGCTTTTTAAGCAAAATTAATGCGTCTGAGAATTTACAGCAATTATTTATTGTATGTATATGGTTGCAATAGGAAATTTTATCTAAATGTACTATTAAATTCGAAATAACTTTTAATGTCTTAAAAGGCAGAAACATGATGGGATAATTACAAATGAACATCCCTTTGTATCGAATCTTGAGAAAGAATTTTTTTTGTTTTTATATACTCTTTAAATCAGAAGTAGTTGCATTTTTAGTTACCCACAGTTTATATACTTCGATATTGACACTAAAGCTCAATTCTTCTTAATAAATAGGAGCAAGTGTAATAAAATCCTTTGAGCCAGCCTACAATTTTGCACTACTATCACGAGGTAGTTTATTTCTGTAGTGTTTCTAACGTATTTCACTCTTTACGGCGTTAGACTGACTTTGATTTCTTTTATATTGATAGTAAAACAATTAGATATACCGGGTGATGAATGGACATTTTTAGATGCCTAAATATTGGCTCCCGTATCGATTTTCTGACGTATAAGATTACATTATATATTTTTTAAATGGAATACCCTGAATATTCTATATATACACACACTTCATATTTTAGTAAATTCGTTTCTGACAAATCGGCAAAAATAGGAAATTTTTACATAATTTCAAAGAGTGCCGTGACTGACTGCAACAGCAATAAATATTTACAAATTAAAGTAGAACAAAAACACCAAAAATGGCAAGACACCATCATTTTTCTGAACGCATTTCTCACACACAACTGATTGATTGCCTCCGAAATCCTTTGCCGAAGTTCCACGACATTAGTACAAGGAGTCCTGTGCACGTGATTTTTTATGTGTCCCCAAAAGAAAAAATCCATTAAAGTTAAGTCGGTGCTGTTGGCTGGTCAATCCATAGTTCCGCCGTTCCTTATTCAACCCCTGGGATATTCCATGTTAACTGAGGAGGGGCACCGTCTTGCTGGTATATAATCAGCGCTTATATATTTAGGGCTATATATTGTTCTATTTTGTGCTCTAAGAGTTGCAATTAATGATCCTCAGTTAACTTTTACATTAATCGATTTGTACCCATGGGGTTTTATTTCGTGTATTTGTCTAGGATTATTGAAAGACCAATATCGCGTATTGATTTACGAAATTTAAATGCATTTTATTTATATTCTTTCAACGCCGAGTGGATTGATCCCGAGAAATACCTGTCTCTTCATATACTCTAGTTATAGAGGAAACTGGATGTGCTTCATAGAATCCCAATATGTTTGACTTATTTTCTTCATTTAAAACATTACGATTCCGGCATTTTTAAAATAATTACTGGGACAACAATTCAACCATCAACGTTGTTTACCCATATGCCAAACAAACATATTTTTATTTGCCAGTCATTTAAATTATATAAAAATTTCCTATTGTTGCCGATTTGTCAAATTAACCAAAACTAACCCAAATATAAAATGTGTTACATCATTGTAATCGGAATAAGATACTCCATTAAACACATATATAATATACAGGGTGTTTCATTTAAAGATATATGATGTAAGCTTATATGTCAGAAAATTGATAGTGTTTTGTTTTATACGTCACATGGAAACAACTTAGCCACTAACCCTATATCTCGTTTTTTGTTTACCTCGATATCTCTAAAAATAAAAAAGTTACAGCCAATTAAAATGTTATCAAGATAAATTGATACATTTGGTGGTGGTGGGAATACAAAATCAACGATGTTCTCTGGCCTTTGAGCCAAATTCCCGGGATTTTGATAGAAATAGCGCTCAAGGCAAGAGTCAGCAAGATAATGCGCGATTTGAACCGAGAAACTCAATTTCCTTAGATAGAGAGTAAAACGATTGAATGAAATGCGTAATCCGCCAATTTTTATCAGTGTACTGGACGCTGATACGGATTGCGTTAACACAATTGTCAAAAAAAAGGAAAAAAAAACAAACACGCGTCTTCAATGACCTAATTCCATCTTCGATCAGAAATGCGAGAGATACCGGGCCACGGCCGCCCCTTCGAGAGTATAAACCCGGCCGGCACGTCGACCAGACTCGAACCTCGTTGAAAATACGCGGACTTATATGGCTGTGGGTCAATGTCGGCCGACGCAGATGTTGCCCGCCAGAATGAAAACGAGAGTAAACTCCGATTTCTCGTGCATACGACGAAACGTTTTGTTTTTTTTTAAACCCCTTTTTGGTCCATCGAGATCGATAATTATCAGGACTCTTTCTATTATGTGTTTGTCGGATATTTACTCTCTTCGTCTATTAACCGACGTGTTTAGGGAAATTTTATGTTCGGGCACCAACGTTAACAGACATGATATCCAGAGACTTCTTTTTCGGGAAAATTGCAGGTGTTTCTTATCAGTTTTTCGTATCTAAATTAAAAATTGTACTATTTTATTGTACGTAAATTCCCAAAAATATGATATGTTGGTATGTTTTATACAATGCAATGAAAATGCTCGTATAATTTTCCAATTCCATCACAAGAATGTTTTAATTTATACATATATCGAAGGAAAATGTAAAGAAATCTTCATGCTCTGTTAATCCCCAAAAGGGACCTGGGCCAAGTGGTTTCTTTATTGTTAAGGGGCGTATTGACCCGAATCAGCACGTTTTTTTTTTGTTCAGTCAGTGAGTGACAATATGGAGCAGCGGTTCGATACTTGAGCCGTTTACGCCGATTTCTCCAAAGGTTTTGATAAAATACACCACCCGACTCATGCCGTGAAACTGGAGAATTCCGGTGTGCACGGTGTTTTGGTCGCCCTCCTTAAGAGTTACTTGTGCGACCGATCTCAATATGTCAGGATAAAATCAAAGAGTACAAATATAACTTCGGGGGTACCTCAAGGCTCGCATTTGGGTCCCTTATTGGTCCCTATGATGGCGGCCAGTGCTTTTCACATAGCACTTACTCCTTGTACGCAGATGATCAAAAAATTTAAAAATTTTAAAAGATCATTAACCCTGAGAAATGCCACTGTGTTTTGTTTACAAAAAAATTACCACAATTGCAACTGAACTTTTCGAACTCTGTAAGATTTAAGATCCAAGCTAGAAAACATTGTTCAAAAGGCTGTAAAGAGTCTTGATTCATTTTACGAGTGACCAATGGGTTTAATAATAAAAAACCTTTAATAATACTTTTTTACAGTCTTGTCAGACCTGTGTTGGAATATGCCACGCCAGCCTGGAATCCGATGTATTTTAAATATATCGAACGGCTGGAGAGAACAACGAAATTTTGTAAATGTTTATTTTGATAAATGTTTCGGCCGCTTTCGGAAGTTCGGAAATACGTTCGGCTCCACCGCACGTAGCCGAACGCACTTACAGAGTTTGAAAACGCTCCTTTACCGAAATAATCCCTACTTGTTCGCATAAAACCAATTACAGAGTCCCACCCCTGGTTCCCTATACAGCGAATACCATCAAAAATGGTGTTTACCATGCGATCGCGCGATATAACGCAACAAGATTGTTTCTTATAAAGATGGACGTGTTTCGGATAATTTATGAACGTCACCGCCGACGCAGCCTCGTTTTGATGCTATAATTAACAGCATTACGTGGACCACTTGGAGGTGGAGGAAACGTTTGGTCAATGTGGGACCGTGGACTATCTCTTTCTCTGGGTTCCCCTCCGCCGGTACTTCTCAGTCCTGTACCGGCTTCCGATCGAACAAACACTCAGTATACGACCGACTCTCGTCGACACGACATATTACGACATATTTTCGCAAAGTAACAATTTTTTTCGACCCCTTCCGCGCGCCACTGCTTAGTTCTCGTGATATTGATTAATTTATTCAGCGGCCATCCTTTCCCGGTAAGTTTTCATTCGATTTTCCCCACCCCCAACAAAACGCAGTGTCAAAAAGTTGTGCCGTACTTTTATTTTTATATTTATTTTGTTAGTCTCGCGCCACGCCACTGGAATTGAGAATTTTAATCCGAAAGAAAAATGCGGTTTTATAATTTGTTTACAAAAAAAATGGAACGGGCGCTTTTATTTTTCCTGAAAATATTTATTGGTCTCGGGGAACGCCACTGGAATTGACAATTTTATTTCGCGAGACGAGAAATTGTTTTTTATTAGTTATTTAATTAAACAAAGAATGGCTGGGCTCTTTTTTTGTAGAATATATCTGTTAGTCCCTCGGCACGCCACTGGATTTGATAGAAAAACGCGAGTTTTTATAATTTGTTTATCCAGGCCACTGGAATCGATAATTTTAATCTAAAAGAAAAAAAAATTGTTTTATAATCTGTCCCGTTGTTTTATTTTTATAGACAATATTTGCTAGTCTCACGGGACACCACTGGAATTGACAATTCTATTTCGGAAGACGAGAAATTGTTTTCATTAGTGATTTAATCCAGCAAAAAATGGGACAAATTCATCGGCGTTCTTTTTTTTGTAGAAAATGTTTGTTAGTCGCGCCACTGGAATTACGAATTTTAATCTGACAGAAAAATGCGGTTTAATAATTTGTTTTCTACAAAAGAAATGGAATAGGCGCTTATTTTAACCGCAATTATTTGTTCGTCTCGCACTACGCCACTGGAATTGATAATTTTATTCAAAAAGAAAGAAATGCATTTTAATTTGTTTAATTCAGATGAAAAACTCAATTATTATTATTCAATTATTGACAATATTTGTTAGTATCACGGGACGCCACTGGAATTGACAATTTTAATTCTTAACTTAACTTCTTAATATGCCACTCTCAACAGAAAATTACAACAAAGAACTTAGTATCATTAAACAAATTGCACTGAACAACGGCTACAATCCGTCCATTATCGATAAAATTATAAATAAAAAACAAATCCAAACAGTAAACTCTATTTATCCGAAACCTAACACAGAACACGAACAATTTAAAACAACTACATACATGTCAAAATGTGGTTTAAAAATAGCTTTCGGAACTAACAACACAATAGGAACATTTTTAAAAAACAATAAAACGAAGTGTCCAAAATCTCCAAAATCAGGTGTCTACAGGCTGAAATGCGGATCATGTCCTAAAATTTATATTGGACAATCCTTCAAGAAGCGCATTAACGAACAAAGAGCGTTTAAAAACAACAGTCTAGATTCTAATTATGCTACACACTTTTAAACACAGAAAAACACATTTTTGACGACAATTTTGATATTTTACATACAGCCACAAAAAGTAGAAAATTAAATTTATTGGAAGCCATGGAGATTAACAAAATGAGACATTCAAATGTATTGCTTAGCGATTAATTAGATTTAAATACCTCTCTCTTATTAAAATTAAATCTAAAAATCCACACAAAGAAACTTAAACAGTTTTCTTGCTATAGTGTAATATGTCAATTGTCCATAGAAAAAGCGAAATCTACTGGAAACATCGAACTTTTGCCTATAATTGGTATTAACGACTGAAAAAATCGAGAGATAAACAAATAGGTATACGCACTGGGAAGGTATGCGGACCTTTAAAAGAGACGCACTTTTATGCTGTGCAATTTGTATCGCAAATTGCTTGTTTACCCCACGTTAACACCATATGGTCAAAAGAAATATCGTACGTAAGCTCGCAGCAAGTGTGCGGCGACAGCTACGCCGATTTGCATCCAGCGGACAGTTAAAATTATTAAATATGCATTGTTATAAGTGTTCTACAGTTATTTTGACATATCTGCTGTTTACGCGGTCGACTAAAGCGCGCGTATGTCGAATGCAAATTCGGTTTTTTCCCTTCGGCTTTTACCGGTAAATGTCAACAAATCGCTGTTAGAATAAAACGGCTTTCGTTATTATTTCCGACACTTCCTCCGAAATAACCGTGGCGCAGCAATCTAGAAGGCGGCGTTCACGGCCAACTTAAACACCTTTGTTTACCGCGATCTCGTTTCCCTCGCAAGAAACCTGCCACGAGACGCCCACCACGGCCAATTTCGAACAATCTTTCACCGTAAATGATTCCTCGCGCAAAATATACACATGCCTTCGATAGCTCAGTTGGTAGAGCGGTGGACTGTAGGGGAATGCGCTTTGCGGACATCCATAGGTCGCTGGTTCAAATCCGGCTCGAAGGAAGCTTTTTTTTTCCCGTCAGTGTCAATTTTTTTTCGTCCGAAGTTTCGGTATGACGCGTCGCAAGAGGAAAACGGCGAGAAAAACGGTTTCGCGCTCGAAGCCGAACGGTTCCAAGCTCGCGACGGCGGAAAAAATTCGCCTGAAGTGCAGACGCAGGGAGGAATTCCACGATACGTTTTTGAGCTACGCGAAAATTGCGGAGTTTTTGGACAAAACGAAGAAGGAAAACCCGGGCCGGGTCCAGGTCGTGCAAATAGGACGTTCTGGGAAAGGTATACGCCTGTAGAGTTACATCCTTCTGATACCTTCGTCTTTGTTTATTTGCCGTCGAAAACATCGCGTCTTCAATTTTGACAGCCACGCACTTGTTTACCATTGTTTGATTATATTTCGATACTTTGAAACTCCAATTAAGTTACAGAAACAACGAAAAACGTCGGAAAATCTTTCTAGTGGTTGGTAAAGTTGTTTTGGTAAAGCGATAGACGTCACGTGATTGGGACGACCAATGGGATGGCGCGGCCATCAAAACAAAAGCGTTAGACGCTAGTGACTTTTCCTGCCCGTTACTACGCACCGCCAAATAGTAATAATTAAATTCAAATCTTGAATAATCCTCTAATTATGTCTTTACAATGATGTAACGCCCTTTAAATTTTAGTCCATTCGTTTTTGACAAATCGGAAAAAATAGCAATCCACTCAGTTTTGAAAGAATATAAATATGATGCATTTAAATGTCGTAGAACTGAAAAACTAAGTGCAGAACAATGTGAAAGGAGGACGCAGTTTTGTTTGGATTTTTTTGAGTAGACAATGAGAACCATAATTTTTTTGAAAAATATTTTATGGACTGATGAAAGTTGTAATAGACAAAATACGCGATATTGGTCATTAAATAATCCTAAACAAATACACGCAATAAAAACCTAGGGGTACCAATCAATTAATGTATGGTGTGGTGTCTTAGCGGAACAAAGATAAATGATCTCGTGGCAGTGAGAGTCCGTAGGGGTGCCCTAAAGCCACTGATTGAACATTACAAAACTCTAATTTGGCTCGTAGAGAGGACGAATTGGATGTGCTAATTATTTAAAAAACCATAGACGTCAAAAAGTACTGTCAATTTTAGCCAGTGAAGCTCCTAGATTTTGTGGGAAATCCTATCAAATTTACCCAAGCCGAAAATAAATCTGCAACAGTTGTTTTGAATTTTTTGCAATCTATATTTATCAATACTATCAAGACATGAGTTCATAATCGAAAGGATAAGTGACTGAGCTAAAAGTTTCCGTGAACTGAAATTAAGGACAGTTCTATGCCCGTATAAATGGCGCAAAACCAAATAAAACTTTTTCACCAACAAAGATATATGTTCCACGAATCTGTCTACAATCACATATAACACCAAGGTTTTTATTGCAATTCACTATTTTGAAACGTTCACCATTAATTAATAAATATATTTGGCATACTCGTTCAATGTTAGGTTTAGGAGAAAAGAACGTTACACTGCATTTTTTCGCATTAAGTCTAGAAGAATACAGAAATAAGTTATGCAAATCCAAAGTGATATAAATTGAAGCAATATCAAATAATTTAGGATCGAAGGAGTAAAATAGCCGAGTGTCATCGGCAAACGAATGCAAATTCACATGTTCGATGAATTTATAAATATCAGAAATATAAATTAAGAATAATATAGGTCCAAGGACGGAACCTTGCGGTATACCTGATGAATCAGGGAGAAATTCAGAACTTGTCAAGGGTATAGTCTGTTCATAGATATACGAAAGTGACCAATTGCTTTTGAATGGGATTGGTGGGTGGTCATTAACATACAATGCAACAAGATTATTACCTAAAGTTTCGGAATTTAAATTCAGGTAAAATTGTGGTCCGTAATAGAAAATAATTTTATACCTACCTGTGTTTAATATTCTACTTAGTTTAAGTTTATTAGTAATCATTCTTATTTCGTGTGTAATACAGCGTGTGTTGAATCGTGTGCGAATTATACAAAATATGTACGGAAAATTGTGAATAATCCCATTTCAGCGAGGAAAAAAGAAGCGATGCTGACATTTTCTCGAGTGTAGACGAAAGTGATCAAGATATAATACGGCGTAAAATTTACCAGTCATACGAGGAGAGAACAACAAAGGCCAATTCTTTACTTGGATCAAACCTGGTTCGACGCTTATGATACCCCGGAAAAGGGTTGGGTTGACTCAACTCATAAGTGTAAAACAAACGCGCCATCAAAAAGAGGTAAAAGAATAACTATTTTGCATGCTGGCTCTAAAGATGGTTGGATTCCAAATGGACTTTCTCTGTCTGCGAAAAATATTAAAGATTCTTCTCTGGATTACCATGAAAACACCACCGCTGATTTATTTTAAAGTTGGTTTAAAAACAAACTAGTTCCAAACATTCCTCCTAATAGCGTAATTGTAATGGACAATTCAAGTTATTACAGTAGACAGTTGACTAAAACCCCTTCCTCATGTGACACAAAAGGAACAATCCAAAACTACATGTATAATAACGATATTTATTTTCACGAAGGTTATACCAAAAAGCAATTAATTGAGGTTCTACAAAGCTTGAACCTACAAACCTTACCACTGTATATTTAATCCCATTGAACATGTTTGGCACCAACTGAAATCTGCCATTCGTCGTAACAATGATTTTTCCCGTGTTAGCTCCAATCCCCCCACAAAGTTGGGCAAATTCTGTTAAACATATAGAAAAAGCAGAAAAATCGTATATCCATATTGCAAATAATATAGAACAAACAATAATTAGAAGCCGGCGATGATAGCGATAGTAATACTGATATACTATGTGAATAATTTTAAGTAATTTAAGTAGGTAATAAAAATAATTCGTAATTTTATTTTAGATTTAAACATAAATACATACATAAATAAATAAATATTGTTTAGTATATTTCCTAAAAAAAACCCAAATAATTAATTTCTGAGCAACGTGCGGACCTGTTCGGCCACATTTCATTCTTACAGCTTGCCCGGGTCTTTCCTTAATTCCTATCAGTTAGTCACTTTCTTATATCTATGAACAGATTTTAACTCTCTCTGATGTCAAAAAATCAAAAATTGGTTGTAATTAGATGTTTAAGTTGAATTAAATGAAAGGTCGGCTAGTTTTACCACAGTATACGAAAAATTAACCGTGGTTAGTTGGATATTACCCCGTATTTAATGTCGGACGTCGGGAATTTCTTTCTTGAAGGGAAATCGATCTTGATGGTGACGGTTACCGCCGCCGCCGCGGACCACGCCAAAATGGCGGTCGTGGTGACGGCGGGATTAAGCGGTAGCGACTACATGGCCGTCTCGAACGCCCTCTATCTCGTCTACCACTTGGCAAAGAACCCGAACTCGTGCCGCCTGCTAAACTACCACGTCATACCGTGCTCGAACCCGGACGCCTACGACGCGGCCCTGCGGCCGGAAAACCGTCCCGATCCGTCGCATCCGGTCGACCTGACTCGCAATTATCCGGTCCTCCTCGGCCTCGGCGACCTCCGTTCTGTTCCCACCGGCACTTTCCTCGGTAAATGTTCAAAATGGCGCGCGATTCGGTCATTCGTAAGCGGCCGCGTTGCAGACAAAATTAAATCGTGGAAGGAAAATTTCCGGCCGGGATGTCCCGAGAGTAGGGCGGTGTTGGCTGTCTTGTACGCGTACAAGTTCGCTGTCAAGCTGTTCGTATCGCTCGAAGGGGGCGGGCAGAGGGTGTGTTACCCCCCGGGTGACTCGCCCGGGGCGGCGGTGAACGATCTGGCGGCGGTCGCGAGGAAAGGCACCATGGCGGTGAAAAGGAGATGCTTCGAACACGGTTCCGTGTACGAAATGCTCGGTAAGGGGTGAAAAAACGATATGGCGAAAGATCCACGACTCGTGAATCGGCCAGTCCGGCTTGTAAATCGGGTTGCATGCATGCATACGATCAATTATAGTTTCCAAAAAAATGTGGGAAGAATAGTTTTTATTGACAACTGGGTATCTCTTTCGATATTTTTTCGGCGTTATCGCCCCTTACTTATCACAGTTAAAAGTTGACATCTACCAAACAGAATTTGGGAATGACAACATTGACAACTTCAACAAGCTAAGGTATTTTTCACTTTTTTTCAGTCTGAAATCTACAACTACTTGCCCTATGCCTCATTAATTATGGAGCACTCTGTATAGAATAGATTATATGTAAAATTTCAAGTTTTTAGGGTGTATCACTCATTTAACAGTTCATAAGCTTCATCATAAAAATAACAAGTGAAAATTCACTTTTTAACTTCTGATGAGCTAACTGGATTCACCATGGAACCTGTCCCAATCAGTTGCGAGTGAGTTTTAAGGTAACAGAAATTTATGGGTAATTTAGGGTGGATAAAAAAAACGATTATTTGTTCTAGATCTCACACACACATTATGGTTATGTATTGTTATAATGTATAAATTCTAGGGTTGCAAAAATTGAGATCGATCAAAAGACCATCAATTCGAATATTCAAAATGGTTTGAGTGACATGGTTTCTCGAAAAAATCATTGAATTTGTTCACCTGCCACATGATGTTGACATCGCATTCTGAATAATAATGAAGAGTATTTCAAACAAATGAAAGTGGCAAATGACACAGCAGAGCTTGGAGTAGTATCGGTCTTTTAATATAATCAGTGTTTGACGAAAAATGAAAAACAGTTTCAAAGAATATCGAGAACTATTTCCTGACTAATAAAAGTCGATTTGTATTTAATGAAGAACTTTTTTTCCTGAAACCGATAACAAATAACATCAAAATTTACTAACTCATTGTTTGAATAATCGATAAACCACAAAAGACCAGTTTTGTAGAGCATTAAATTTCCTACAAGAGTAACAAAAAACATTTCGCGATAATTAGTTTTCAGTCAATAACAAAATTCAGAGCAAAAATTTATTTTTCTTTAAATTCTTCAATCTTTGAGCTAGAATGTCTTTCAAAGTAGATCGATGGAAATCTTATTTCCAAATATGACTTCATAATATTTTATAACTAATAGAACAATATCATGCTAAAATAACTATTAAATAATTATATTACTATACCTATTTATATCAAGTTTGGACTTTTGGCCAAGTTTTCTTTGTAATATTTGTGTAAATCTTTGGAACTGTAATAAACACACTTATCTCTAAATCTGTTGATTTTAAAAAGCGAACCATGAAGTCCAATGCAAACCAATCAGGTTTAAATATGTCTCGAGATCCACTTTTAGTTGAGTATTTTACTTTTTCTAAAAGCTTTCCAAAAGCAGCCACAAGAGCAACTTCTTTCTTCTTCACTTCTGTAAAAACTTCAAGCCCTAAATCGTCGGTCAACCCCGTTTTTATATTACTTAGATACTATCTCGTCGAAACACTTTCGACAGATTCAGCAACAACCTAAGCAGGAAGAATCCTGAAGTTTGGTGAATAGTATTACACAGTAGTCTTTGGAAGTTTCTTAAAAAAAAAGTCAGGCTTGTGACTCGCTGATCCACGTGTCGCGGGAACCACCCTTTAAGCTAAGCCCGCAGAATCGGTATTCCGCAGGTTTGACGTACGGCACTGCGGTGGATTTCCTGCGGGTCGACGCGCCGTCCCTGAAGTTCTGCTACATAGTGCAGGTGGCCGAGAGGCGGGGTGCCGTCCAAGATTCGAAAATGATCGTGTCGTACGGTGAAGACATGGTGGAATGCGTCGCGGCTATGGCTAGGGCGGTGCACAAGTTCTACGCGAAGCCAGTGGCGGCCGGGAAGAAAATCGAGACTAGAGTGAAAAATATTTTTCGAAAATAAACAACGCGTTTCGAATTTTTTTTTTTTCGAAGAAACTTCCAAAGGCTACTGTAATACTTCTTATAAAACGGCTGGGTCGGTTTTTGTTGAGCTAGTTCAACAAAAACCGACGCAGGAAGAATCCAGAAGTTTTATAAAAAGTAAATTATTATTATTAATCGTAAATGATTTCAATCCAATACCCGCGCACAAACCATTTTGAAAAACACAAGGTAAAATTGATACGTAAAACTTACTTATTTTAACGATTTAAAACTACCGATGGAACGTCGAATAAATACTGAACAGGATCGAATATGAAAAACTAATAAAACTCGAAATATTTTAGAACTAATATTAAAAAAAAATTGAGAAATTGAGTTCGCAGACTTAGAGGAAATATTTAAATGGTAAAATAATGGTAACAACAATAAGCTGGTATTTTACACACTCCGGATTTAGTAAAAGTTATCGTTACAAAATAAAAGTGTTTTAGAAAGCTGTCACTAGGGGGCGCTTTACCTAGAACATTTTTATAGATTTTCTATGTATCCTATTTATTTAGATTGATATTGCAAAACAAACTAGATTGCCTTAAGCCTAAAAACTTGTTACACTTGTTTTAAGTCGATAAGTGTTATCTTTAAGCTACAAATCGACTTTTTTATTCTTCGCGCTTCTAATTTACAGGTGACGTGCACTAAATTTTTCAAAACAGTATGCGACAAATACAAAGTAACATAATGTATTTAACATTTTCGAAAACAAAAAATTATTAATAATAATCGGGAATTAAACAGTATACAACCGCTAATTACAATTCATATTGAAAATGTCCACCGTCCAATTCTAAACATTTTCTTATACATTTTGAAAAATGCTGTCGAACACGAACCATAGGCCTAAAATATGATTTCGCAACCGTTTATGATTTTTTGTCGTAGATAATTGATATCTGGTGTAGGTATTTCATACAATAAAGACTTTAAATGACCCCAAAAAAGGAAGTCCATCGGAATAAGGTCTGGTGAGCTAGGCTGCCAAGCTAGAGGTCCACATGTTTGGTCTCCACTGCGAGGGCGGCAAGCAAAGGTGGCAGTTCCTCTTGGAGAAATTTGCAAATATATTTTCCCATTGAGCGATTCCACTGATGCATAAAATTCCATTGCATAAAATGACTCTCAACTGCTCATCACTCTCATATAGTGCTTGAACATGAAAGGGCCGAAGATTATTTTTGTTATTTTATACCTTGGTCTCCCTTTATTCATATTTCCATGGGCCATTACAATCGTAGTTGGATAATTTTAATAGAAATTAATTTTTAACGGGAACAACGGCAATCTCGCTTTGGGCCCATTCGACCAATCTACGCCTTACTTGATGAATTCATGATGAATTGCCAAACCAAACTGAAAATAAATCACTTGACAGCTGTTAAATCCGTCGCCAACTTGAACAGTAATGCGAACTTAAAGTTCTATACATCGAAAAAAAACACCCATTATTTCTTAAAGTATAGACATTTCACCATGGATGCTGAAAATTTCAGAAATTTATCTCTTACGGTTGATTTTTAATCCATTTTTTAATTAAAAGTGCTTAAAATTCTCATTATAAAAAAAATGTTTAGGGAATCAATTTTCCATCATAAATCATCATAAATTTTTATGATCAAGTGGTAAATGGGTGCTCCACTTGACGTGATTTTACTCAAGAGTAACAATTTTTGAGCATTTGTGATTCTGCTTAAGGCAATCTGTTCTATTTTGCAATATCAGTCCGAATAAATAAAATACAGGGAAAGTAAAAAAAAAACGGTAAAGTGCCCTCTAGCGACACTTTCCTCCAAGTTTCCGAACACCCTGTATATGTGCATGCCAAATTTGGACCATTCCCAACTAATATTTTTAGTTTTCTAATGTTAACGGTTACAGTCAGATTGTCGCGAGCCACAGACTGTCCAGATGGTCGGGCAGCGCGACGAATCCTCCATTCCGAATCCGGATTCTGAACGAATCTGGACCCTCGGGACACGCTTTTTAAATTGAACGGATCGAGTACCGGCCAACGTGTGGGAAAATCGAGTCCCACACGCCGCATGCGATGACATCACCGCCGCGTATTTTATTTATTAACGACAATCTGGATCTATTTGCGGGCAATTATTGTCCATTTGCGGAAACTGCGATGCAGACTGGCCGGCTATTTTTAGATCGCGTAAAATTGACGGTGCCTATCACGATCCCGAAGCGAATTTTGATTTTTTTTACTCGAGTGAGCTGACGCGATGAAATATAACTTTTTAACAATCGAAGCGTGCACCAACAGGATAACTCTATTAATTTTTTAGACTTAACTATTACGAAAACGCAAAACAACAGTAAACTCTATTTAAACGAAATCTAATACAGAATACGAACAATTTGAAACAATTACATAAATAAGAGAACCTAGTGAAAAAGGTATTAAAAAAAATTGTCAAAATGTGGTTTAAAAATAGCTTTCAGAACTAACAAGACAATAGGAAATTTTTTAAGAAAACAATAAAACGAAATGTCCAGAATCTGAAAAATCAGGTGTCTACAGGCTGAAATGCGGATCATGTCCTAAAATTTATATTAGACAAACAGGTAGATCCTTCAAGAAACACATTAACGAACATAAAAGAGCGTTTAAAAACAATAGTCTAGATTCTAATTATTCTACACACTTAAACACAGAAAAACACATTTTTGACGACAATTTTGATATTTTACATGCAGCCACAAAAAGTAGAAAATTAAATTTATTGCGATCGTTTCTCTCGCAAAGCAACTTGAAGACTAATTTAACCTATAACATATAATTATGGGTGCTGAATAGGGTAGAGAGTTAACATCGACATTGGTGGGGGGTCTATTTAAATAAAAAAAAGGTGTATGAAAGATGGGCCACAGTTGAAACTGAACAGTCAATTTCATAATGAACTAATGTAAAAAAAACGTTAATGCAGATTTCTTCTGTCTTAATTCTAGTGTTTCATACCTAACACATGTATATTTCGTTAGTTTTCGTGTATAAAGTTACGCGTAGATTTTTAATTTCCTTTTTTGTGGTTACTATTATTTTATTGAGTAGGTAATCGTAATTTAATGGATACTTTTTCGCGTAAACGTAAATTTAAAACGTTTTTGTAAATTATAGGATATTTTTCTTTCATTGCTCCATGCACACACCCTCTGGGAGTCAAAGACAGTCTTCCAAATCCCAAATAAAATTTAAAGTCAATTTTCTTTCAAATAATCTTCCACCGGCTACTGTAATACTATTTACAAAACTTCTGGATTCCTGCGTCGGTTTTTGTTGACTCTTGTTAGCTTCTTCGGAGCTTGACTGAAACTGGCTCGCATTTTGCTCTGTACCTGCTTACATATTATAAGAGCGATGAGCAGAGATAAGGTGTTTTAATTCTTGGTTCAATGACTCGGACTGAGATAGTTTTATGGCTCTGTAAACAAGAGAATTGATTACCGATGATTTTTGGGCCGGATGGTGACGTGTCATGGTAAATATTACTCAACATTATTACATGAATTGCGAGACTGCATACGTGTAAAACGTCGAGGAAAACTGACTAGAGGCTTGCCTCTTTTGCACGATAATGCACCTGTTCATACTGCTGGTGTTGCACAAGCTGCCATTTTAGAGTGTGGATTATAACAGATGGATCATCCTCCCTATAGTCCAGATATGGCTCCTAGCGATAATTATTTGTTTGGATATCTGAAAAAGGACTTACCTGGACGGCGGTTTAACGACGAAGTTGAGTTAAAAGAGGCTGTTTTAGCTCATTTTGCATACAAACCAAAAGAATATTTTTTTAAAGGGATTGAGTTGTTAATAAGTGTATTGAAGTTAAGTTATATTGAAAACTAATAAAAAATTGTTACTCTACTTTGTTTCTTTCACATTCAGGCCGGGAAATTTTGGCGCTACCCTCGTATCTGAAAAGATGTTAAGAGTTCCAGGAATAGGTACTTTATATGACGTATACCACACCGTTCGAGATTAACGCTTCAATAACCTAAAAACAATCGCAAATATTAAAACGAACAAATAGAATCAACGGGCACGTAAATCTTCAAAAAATTTCAAAGCACGCCATTGCTTCAATAACGCAAATCAATTTCGAAAACCCAATTTCGTAGTTACGCTAACGTAGGCTGTCATTTTTCAGAACTAACCACATCGGGCACACATGTCCGCCGAAACCGTAGACTTTTCACGTATCCAAGATGAAGATCTGCTGCGCAAAATGGTAACGCCGAAACTTAACACGTAACAGCTTTCTCTCTCTCTCGCACACACACACGTCGCGATCTCGTCGTTCCGCTCGTGGGAAGTAGACCCGAGACTTCTCCGAAAACAAAAAACGTACACACACACACCTGTTAAAAACGAATCACGCCTACAAGATCATAACGCGATTACATAATAATCGCCTCTCTTTGTTTCCCGCAGTGGCAAGACACCGACGATTTCGCCCTTAAAAAGGAGATACGCACGCGTATGTACAAACTGAGGGAGGCCCGCCTGAAAGACTTCTACAGCTCCGACGAAATACGACCAAACGTCAAAATCGAGATGACCACTCACGCGGACAATCTCGCTGACGACAGCTTCCTGAGCCTCAAGAGTAAAGAGATTCGGGATTCTGAATCCCCGACCCACCCCCGAGAGACGGGGTGGAATATTACGTCCTCCAAAGAAAGCAGTTCCGACGGTAAAACCCAGTCCTCGACGCTCAGAGCTGAGACTTCCGGCACTCAGTGTTTGGAAGGCGGTAAAATCGACTACGATGCCCAACATCAGCAGAAAACTTCTGTGTACCGCGACGGTGACGGCGACAACTACGTCCTGTCCATGGGGGATTCATCCGACACGGTCGTCCGTCAGGAGGCTTCCGGCGGAGACGCGACTTCTTCCTTCAAAACGTCCTCCACCAAAACCACCTCTTCATCGAGATACGTGTCGGAGACTAAGAGCGGCGACCCCCAGACACCGTCCCCTCAAACCGGTACTCAAATTTACACCTCCGACGCGCCTAGTGACGTCAAGAGCCACCCCAGCTACGTCGAGGGTAAAACAAAGGTACCATAGCTTTTACCCTATTATCCTCACCGCTGAAAATCCATAACGTTTCGTTTCAGGTCACGCAGGAAACGAAAACGCTGGGCGACGGCACCGTGGTGACCACCACGAGATACGAGACGAAGATCGGAAACTCGACCCAGACTGCGGTCACCAAGAAGTACACCAACGTGGCTGCATCTACCACCAGCGGCCACGTCCATTCCAGCAACACCTCATCTAAGATTACTTCCGACAATATCGTTAAAGGTCTCAAGGAACCTCAATTCGATACGTCTAATACCAGGCATGAGTTTTCGTCGACCATCGCGAAGGATTCCAGCTCTAGAGTTCACTCTAGCAGCGACTTTGCGCAGGGAAGAGCGATAGAATACGAGATCCAGCCTCTTAACACTACTGTAGAGGATGTTCTTTCCTCTAACACGAAGCAGGTATCTTCAAGCAGCACCCAATTCAAATCTAGTAGTTCGACCGTGCAGGAGTCAAGCTCAAGTCAAGCTCAAGTCAACAATCGGCACAAGGACTCTAGAGCTAACGCGACAGAATACATAATAGAACCGGGAAGTACCATCGATGTAAGCATCAAGGCGGCAGATGAAGATAAATCTTTCACGCGTACTACCCAGCAACGTTCCACCAACCTCGTGCAACAGAGCACCCATGGAAAAGATCTAAGTGATTACAGCAAGGTGGACATCAACAGAAATCACCAGGTACCGATGGAGACTACCTTCAGAACCACTACTATCGAAGAATACGAACCCAAAAGAGTATCGAACAGTTGTTACAACACAACATTAGTAGCAGATGTAAACCAAAAGGACAAGAGACAAGTCTCCACTGAGGAGTTCGTCAGCACTGAACGACAACACGAGTTAGATACAAGGAAATCGTCGTACGCACCATCCGAAGCGTCCGTTGATACCTACGTTGTATCCAAAGCACCACGAGAGGTCTACGTCCAACCAGAGAAGCGAGAACCTATAAAACCACCACAATCCGATCTTGACTACAGAACCCAAAAGACCGAGGGTCAGTACGACACCACTTACAGGTCGGAGTTTACCAATAAAATCTCCGTCGAAGTTAGTCCCACCCACGACGCTTTCGCCAGATCCCTGAGGTCGATCACGCCGGAAAGAATTCCCAAAGGGAATCGCGGATCACCGGAACGACCTAGGAAGTCCACCAGTTCAGAAACTGTAACCTATACCCAAACCAGACGATCTCCCGAGAGAAAGACGCACGTAAAAACTCAAATGGTGAACGGTACCACCCGGCGTGAGTCTTATACCGTTGATAAGACCAAAACCGACACAGTCACCAAACGCAAGGGAGTGCCTAGATGCCTGTCACCTACGGGTACTACCTCGACAGATTTTGAATATATCAGAAGCGTAAACGAACTTACCACTGATCTGGATGAGGACGTTAGTGTCACCAAAAGCAGACCTACAAGCTTGGAGATAACGAGGAGAGCGGATAAGTCTCCAACCAAGGAGACGTCCCCTTTGAGGGAAAAACCCAAACATCTTCGAACCGATACATACGAAGAACGCGTGAAACAGATCTTGGGGATCACTGGGGAGACTAAGGAGAGACGCCGAAGCAGTTTGGAGAGAAACTCCATTCAAAGGAGCTCGTTTAAAGAGACGAACGTTAGATCTAGCAGTAGCGGAAGTTTTCCGTCTACCAATAGTAGGAAATCCCCTACAAAATCGCCTTCTCGAGAATTTTCTTCCCCGGATAAACAACCCCCGAAGAGTTTTCCACAGGGAAAGTCGCCCGTTAAGCAAAGTCCCTCCCAAGTTACGAAATCTCCAGAGAGAGGCAGCCCTACTAAGCGAGGACCAGCTATCTCCGAATTCCCATCACAAATTAGGAAATCTCCAGAAAAAGAGCCTTTGGAGCCGTACCCCGAGAAAAAATCTCCCACTAAAAAAGGACAGGGTATTTCGGAATTTCCTTATCAGGCCAGGAAATCACCCGAAAAATATCCTTTGTCTTCTTATCCAGAAAAACAGAGTCACACTAAACAAGCACCCTCCTCCGAGTTTCCTTCGCAAGTTAAGAAATCACCAGAAAAACTACCTTTAGAAAATTACCCTGAGAAAAAAAGTCCCACTAAGCATGGGCCTACTATATCCGAATTCCCTTCTCAAGTTAGGAAGTCTCCAGAGAGGGAACCAATGCAACAGTACCCAGAGAGGAAATCTCCCACTAAACAAGGTGTGCCGGGTGTCCCAGAATTCCCTTATCAGATTAGGAAATCTCCCGAAAAACAACCTGCGGAGTCTTATCCAGAGAAAAAAAGTCCCACTAAGCAAGGGCCTACTATATCCGAATTCCCTTCTCAAGTTAGAAAGTCTCCAGAGAGGGAACCAATGCAACAGTACCCAGAGAGGAAATCTCCCACTAAACAAGGTGTGCCGGGTGTCCCAGAATTCCCTTATCAGATTAGGAAATCTCCCGAAAAACAACCGGCAGAGTCTTACCCAGAGAAAAAAAGTCCCACTAAGCAAGGGCCTACTATATCCGAATTCCCTTCTCAAGTTAGAAAGTCTCCAGAGAGGGAACCAATGCAAGTGTACCCAGAGAGGAAATCTCCCACTAAACAAGGTGTGCCGGGTGTCCCAGAATTCCCTTATCAGATTAGGAAATCTCCCGAAAAACAACCTGCGGAGTCTTACCCAGAGAAAAAAAGTCCCACTAAGCAAGGGCCTACTATATCCGAATTCCCTTCTCAAGTTCGAAAGTCTCCAGAGAGGGAACCAATACAACAGTACCCAGAGAGGAAATCTCCCACTAAACAAGGTGTGTCGGGTGTCCCAGAATTCCCTTATCAGGTTAGGAAATCTCCCGAAAAACAACCTGCGGAGTCTTATCCAGAGAAAAAAAGCCCAACTAAGCAAGGGCCTAGCGTATCTGAATTTCCGTCGCAAGTTAGAAAATCTCTGGAGAGGGAACCATCGCAACCGTACCCAGAGAAAAAGTCTCCCACCAAAGAAGGAGCTGGTGTTCCAAAATTCCCCCATCAGGTGAGAAAATCTCCCGAAAAGCAACCCGTGAAAAAAAGTTCTAGTAAGCAAGAGCCTACTAAGGAATCATTGCAATCGTACTCCATTGCGGAGGTTCCTGGACAAGTGAGGTTATCTAAACCGCTGCAACCTCGCTCTGACAAAATGTTGCCCAAGAAAGAATCGCCAGAAATATCAGAATTTCCATCCCAGATCAGAAGATCGCCAGAAAGGGAACCTCTCGCGCCTTATCCTGAGAAAAAGGTCCCGATCAAGGATACACCCACTCTATGCGAATTTCCATCTCAGATTAGAAAATCCCCTGAAAAAGAGCATCAACTCAAGGGTTTACCGACCAAGCAGGAACCGGCAGTGCCCGTAAAGTCCGGGAAACCCAGAACTGTGTCGGAAAGTTCCTCTAGCTCTGAAGAGGAAGAGCAAATAGCAGATGTCGAAGCAACGCTGACCCAAACTACTGCCGAGGTGCTGGAATCCAGAATTCCGGTTGAAGAACCCACCGTGGAGAAAAAACTGTTTAGTCAGCTGTGCAGGGAAAATGAAGTATCTAGATTCGACAAGAAGAAATCAACTAGGGATCTGATAGACGCGGAAATATTGCAGAGCGAAGTGGAACAGCAGGTTATCGCGACAGGCGTCGATCAAAAGTCTAAGAAAGGAACGACCATCCACAAGAAACCGGTTCAAACTACCACCAGAAAGCTAGGCGAGAGCCCTAAGCAGTCGGAGATACCAAAGAGGGCTCGCCCTAAGTCTGAAGTCGAGAAGCTCAGCCAAACCCAGTTGACGGAAATTACGAAAGTGAAGAAAGGTGCACCCAAAGAGAAAACTCCGTCTAGAACGACGCCTTCGCGAAAAACTGTGGAAAACACCACCACCACGACCACAAGATTGGTGAAAACGGAATCACCTAGAATTTCGCCACATAAAAAGCCGGAAGCGTCCAAAATCACCAAGACAAAATTCACGGGCGAGACGGAGTACCATGACAAATTTTCAAAGGTCATTAAAACGTCAAGACCGCAGCCCAAAACCACTTTGCACGACATCGAGAGGTTGGAACATCTCAAGGAGGATAAATCCGTCCACGTTAGATCGAACCGAGTCGACGATAGGGTCAACAAAAAGAAAACTTCCGTCACTACAACCAAAACGGTTATGGTGAACGGGAATACCACCAGAAGCAAACCCGCAGAAGTCACGTCAGTAAAAAAGACGCCCAGCAAGTCGAAACTGCCTTCCTCCACCACCACAGTTCAATCGAAGTATTCCGCGTCAGTGCGCAAGACAGTGGTGCAGCCGAAACCTACCAAAAAGCACGTGGTGACTGCTACGATCATGATGAGTCCTAAACCCTCGAAAAAGCCGAGCGATGCGAAACCCGCCAAAGTGCAGAATGGCTACGCGTCCACGGATACGGAAGACGAATCGACTGTGGAAAGCGTAGAAGCTTCGTTCGTGGACCTCAGTAAGATAGGAAACGTCGAGGTCACCACCAAAACAGTTCTGATTACGAACGAGGACTACCCGCGCGAACGGGAGTTCGTGGTCGACCTCCAAAGGTCCAAATCGTCTAGGGAACCGACACCAGACAGGTTGTGTCCGCGTCCAATGACTTCGGACGAAGAAGAAGATTCGCTGCCGAGATACCCCGACCAAATCAGTGAACCGGAAGAGGGTAGTTTGAGGAGGAGACTTAAGAAAGTGTCGGACGTTCCTATCCTCGAAGCTGACGATACCACTGAGTTAAATAGGATCACCGAAGTGGACAAAGTCGAGGAAACCGACGAAAGCTTGCTGAGCGTCGACAAGAAAATCCATAAATTTTTGGACACCGCCGAGAAGCTGACCAAGGAACCCGTGAAGGCTAAACCGGTCAAAGCGGAGAGACCTAATTTGGAGTACACCGAAGATCTGGAGTCGGACGAATGCCTGTTGAGCGTTTCGGCCAAAGTAAACAAGTTTATCACGACAGCTGAGCAGCTGATAACTCCCCAGCAAACGGCGGACAGACCGAAGACTCCGGTATGTAAAAATTACAAACCAGCAGAAGAGAGGGTGACGGAAATACCGCCTCCAGATATCGACGATGCTCTCAAAGGAGACGAATGCTTGCTGAGCGTATCGGATAAAGTAAACAAGTTCATTTCCACCGCCGAGAAGTTATCCACGCCCAAAGCCGTCAGCTTGGCAAAGATCGATGTGAAACCCAAAGAACAACCGCGGAAATCGCCGCCAAAAGAAACCGAGTGCGTGCAAATCGAAACGGAGGATCAGATGTTCACCAGGAAGTCTCCAGAGAGAAGCAGATCGCCCTCGCCAAAGTCAAATTACAAAACGCCGGACAGGCGTCCTTCAAATCAGTACTCTTCCATTTTGAAGACCGACTCCGTCGACACCAGGTACTCAGCTAGGGAAGAAATTTCCCCCGAATTGCAAGAGACGCCCAAATCTATCAGGACGGAGGATGCGAAAACCGTATTGAGCACCTCCGGGAGGCTCAGAAGCACGGAAAGCGTGCGCAGAGCAAAAGAACTCTTCGAGAACATCACCAAGGAGCCTCAGAGGACGGAGGTTCTGAGCAGACCTTCGGTGTTCGACGCGCGGGTGAAGACCAGGTTGGATTTCAGTGAAAAACGCGACGTGACTGCGCAGAAAACAACAGGTAATTGTATTATTACGCTTTGGCGGTGTTGTAACATCGCTGGTGATTTACAGCGGATAGTTTGAAATCGACCAAGCTCGTCATGGAGAAGATGCCCGGAGGTTCGCCGGGAAGGTCTCCCGAAAGACCAAAATCACCAGGAATCACCAGGTTCAGAGCAAGCTCGCCGGAGAAGATACCGGCGATAGTGACCAGCAAGCCGCGGTCACGGGAACCTTCTCCTCTTGGTGACTTACCCCACTACATGAAGCCATTGGACAGGAGTTTGAGGCCCAACAGCCCCCATAGGGACAGCGTGGCGCAAAGTAAGTTCCAAAAGGGATAACGTAGATGATATAATAATAATAATCATAATAATAAATTGCCTTTATTGTTCTATATTATTATATACAAATATACAGTAGAGGCGTAGAGGTGTAGAGGCGAAGTCTAGCAAGAGCCACTCCACTTAACCTTTTAAATGTTTAAATTGAAAACTAAATAGGAATTTATAATTACGTTGATAAATTAAATATGTGATATGGAACAAAAGAAAGTAATTAAAAGTAAAAATAAAAAGAATAACATTGAAGATGAAATTATTTGAGAATTTAGCAGTTTCAGCCTGAAATATTTTTTAAAGAATTTAATTGAATATGATTTTACTGAATCGGGAGTACTATTAAAAATTACAACAGCGTTACAAGAAAATGATCTGCGGAACAAAGATAAACAAGTGATTGAGCTAAAAGTTTCCGTAAACTGAAATTAAGGACAGTTCGATGCCTGTATAAATGGCGCAAAACCAAATAAGACTTCACCAACAAAGATACATGTTCCACGGATTTAAGTCTCCAATCAAATACAACACCAAGGTTTTTATTACAATTCACAATGTTACGTTTACACTGCATTAGTCGCATTAAGTTGAAGATTATGCCTAGAAGAATATAGAAATAAGTTATGCAAATCCAAATTGATGTAAATCGAAGAAATATCAAATAATTTAGGATCGAATGAGTAAAATAGCTGAGTGTCATCAGCAATATAAATTAAGAATAATATCGGTCCAAGGACGGAACCTTGCGGTACACCTGATGAAACAGTGAGAAAGTCAGTCAGAACTTACATTGTCTGTTCATAGATTAGAATTAGAATTTAATTATTTGGGGTTTTGTTAGGAAAGAGGTTAAACAATATTTATTTATGTATTTATTTATATTAAAATGAAATTACACATTATTTTTATTACCTACTTCAATTACACAAAATTATTCATTTAATATATCAATATCACTATCGCTATCATAGCGTGTTCTAATTATTATTTGTTCTATATTATTTGCAATATTGATATACGATTGTTCTGCTTTTTCTATATGTTTAACAGAATTTGCCCAACTTTGTGGAGGGATGTTAAAAACTTCGGTTTCTATAAGTTTGAGGCATTGGAGTTAGGACGGGGTAAAACATTGTTACGACGAATGGCAGATTTCAGTTGGTGCCAAACATATTCAATGGGATTAAATATACGGTGGTAAGGTGGAAGCCTTAAAACTGTATGCCCTAGATTTTTTGCATAATTATCACAGACGTATTCCTTTTGCAGGTTCAACCTTTACGAAATCCAGATTGATTGTTAGTGACAATATGATTAAAAACACATTATAAAATTGTACATTTATGACTTTCTCCAAAACTGATTGGACGAAGGTCTGAGAACTGGCTGGGATTGTTATTTTTAGTACATCGCATGCATTTGTTCTATAAAAGTAGTACCAATTAGTAGCAGTAGCGTATTCAACGTGACTGTTCGTGTTTCAGCCGCAGACGAGACTGACGTGAGGCAGACCAAGTTCGGAGTAACTCTGAAGAGAACCGATTCGGGAAGAATCGTCAAAACTGCGGAGACCGCGACCGTCGAACGAAGGAGAAGCAGTTTGGCGTTCGATAAGCGCGTCACCGAGGAAGAAATTGAAGAAATCTTCGAGCTGGAGGTTCTGGAAGAGCTGGTAGGGTTTCTCCGTTAAACTCCAAGCGTGGTAGATTCTCACCCGGTACTTTTCGCAGCTGGAGAAGGTCGTCGGGTACGACCTACGTAGGAAGATCCGCGCTCAGATCAGATTGGTGAAGAAACTGATCTCGGAGGGCAGGTTGGAGTCTTACGTTGCCCAAAGAAGGATCGATCAAACCGAAGCGATCACCGGACGCCGAGGTTCTAGTCCTGCCAAGACCTTCAAACCGTCGAGTCCCGAAAGGAAGGCGGTCACCGAGCACCAAATAGAAGAGGAGACCGAATACAGATCTTCTTACGCTTACAGCGAGCGAAAGTCGTCCACGGCATACTCTAGAACCGTTAAGAAAGAGTCCAGCCCGAGTCCCACTCGAAACAGGAGCAGTCCCTCGAAGGAAAGGGCCAGTCCCGCTAGAGGAGCTGCCAAAAGTACCACCACCAAAACGGCAGAAAGCAAAACGTTTACCAGCTTGAAGAAGACGACACCCGCGGTGAAGAAGACGATGGAGGACCAACAACCGGAATGGGTGAAGCAAAGGAACTTGAGGAAGACCGTGGAGAGCGTACCCATAGGTACGAGGAAGGTGTCAGGTACTACGAAAAAGTCGTCGCTACGTTCGAGTCCGGCCAAGGAGGTGAAACCTACAGATATTATCACGTCGAGTTACGGCGTCGGACCCACCGACGAGAATGGTACTCCACTGTTCGGTTTGAAGGCGCTACGAGCTCAGAACAAGGCGGGAACGAAAGGTAAGGTTTGAAATGGTGGCCCAAAAATATCTAAAAGCAAGCCAGTTATTACAAATTATACCGACCACCAATTTTACAACATGTTCATAAACTTAACAGACAGAACATTTTCATGTCACAATTGTCATGTCATAATATATAATTTCGTGAAAATCTGAACTTTTAGTTCTTATTTATTTTGAAAATGTGGTATATTAAGACTCAAATTGTCGCAACTGGAACACTCACAAGAATTTTGAAAGATACCTACACACAATCGACGGAAAACATAACATCATACAGCTTCAGTCCACGGCAATAACGGGAAAAGCCCACATTTTAAGAAGAGTTCTAGGGCAACCCAAGCAACAGGGAGCGTTCCTGGTTCACTAGTGAACCGCCGGCGTTAAGAAAATAAAATACCTACACCGTGAAAGTTAGTTTGATAATAATAATAATACGTATATTACAATAATAATAAAACAACCAGCTGTAATAATAATAAGAGACTAAAAATTCACATTGGTAAAATACTAAATTGTTTAGGACAGAGATTTTTGTAATTCCAATAAGTGGACCTTCATTTTTTTTCCTAAATACTAGACCTGAGCTGTATTCAAAATATTTCTTATAATTATTATAAAGCTTAATGGCATTATAACGTTCAAAATAATTATGCTGAGGCATATCCAGAATGTTTTTTGTCCTTAGACACTTAAACACTAGACAATCTCAGGTACGCTGGCAAAGAAAATTTCATTTCAGTTTGATGGAATTATATTATGACTAGTCGTACACCAACACTTTACTAAGCACAGGTAATAGGCTGATTGGTCAAGATCATTGACACTGGCTGTTTTTCAAATGGATGGAAAGTAAAACAATCAATTCGGAATGGTACACAACCATTTGTTTGCCGAAAGTGTTCGAATAAATTAGAAAAACTAATCGCCGAAGTGCAAACAAAGAACTTTTTGGGCATTAACGACGTTGATTTGATTAGCCAACCACCATATAGTCCTGATTTAGCACCTAACGACTTCTTTTTATACCCACACATTAAGAATAAATTACGTGGGCAACGGATTTTGACACCAGAAGAAGCGATTGATGCATTTAGAAGCATGTTTTGGAGGTGCCCGACTCGATGTGGTTGATGATTGATTTTATCGAATGCAAAAGTGTATCGGTCATCAGGGTGAATATTTTGAGAAACAATTAAGTCATATTTGTTATGAGCTAATAGTATTTTTATTACAAACCTTGAAATATGAAAGGTAGCGTTTAATTTAACTATTGGACTAGTTTTCAATAACAAATTTGCACTATAAATAACAAATTCTAAACTTTGACACACACACACACACACACACACGATATATAGGTGACGATGGTATTCTAGTGCAAGGTACGGTGATCGAGAGCCGGTACTACTCGGAGAACGGGCACGAGCCTGTGGGACACGTGACCGTCACCAAGTATTCAACCGATCCGCGCGATCTGGGACAAAATGGCGTCGTGAGCATGACAACGACCCAAAAGTTCGGCTACAAGGACGCACCGACCTTGAAGATGTTGGAGGACAACGACAAGGTAAGAATCGGGCGATCCGGGTGGCTGATCCGGACGTGGGTGAATTTTGCAGGAAACTTGGGACTCGAAGACGATCGAAAGCACCACCGTCGAGAGGAGAGGCTCGGTGAAAGCTCTGTCGCAGAAATTTATCGAGAACGCAGGTACGTGACTCAGAAATGTCAAAATGGCTGGTAGAACGTTTCGATTCCAGTGGAAACTTTGAAGAGCGAACGGCAAACCGGGACCTATCCGAAGGCGGGATTGATCTTGCGCAGTTCGAGCTTCAAGAGCAGCGAGGAGGGGGAGAGCAGGGAAGGCTCGCCGGGTAAGTGCTGGGGGCTTAAATGTCAGAAAGAAATATTTTTTTATATGTTGTCTTGGAACTAGAGTCCGCTAGATATTTTAATATTAATGGCGAGAATGTCAATGGCAAAGTTTGTTTCATTTGTTCCGGATCGCAAAATTACTATCATTATTTCATAAAGAAGTGTAGTGTGATTGTGTGACATAAGATAAATATTTATATCCGTGTAAAATGCATGGTGAAAAGGTACACCGTGTCCCAAATAAAACGATCTGCTATACGATGTGGAAACTCATAGGAGATACCAAAACAACTCTCGTACAAAAGTTTCTTGGACTGTTCTGAACATTTAAAATATTATAATTTTGTTGATACGGGATGTCCCAAAAGGGCCACCCCCCTCCCATCGACACCAACTTTGTTATTTTCAATGGGACACCCTATGTATTTCGAGACATTTTTTGAATCCTTGGTTAAAATAAAGGTCACTTTCTTAAGATACTCCTATTCGAATTTTGCACAGTTTTTTTTTTCATATTTTGATTGCCCCATATAAAATTGTGTTGTGACGCTACTGATCCAAGTATTGTAACGAAAATTTAACCACGGACTAAGCAGATGATGTGCTACTTAACCAGTTTGGCAGATGCGCCTCACCTTATACAGGGTGTCGCAAGTAGGCGGTTCCGTTTTGGCGAATTCAATTTAGGTGATTTTACTCACTTCTTGAGATATTCGAGGTTTAAGATAACACCCCGTATAAATTCTTGTTGTATTTGGCAAGATTAAATATTTTTTAAATAGCAAAGATATGATACTACTTCTTTTAAAGATATTATATTCCAGATATACGAATAAAATCTAACCAAGGTGACAAATTTGAATAAATAAATCTATAGAAAAAAGGTAACTGAAAAGGATTCGTTAACTCGGTCTGTAAAGTTTAGTAAAAATGTTCCTCTTAAAATGTTCGTTTCATCGGGTATCAAAACAACCAAGAAATATCAAAATATTAAAAAATTTAGTTGGCTATGACATCACAGTATTGTTTTTTGACGCATTAAGGTATTAAAAAAACTTTGACATGTTGTTTTTCATATGTCTATTTAAAAAGTTCACAGTTGTCAAGTTTTTTGTTAGTAAATATATTTTATTTGTAATTTAAATAAGTTATAGTTTTTTGGTTAACCTATAAATTTAATTATTTATTTTTGTTATTAGATATTTTCAATCAAGATAGATAATTAGCTATTAAATGTTTCTTTAAATATGAATTCAGAAGTCTTATTAAATCTGTTAAAGTGTGAGTATAGAGGGTTTTTTTTTTGCAAAATTTCCACGTATTAATGGACACCGTGTATTGTAAGCAATAGATTTTATTCGTATATCAGGAGTATTATATCTATAAAAGAAGTAGTATCATGTCTTTGCTATCTAAAAAATACCTAATATTGCCAACAAGTGACCTAATGTGGGCAGTTTTAAATTCAAAAAGAATTTATATGGGTGTTATCTTAAACCTCGAATATCTCAAAAAGTAAGTAAAATTTAAATATAAGCCAAATTACAAACTTACCTTATTTTTTATCCTAGAATTGATATCTGAATAAAAATATAGAATGTTCCATTTGAAAATCTTGATATTTTGTTAATCGAATTCGCCAAAACTGCACCACGCATTTGGGACACCCTGTATAAGTTGAGGCGCATCTGTCAAACTAATTGAGTAGTACATCATCTCCTCAGTCTGTGGTTAAATTTTCGTTGCAATACCTGGACCAGTAGAGTCACGACACAATTTTATATGGAGCAATCAAAATATAAAATAAAACACGTAACCTGAATTTCTGCCTGAACTATGCAAAAATCGACTAGGAATTTCTTAAGAAAGTGACCTTTATTTTAATCAAGGATCCAAAAAATGTCGAAATATACAATTAAAATAACAAAGATGATGTCGGGGGATACTTTTGGGACACCCTGTATCAATAAAAAACAATTGAAATCTTCAGGCAAGTCGAAGAAACTGTTGTACGAAACTTTTTTTTCGTATTTCCTATGAGTTTCAAGTATAGTGGATACGTTTATTTGGCACATGGTGTACAATTTTTTAATAATAAGAAAAAAAATGTTTTTTTTTTCATAACCTCGCATTTTTAATATTCAGGGTTCACATATATAAACAAATTATTTAACGTTGTTATTTAATACCGCCCGAATTGGCGAAAACGTGCCCCTGATCTAACCCGCCATTTTTTCTTCCGAAGTGGACGCCGCGAAGGGCGGCGACACCTTTTTGTCGAACAGGAACAGAATCAGTGGCGTGCAGGACGTCATCACGCGGATGAAAACGGAAGAGTACCGCGAGGGTGAATCGGCAGAGGACTCTGCAGCGTTGGGGTTGCTGAATAAGTTTATAGGGTCCCAGGTGATCCTGACGGGCATGGAGGCGCACCTGGCGACGCGAGCCAAGACATCGACGACCACGTCCCCGTCGGGTAGCGTTAAGAAATCCACAACGGTGACGTCTACGCTCACGGTAAGTTTGGATTGCGCAGAGAACAACGGGCTCTTTTGCTTTTGCATTTTTTAAAATTTAATTTAATTTAAATTTATTGTTGTATATTGTTATATACAAATATACAGTAGAGAAGAAGAGAAGTCTAGCAAAAGCTACTCAACTTAACCTCTTAAATGTTTAAATCGAAAACTAAATAATAAGTTATAAATACAATGATAAATTAAATATAGTATAACAGAAAAATGTAATAGTAATATGGAACAATAGAAAGTTATTAAAAGTAAAAATAAAAAGAATAACATTCAAAACCATATTATTTGAGAAGTTAGCAGTTTCAACCTGAAATATTTTTTAAAGCATTTAATTGAATGTGATTTTACGGAATAATATTAAAAATTACGACAGCGTTATAAGAAATTGATCTGCGGAACAAAAATGAACGATATCGTGAAAACTTTAATTGGGCTCGTAATTAAAACGGATTCGATGTGCTAGTAATTTGGAAAACCATAGACCCCAAAAAGTACTTGAAAGTACTGTCAATTTTTAGCCTGGATTTTGTGAGAAAAAGAAGAAAAAGAAAATTATATTGCATTTTTTAGCATTAAGTTGAATAGTATGCGTAGAAGAATATAGAAATAAGTTGTGCAAATCCCAATTGACATAAATTGAAGCAATATCAAATAATTTAGAATCGAAGGAGTCATCAGCAAATGAATGCAAATCCAAATATTCTATGGATGTATACATATCAGAAATGTAAATTTATAATAATATAGATCCAAGGACGGAACCTTGGGGTATACGTGATGAGACAGGGAGAAATCGAGAACTTAGATTGTCTTTTGCTAATGGCGTGACCAAAGCAAACTTCCAAATACTAGGAAAATAGCCTACTTCCAAACAGCAATTAATAATATGTGTGCCGTATGGCGCGGTAATATGGCGGGTCATCTGAAGCATTCTAGCAGGTACACAGTCAACACCAGCAGAATTTGACTTAAAGTTTGAAATAATGGCTTGAATTGAGTCGATAGTTGCGAGTTTAAATGCAAATGATATATTCCAGTTGAGCTTTTTATAGGAAGCATTGGTTTCGGGGCAATTGTTAATATTGCTAAAAGCAGAAGTAAAATAATTAATATCACTGGGATTTTTTAAGTTATACCGTTTTATTGTTAAAGAGTATTATGAAAATTTCGGTCTTTTAGATTTCCCCTTTATGGGAATATTTACGAGGTTAGCGCCAAAATTTTCCGGCCTGACATAGACATTAGTAGGCTGCGAAAAAAAAATTGAAGACTTACGTCAAATAGTTTCTTATTGACGGAATTTTAAACAAGACGTGTCCGAAAAAATGTCGCTAATAACGCAAATTGAGTATAGAGCAGTCACAAAAATTTTGACAAAAGAAGGTTTAGCACCTAAAATTATTAAAGAAAGGCTGGATGGTGTGTACGGCCAAAGTTCTCCTTCGTATGCTGTAGTGAAAGATTGGGCAAAACGTTTTGGAACGTTTTCGAATTCAAGAACTGGTCGATCAGTGGAGGTCATAACGGAAGATATTGGTTGCGATTGTGGACGAGGTGGTATTGAGTGATCGACGTTTAAAGGTCAAGGAAATCTCAGAAATTACTAAGCTTTCTGATACAGGTGTTCGTCGAATCCTGCATGATGGTTTAGGTATGCATAAGGTGAGTGCAAGATGGGTTCCTGAAAACCTTTCGGCTATTCAAAAACAACGCCGTGTCGAGTGTGCGCGGTCTTTTTTGGAACTCTGTGGGTCGGAACCGAAGCCTGTGATAGAAACTGTTGTGACGAGAGATGAAACTATGGTTCTCTATTATGACCCTCTATCGAAAAAAGAATCAATAGAGTGGCGTCGTAAGGGTGAAGCACCTCCAAGAAACTTCAGAGCCTGCCAGTCAACAAAAAAGGTGATGGCCACGATCTTTGGGATTGTGAAAGAATTCTTTTCATAGATTTTAGAGAAACTAATACTATTAATATTACGCAACATTATTACATAAATTGCGAGACTGCGTACGTGTAAAACGTCGAGGAAAACTGAGCAGAGGCGTGCGTCTTTTGCGTGATAATGCACCTGTCCATACTGCTGGTGTTGCGCAAGCTGCCATTTTAGAGTGTGGGTTCCAACAGATATATCATCCTCCCTATAGTCCAGATATGGCCCCCGGCGACTATTATTTGTTTGGATATTTGAAAAAAGGCTTACGTGGACGGCGGTTTAACGACGAAGTTGAGTTAAAAAAGGCTGTTTAGCTCATTTTGCAGACTTGTTAATAAAAAGATGTAATAAGTGTATTGAAGTTAAGGGGGATTATATTGAAAACTACTAAAAAATTGTTACTCTACTTTGTTTCTTTCATATTCAGGCCGGGAAATTTTTGCGCTGACCTCGTAAGTTAACAGATCGTAAGGCGCTAGAAAGCGTCGACGAATTCGTGACGTCATTGCCGGCGTTGGTTATACGCTGTAATCCGTGTTTGGTAATGTAATGTAGTGTTTTGGTAATGTATTCACTCGAAACAGGATTTGTAAAGGCAAATTGCTCAACGAGTAGAAAGTATCAACTATAGTCTGCCTATAGAGTGGTTTGTAAAATGGGATTTAAGTACCGCAAAATAGAAGGCAAGAAACAACAGACAACAGATCCATAATTTACATTGATGAAACATGGTTCGATACATTCGCCACTGTATCCAAAGAATGGACTGATTCCATTTAAAACTGTCAGACAAAAGCACCTTGAAGTAAAAGAAAACGCATCACCATAATTCACCCTGGATCAGAAATGAGATTGGTCCCAAACTGGTTGCTGTTGTCCGCAGAGAGTATTAAGAGTGACAGCTTGGATTATCATCGGGATGCGAGTGCCCAACTTTTTCAAAAATTGGTTTCAAAACAATCTTTTAAAAATTATTCCCAAAGGCGGTGTTAGTATCATGGATAACGCGACCTACCCAAAGCAAAGTTCAAAAACTGAAATCCAAAATTACTTGATAGAAAACGATATTTATTTTGAATTCACTTACAAAAAAGCGATTTCCGATTACAATGATGTAACACGGTTCGGATGAACAAAATAAGATATTTGATGGCGTGGAGACTTCAATCTTACAATTTTGTGATAAAGATTACATTTATGTAGATATCGTCGATTTTTCATATTAAGCAATCGGACTTCCTTCAGTGACTAACAGGCCTGCCGCATTTAATCCCAAAAATGAATCTTAGACCGTGTTTCCGGATTTTTTGAATCCGTTGTGAGGCAGCTGCTGTCATACAGGAACCATAGACGACATCACAGTGATTAAAAGAAAATAAAACTATCGAATCACACAGAACCTTTTTCAATGATTGATTTGGGGGTTATTGTTCAGCAATTTTCACTAACACAATTTTTCGGTAAAATAAAACGTCGGAAAATGACTAACACTGTGTATTTTGCAAAACTCTTTCGCCGAAACCTAACCGAGTAAACCTAACCTCAAACTGTCAAACTTCCCTATAAAAACGTTAGTCGCCAGATGGCGGCACTACTTTAACCCTTCGTATCTCTACAAAACAAGAAACAGCTAATTAAATGTTATCAAGATAAATTGAACGCACGGTACGCCCAGACACTCCCAACAGGCATCCATCGATCATTGTTTAGTATTACTGTAGGACAGTGTAAATGCGATGTGTCTCCATTTTGATTCGTTTTCTGTTATTTTCCATTTCTATCTACGTTGAAACGTGCGATTGCGCCGATTTTCCTCGAAAATAAAACGATCGCGTATATGTTAGAGACGCTGGGGCGGCTAAATTCGGATCGGCGATGACGTCAACGCGTCGCGACGCCGCCGCCGCGCGATCGAGTCGCCTGTGTTGCTCGAGATTCCTTACGAGACGCAAGCGAGCATTTTGTACGCGTCCGGCATTCTTTTTCGCGTTTCGTTTCGCTTATTATTTTTTTCGGGTTTGATTGCGTCGTTCTACTCCCCCCCTCTCCAGCCCGTACGCCCCATTCGTCGCGAGGATTAATCGACGCCGTAAAAGGTAAGAAGCGCGTTTTTTTATCGTCCATTTTTTTTAACGGTCAGTACTAGTATAAAGTGGGGTTAGGGGCGTTTTCCACGGCCCTCCAGATTTTATTTTATATTTTAGATTAAAAAAAAATGTTATCCATAGAATTATCCAAAAAATAACACTTAACAATAAATTAAATATGATTAGGTTATAATAATATGAAATAGCTTTTTTTTTAGAAGTGTTAAGCGGTCCATTTTAGCCCTGGTATTACGCAAAGGGCCAAAAATGTACAAATAACCGGAATTTATAATTGTAATAACGAAAAACAATTTTTTTAATTTTTGAGGCCAGTATATCATTTTTTTCAATAGGGTAAATGGTTTTCAAGAAAATACTTGTTCTCTGAAAATAAGCAGTGTGCCGTAATGTCACATTGACTTTTTCAAATATCTCGAAAAACGTGTATGGTAAATTTGTTAGCCATATTTTTTATGAATTTTATGAATTATGGCCAATAATTTAGTCTGGAAAAAAACAATTTCCGAAGTCTTTTAGATTTTTGTCTATAACTGAAAAACCACCCAGTACATTTTTCAAAAATCATCAAGAATAATGGTTTTTGGTGCCCATCTCGAGCGTCTTTTGGTTCAAGAATGTCTTCGATCGTATATACTATTTTTGATAAATGATTATTTTCTCGAAATCTCTCAGATGCAGTATTTAAATTTTTAAAAATCGCTTACGTGTCTCGTGCTCTGTTTAAAAGGAGAAAAATTTCAGCATTCTGGCTTCAACGGTTCCGAAGGTATTCGCGTTTTTATGAAGGGTCTACAGGGAACGGAGAACGGACAAAAAAATAAAAACGTTCTTTCTAGGTTTTTTTCACTTCGATAAGGGAAATATATAAATATAGATAAACCTGAACAAAATCTACTTTATTTCTTGCGTAATGATATACTTGGGGTTCCGTTTAAAGTAGGCAAGATGTTGCCACGTTTATATAGAAGCGGCAACACCGCCTGCATAATTTGAAGTGACAAACAAAAAAAGCCATAAAACAATATGAAGCCACATATTTTAATTACTTACGTAACACGTGATTAAAATAGCGATTTTTGTTGGAGAATTTTTGGGCTGACCTTTTAGAGACGACCTGTATATCGTTTTTGGATTTCAACAAAAGATTGTAAACATTTTTCTGCCCGAATCTTAAACGACTTGGAGAATTCGATTATTATTGCGGCGTTTCATTTCAAAAATGGCGGCGGAAACGTAACGTTTTACGAGTGCCGTCAAAGCACTCTCTGATCGATGGGATCTCAGACGCAGGAATTTTTGGTTACGGAATCGCCCGAGCGTCCAAATTTGAAGTTGTTTGTTTATTTTCAAGTTTATTAGTTGGACCCGGTCCAAACGCGAAAATCCGATATTTGTACTGCGTTTAATTTGTAGCCGGCGTTGGGTCCCCCACCCCCTCGCAGTTGAAGACGCGCGTCGCAGTTTAATTTTTCGCTTTTGCCACGCAGGAGCATTAGATACGCCATTTTGGGTATTCCAATCAAATGAGTTCAATAATGTTCTGGCGGAAAATCTGAAACGTCCGGGTTTTTTACTTTTTTATGCCTTTATTTTAAAATTTAGCACAAACCTATAAATATATTCTGATTGGAACTTTTTGGTCCGGCCATGTAATACAAACTGACAATTCAAATATAGTTTTATAGTTTTATTCACCCTGTACATTTTCAAAAAACGTCGTTCCTAGTGATTTTTCTCTGGCTATTTCCGGTCAGTTTTGGTTAATTTCGATTTCATCGATTTTTGGAAAGCAACAAGTAATTTCGACCGAACGTCACCTTGAATATATTGTTTTTCCTTTTTTAATGTTATTTTTCCGCATTTTGAACTTAAATTTTATTTTTAGCACTGATCTGTTAGATGGTCACTTTAGATTACACTGGACTACAGCGATTTTGATGTTTGAAAGCTGTTTGTTTGTTAATATATTTTTGGAGGCCCTTTTTCCAAAAAACGCCATATTTTTGCTCTATCAAGTCATTTTTTTCCTAATCATTTTTTTCCTAGCACTCTATATCTTAAAAATGTTACTTTGTTAATGACATGAATATTTTTGTTCTATGTTAGGCATGAATTGATTTTTATGAAATTAAATGTGATTTGGCAACACTGCGTCAATACAGCGTTGTAACTGCTTATGCGCAGTTTGGTTCTATTGGTAGTCGGGCTACTATGTTCGCGTTGTTGCGTATTTCTAGTGTTCTAGAATAAATATGGAAAGACTTTGTTTGCACAATCCAAACAAACTTTTGTTATATCTGTGGTACTTATATCGAAGTAAAGCAAAGGCAAACTATAACTTTTTTGGTGAAAAATGGCGGCCAAGACAGGTCCTGGGCTCCTTGTACAGTTGGTTCCTTTTGCGTTGAAGCATTAAGAAACTTTCATGAAGGTAGAAAGAAATGTTGAAGCTTTGGTGCTCCTTTGGTATGACGAAAGCCTAGAAATCACACAAGGATTCAACAGAAAATATAAGAGACAAATTGTGTATCCCAATCTTGTCTCTGTTATTCTGCTATTCTACCAATTTCGAATTTCTTTTGAAGAAACTAAACTACCAAGCACATCAGTGGATGTTTTGTGGGAACCTTAAAGTGCTGTGTACGCTCCTAGGACAATAGGAGGGTTGTATTTGTGAGTGGGATAGACATTGGACTCAAATAGAATGGGCCTTACACCTGGTAGCAAAAATGTATTAAGAGATAGCTTAGTTGACTCCAAAAAGTGTTCTACTGCCTCCACTTCATATCGAACTTGGCTCGATAAAGCAGTTTGCTTTTTAACAGAATTTGCCCAACTTTATGGAGGGATGTTAAAAACTTCGGTTTCTATAAGTTTAACGACATTTAGTTAACACGGGGAAAAACATTGTTACGACGAATGGCAGATTTCAGTTGGTGCCAAACATGTTCAATGGGATTAAATATACAGCGATAATTAATTTAATTAAATAATTAATTAATCAATTTTTGGTATAATCTTCGTGAAAATAAATGTCGTTATTATACATGTACTTTTGGATTGTTGCTTTTGTGTCACAACTGTCTACTGTGATAACTTGCATTGTCCATTTCAATTACGTTATTAGGACGAATGTTTGGAAGTAGTTTGTTTCTAAACCAACTTTCAAATAAATCAGCGGTAGTGTCTTCATGGTAATCCAGAGAATAATCTTTAACACTTTTCGCAGACGGAGCAAGTCCATTTGGAATCCAACCATCTTTAGAGCCAGCATGCAAAATAGTTAATCTTTTACCTCTTTTTGATGGCGCTTTGGTTTTACACTCATCAGTTGAGTCAACCCAACCCTTTTCTGGGGTATCATAAGTATCAAACCAGGTTTCATCCAAGCAAATAATTGGCCTTTGCTGTTCTCGGTAAATCCAAATTTTTTCGAGATATTCCAGTCGCCATTACCGAATTCTAAAAGATTCCATTGAAACTTTTTCAAGCCTCTTAATTAAGATATCTAATGTAGGCACGCTTTGTTCCTCGTATAACTGGTAAATTTTACGCCGTATTATATCTTGATCACTTTCATCTACACTCGAGAAAATGTCAGCATCGCTTCTTTTTTTCCTCGCTGAAAAGGGATTATTCACAATTTTCCATACAGTTGATGTTGGAATTTTCGTCAATCTGGCCCTTTCTTCTAAAGATGCTTGCTTGCTATCACTACGTTCAATGAGAGTCAAATAAACATTTTTTATAACTTCCTTAATATCAATAGAATGGTGTTTCCTACATTTGGGCGGGAGCATCTCCTGAGATACACTAGACTCGCACATATTTTGCATAATTCGCACACGGTTCAACACACGTTGTATTACACACGAAATGAGATAAACTTAATCTAAGTACACCACAATTTTACCTGAATTTAAATTTCGAAACTTTAGGTAATAATCTTGTTGCATTGTATGTTAATGACAACCTATGAACAGACCGTACGTATATTTCTAAAAACAAAAATGTTACCAAGATAAAATGAACGCACCGTACATTTTTCCGCATTCCCGTCGAATTTTTGGAAAACCATACGTCACGCCCTTCGGTAAAATCGCCGTTCGAACAAAGCCACCTGAGGTTTTCTCGGAACAAAGGCCGCAGATGTTCGCGGTTTCTAATTTTAAGCATGCCGTGTCCAGGAATAGCATAACGTGCTAAAACGTTTCGGCTTTTTTTTTACGTTGTCGTCGCGCGTGATTTTTTCGCGAACCTTTTGTCCTTTTGTTTACCGGCGACAAGTGGTGGGGGTAGTAGGGATGGCGGGGTTTGACACCAGTCAAAACATCGTCGTGCATTTGTTTTATTAAACTCAGCTTCCGTCGCGATGAGGTGGCTTTGGGAGCCGTTGAGGTTCTTCCTCCCGAGCGTCGTGTTCGAACCGATTTTTTCCAACCTTCAGGTACGTGAGCGTCCGCCCCCTCCTCACCGCCGAATCCGAAAAAATTTCGCGAATTAAATTAAAAAAAAAAAGAATTTTGAAGGACAAGGTCGCCCCTCCCCTGCCGTCGCGACGTCGCGCGTACGATACCGACGGCGGCGACGGCCGGTAGCCTATTTTGGCCACGCTCGCGGGGACGCTCGAACGCGACGTTGCCGAACTGACAAATTTAGCGAAAAAAACTAGGAAATTTTAAAATTTATGGTCCGTGGATGGCCACGGCGCGCGTGATTTTGATTGATGAACATGTTACCGTTGTTATGATTTTAGTTTTGATCAGCATTTTTGTTGAAATATTGAATGGTTGGTTTTTAAGTCCTTTAATTGAAGATCGGCAACAGTATTTTTAAAAAAATGAATTTTCTAATAGAGCAAAAAATCAAAATATGATAATAATAATAATAATAAAAATAATAACGATAGTTATATTACGCCTCGTCTTCAAATGGCGGTTGCTTGTACAGGGTGAGTCGACGACAGAGTACATTATCTTGTCGGTTTCAAAATATACGAGAAAATGGTGAAGAGGAAAGCTATAAATGTTAACTTGTTTTAAAGTGGACTTTGTGAAAGTGAAACTTTTTATAATGCAATAATAATACCCAAATAAATCAAACAGTTTTCCCAATAATTTCATTTAAATTTAATGCTACAGGATGTTCAAAATAAACGAATATATTTGGATCACTTGAAAACATTGTGATTTTTACGCTATCTTTGACTCACCCTGTATATTTCGGCGTAAGTTAGATACATTTCATACTATTTTGATATATTCGGTTTTAATTGGAATTGACAATTCAAAATCGTTAATCCATACTATTCTTGCATAGTTGTTCATGTGTGTTTTTAATTTGCATCGGTCTCATGTTAAGTTAAATGTACGTTTTGACCAATGACACTCAAGATTTCGTGGGTTACTTGTCTTATTCACTTTATTATTACTGCTGGGCGAAGAAAATTTGCTTTTCCAAGCGTGCCTTTTTTTCCATCTATCGATAAACATTTTCCACGACTTAATTAGTGTCTTAAACGTCTCTTGTACGACACGCAGGAGGGCGGAAAACCGACCACCACCACCCGGATATTCCGTCACCCGATCACCGAGCAAGAATTAGAGACCGTGTGGGAGGAGCAGACCCTACGACTATTGGTAAGGATTGGCGCGCGAATTTCCTAACCTCACTTAAACTATAATCCCGTCATTCCAGCTGGAACAGAGCACGGACTACGAGGAACGTCGCTACGTCAGAGCACGCCTGCGCCGAGTAATGGCGGAACAAGAAGGTATAACGAACATACACATCTCGAGCTAACACTTTGACACGCACACCTCTTAACCGTCACCACCACAGCACCACTTTATCCGTTCGTTGCAGCCTGCACCGCGCTCGTCGACGAGGCCGCCGCCTCCGTGGAGAAGCCCGCGACGCCCACCCCCGCCGCCGCCGCCGGACACATCGACGGTGAGTCCCAATTACTGCCCCTCCTGCAGGGGTTGCTCGTAGCGCCCGCTAACGACGTAACGCCCGACTCTGGGACGGAATCTGGTGAGGACCAGAGGTCCGGCCTCATAGCCGAGGTGCAGAACGCCTTAGAGAAACTCTCCAATTCGCTCAAAAGCGATCAGACCGATATAACGCCCGAGCGCAGAAGCTCCCTGCTGCAGTTGGTCTGCAAACTGCAGGCGGGTTTGAGCGGAGGCGGAGTTAGCGACCGTAGGTCGTCGACCACGACCTCAGGAGCCGGCAGGTTCCAAAAGAGGCGGAGCCGACAGACCAGACACACGGTGGGCGTGTCCAAGGAGGAGCTAGCCGACGCCAGGCGCCTGATCGAGGAGATCTCGCTGAACGAGTTGACCCCGTCGGGTTTGAGTAAGCAGAATAGCGAGAGCAGCGTGCCTACGAGCAGCGCGAGCTCCTCCTACAAGAACGTAGCCCAGGCCAAGGTCAAGAACGCGACCGCGAAACCTTTCAGTTCGTCCAATAGCTCGTCCTCCATACACACGCCCACCGAATTGGTCGAGGCATTCGAGCTCCTCTTCGGCGAAGAAGAAGATTCCAACACTGGCTTGAAGAAGAACCCGATCTACACGAAACCGTCGGAAGAGACGTCCACCAAGGCGCAGAGGTTCGACCCTCAAGGCCGCAGACTTAAAATGAAACGCGCCAACACCATAGACATACCCAAGCCCTTGTTTTATTACGAGGACGACGAAGAGTCGGAGGAAGAACGTGACTCGCGGGAGAAGCGAGACGGTTATCCCGCCCTGAAGGGACCCCTGGGCGTGAGCAACCCCAGCGGAAAAAAGATAGTGCCCGCGTTCGAGCCGAAGACGGAGTCGGACAAGAAGTTTCTCGCGTTCATCAACAAACACAACGACGCCGCTACCGACAAATCGTCTCCGTGGGCGGCGGGCGCCTCCTGGGGCAGCAGATTCGGTAACCTCAAGAGTAACTTCGAGCGGAACGAGAGCTTTTGGAGATCGTCGGACGACGACGCGCGTAAACCGACCCATTTCGGGCCGAAGATAAGCAGGAGAAGCGCGAGGAACCTGCAGGAGATGTTCGCGGAGAAGCAGAAGGAGAACTCGATCGTTACAGGATCGTTGACGGTGAGGAGCGAGCCCCAACCGGTCAATCAGTTCTCCCACGCTCCTCAGAGCGCTTTCAAACCGTTGCCCAAGAAGACGATGCCGGAGGGTGGTCAAATTGTCAAGAGCGAGATCAAACGCGACGAAGGTTCGGTGTTCTTGTACAGCCCAAGACCGCTGAGAACGTCAGGGTCCACCGGAAGTCCGTGTTCGTCGGTGACCTCGCCGACGGTCGCGAAACCTTGGACCGCCACGGCCGGTGGGAGCCGAGTCCTGAGCCTGGCGGTGGCAAAATTCGAGCAGCAGCCTCGGGTCGAGCCGCCGAAGCCTCAGAAACTCTTCGGCAGGGTCGCGGTACCTTCGGCACTGCAAGAGCCGTCCCGGCCTGCGCAGAAGCCGTACCACGCCGACGTTAAATCGAGTACCGTGCGAAAATTGAGCGGCCAGTACGACGAGTACCGACCTCAAACGTATCAGGTCAGCGCGAATGTCACTCAGAAGCATTACGTTCCGACCTACAGCAGACAAAACTCGAGCCCTTCCAACTACGTGCCTCAAAATTACACGATCCGGTACGACCAAGCGCAGCAGCGGCCTCAAAATAGGCAAATTTCGGCTCAGTCGCCACCGACTTGGTCCGCTCAACCTCAGCAGCAGCGGATTTATCAACACGTACCGGGTCAGCAGCCGGCCAAACCTCCATCACAATATCACAACTATACCGCTCCACCGATTCACCAACATTTAGGTCAGCAGGTGGCCAAACCTCCTTCACCAAGTCACAACTATACCGCTCCGCCGAATCACCAACAATTAGGTCAGCAGGTGGCCCAACCTCCATCACAAAGTCACAACTATGTCGCTACACCGAATCACCAACATTTAAGCCAGCACGTGGCTCAACCTCCATCTCAAAGTCACAATTACACCGCTCCACCGAATCACCAACAATTAAGTCGGCAGGTGGCCCAACTTCCATCACAATATCACAACAACGTTGCTCCGCCGAATGAGCAACAATTAGGTCAGCAGGTAGCCAAATCCCCAACCACCCAGACCTACTCCAGACTTGCTGGTGCCGAGCCACATGGGACGCCGGACTATCACTCCCAAGACGCTCAATTCACCTCCACGTTGATTTTCAAGCCTCAGAAAGCGGTCGAGCCTATGATGCAGCCCAAGCTCCAGACGCAAATATCGAACGAGAGCTTGCACGAGCACACAGCCGTGAGTAGCAAAGTGATGACCGGGCCAGTGAGCCAACAGGCGACCTTCGTCAAGCAGAAATCTCCGATGAGCAGGGAGCAGCATGACATCGAGGCTGCTTTTAACTTGAAGAACACCCTGCGCAACGTGAAGCCCGAGTACAAGAGTACCGGCCAGGACGCCAAGAGTTGCGGTGTAGTGAGGCCTATTATACAGCCACAGAAACCGCTGGAGAAACTGCAGATCGACGACAGGGGACGGTCGGTGGTCACCGGCCACTTCCACATACCCCTGATCAACGTGAAGTCGCCGGAGTCGCCACGCGCTCCGACTCACGCTCAGATACTGAGCAAGTCGGACTCGTGGCACCAGATCTGCCTCGCCAATCAGGGGGCGAAAACGGCCCCCAAAAGCGGTGCGACCGTGGTGAGGTCGAAATCGAGCCACACCCTGGCCGTGCCCAAGATGTTTGAAGCTGGCATGAGCAAGGAAGAGATGTCGGAGAAGCGCAAAGCGATGGAATCTTTCCTCGGTGGCGCGAAGAGCCCCCCGGGTAACACCAAAGTGGTGAAACGGAGCATCAACAGGGTAAAGACGGCGGAGAAGGTGTCCGTATCGTCCAGGGGCATCAGCCGGAGCAGGACGCTGCCGGACATAGTGTGTCCGGACTTGTTGGACGAATCCAAAGTGGACGAATCGTTCGAGGAGTTGTTCAAGACGTCGTGAGCGGGCAGGGGTCGGGGGAGGAAAACGTAACCGTTCCCCACTTTAAAAGTTCATTCCATGGTGTATATTTGTTTGTGTCACGTAGTATGTAGTAAAAGGAGCGCGTAGACGCAGAAGTTGTTTGTTTGAAGAGGACGCGGGAGAGCGTACACCCCCACACGTTCGAGGAGGAGGCGGAGGAGGAGGAGGAGCAGGGACGCTCGATAGGAGGGGTGAGAATGTGTGTGTGGGTGTACGCACTTTCTAACCGCCCCCAGAGACCGCCCCCTAAACAAATTGCTCGCTGGCAGTGTTTTTTAGATTTGAGCCGCCCGTGTTAACCGTTTTGCGACGCGCGCGGAGGGTGCGGAGTTCAAACCCGCGGTTGTAAGCCCCGCCCCTTCCGGCGTTGCGTCGTCTTTTGCGTTCCCTAACACGTTTTCCCCCGTTGGTCGCGCATGCCCGCTAACGCCACGCCCCCTTATTGGTTGCAGGACGGCAGGAGAACGCGTCGACCGCCCAACAGCCGCGGCCCAAACAGAAGCCGATGTCGCCGTTCGCCAAGTTCCGTCAACTGGACAAACAGAACAGCCTGGGCAAGGCGACTCCCCCGAGGTAAGATTCGCCCACGACCTCGTTGGTAATCCTCGCCCGTCCCCGCCCACAAGCCCCACCCCCGCGAATCGACGTATGTGTGACTCGACCCTTTGTTGTTGTTGTACCCCGCAGTACCCCCGGCACCCCGGGTATCGGCGGAGGCGGGCCCCTATTTAAATTCACCGATCCGGCCCTGTCCCAGTCCGCTAGCACGATTAAAGAGCGCCTCTTGCACTGGTGTCGGATGAAGACGAAGGAGTACGAGGTACGAAAAGTCTCTGAGCGTTTGTGTCGTTTGCGGTGTCTCTGTGTGGGAGGGGCACGTTGTGTGGCTCGGGGGCTTTCGGGGCTTTTCGCTGCGCACACTTTAGTTTTAGATCTTTAGATGAAAGGATGCTTTGCCGCATAGAGGGTGAACACGTAAATCGATATATGATCTGTTCATAGGGTGGTCATTAACATACATTGCAACAAGATTATTATTATTAATTAATTATTAATGATTAATTAAGGGCATAATCTTGTTGCATTGTATGTTAATGACAATATATATATTTAAAAACAATAAATCGAAATGTCCAAAATCCTAAAAATCAGGGGTCCACAGGTTGAAATGTGGATCTTGTCCTAAAATTTATATCGGACAAACAGGTAGATCCTTCAATAAATAAATAAAAACAATAGTCTAGATTCTAATTATGCTACACACTTAAACACAGAAAAACACATTTTTGACGACAATTTTGATATATTACACACAGCCACAAAAAGTAGAAAATTAAATTTATTAGAAGCCATGGAGATTAACAAAATGAGACATTCAAATGTATTGCTTAACGATCAGTTAGATTTAAGTTTAATTATTAATGATTAATTAAGGGCATAATCTTGTTGCATTGAATGTTAATGACAACCCTTGGATAATCCGTTCATTTTTCATTCATTCATATTTTACGAATGGTTTCGTGTACTTTTTTATTGGATTATTCATTACGTGAAAGTTCAAGAAAAATTACTCGCTTCAACAATAATCTTTTTATTCCACCAAGTTTTAGTCAATTGTTTCAACTCAAACAAGGGTTAACATTATTAATATTAAGTCCAAAAATATTTTTTTACACATAATAATATTTATTGCCAAAAATTCCTTTTGCATAAAAAATCTGTTTTTTTTTTATTTTGAATTTTATTTTCACATTTTATTTAGTTGATTGTGACACTTCTTATGTTTAACTTTTTTTTGAAGCGACATTGAGATTATCCAGTTCATTACGTAATTTATTAAAATGGTTTGCTGCATAACTTCTTTGTCCAATAAATAATACTTTTATTACGAATATTCATTTGATTTTCTTATATGCAAAAATTAATTCACTATATTGATACACTATAGAATTCACTACGAACGCTTATTTGATACTCAGCGGGGCATCTGCATCTTGTTCCTTTATTCAAATAATTTGAAGAATACACTTTTATGACTGCAAAGACAACAACTGCTTTCTTGTTAATATTTCCATATACTAAGGATTTGTTTTTTTACTGTATCAGCCACGTGAACATCCCATTCTGTATTATAGTCATAAGTTATGCCAAGATATTGACTACTGGTAAAGTCTGTTCATAGATATAAGAAAGAAAATATGGCCGAACAGGTCCGTACTTTGCTTGGAATTTGATTATTTGGGGATTTGTTAGGAAAGATACTAAAGAATATTTATTTATTTATGTATGTATTTATGTTTAAATCTAAAATAAAATTGCAAATTATTTTCATTACGTTCTTAAAATACTTAAAATTATTCACATAATATATCAGTATCACTATCGCTATCATCGCCGGTTCTAATTATTATTTTTTCTATATTATTTGCAATATGGATATACGATTGTTCTGCTTTTTCTATATGTTTGCCCAACTTTGTGGAGGGATGTTAAAAACTTCGGTTTCTATAAGTTTGACGACATTGGAGTTAAAAACATTGTTACGACGAATGGCAGATTTCAGTTGGTGCCAAACATGTTCAATGGGATTAAATATACAGTGGTAAGGTTTGTAGGTTCAAGCTTTGTAGAACCTTAATTAATTGCTTTTTGGTATAATCTTCGTGAAAATAAATGTCGTTATTATACATGTAGTTTTGGATTGTTGCTTTTGTGTCGCATGAGGAAGGGGTTTTAGTCAACTGTAGACTGTGACAACTTGCATTGTCCATTACAATGATGCTATTAGGAGGAATGTTTGGAACTAGTTTGTTTTTAAACCAACTTTCAAATAAATCAGCGGTGGTGTCTTCATGGTAATTCGGAGAAGAATCTTTAATATTTTTCGCAAGACAGAGAAAGTCCATTTGGAATTCAACCATCTTTAGAGCCAGCATGCAAAACAGTTATTCTTTTACCTCTTTCTGATGGAGCGTTTGTTTTACACTTATCAGTTGAGTCAACCCAACCATTTTCCGGGGTTTACCCAAGTAAATAATTGGTCTTTGTTGTAAATCCTAATTTTGTCTAGATATTCCAGTCGTCGTTTCCGAATTCTGTCAATTTTTTTAAATCTAAAACCCATGTATTGAATACACTTCCATAAGGTAGTTCTGCCACATTTAACACCGGTTTCATCTTTTTCAAGCTTCCTAACTAAGATATCTAATGTAGTCACGCTTTGTTCCTCGTATAACTGGTAAATTTTACGCCGTATTCTATCTTGATCACTTTCATCTACACTCGAGAAAATGTCAGCATCGCTTCTTCTTTTCCTCGCTGACATGCGATTATTCACAATTTTCGTCAATGTGGCCGTTTCTTCTAAAGATGCTTGGCACCACGTTCAATGAGAGTCAAATAAACATTGTTTATAACTTCCTTAGTCCCAATAAAATAGTGTTTTCTACACTAGACTCGCACATATTTTGCATAATTCGCACACGATTCAACACACGCTGTATTACATGCGAAATAAGAATGAATAAACTTAAACTAAGTATTGGGTTGTTCGGAAAGTCATTTCGTTTTTTTTGGGGAACATGAAAGACAGTTTTCGTGTTTTCGTATAATGAATAAATATTTTATTAAATTATATATTGGCCGTTCTGGTCCAACACCTTTTGCCATCTTTCTGGCAGTAACATAATTCCCCTCTCATAAAAGTTTTGGTCCTTGCTGGCAAAAAACTGGTTCAGGTGGTTTTTGACATCTTCATTTGAGGTAAAGGTTTCCAGAAAATTTTGCAGGGACCGGAACAAATAGTAGTCGGAAGGCGCCAGATCTGGAGAATATGGTGGATGTTGCAGTAAGTCCCATTCAAGCTGTAAAAGTTTTTGGCGAGTGACCAAACTTGTGTGAGGTCTCGCATTATCGTGGTGGAACACTACACCCTTCCTGTTGATTAATTCGGGCCTCTTCTCTTTAAGTGAATCATTCAATTTGTCCAGTTGATGACAATAGACTTCTGAATTAATCGTTGTATTGTCCGGCAAAAGCTCAAAAAAAACGATTCCTTTGACATCCCACCAAACGGAGAGCATCACCTTTTTTTGGTGAATGTTGGCTTTTGACACGCTTTGAGCCGGTTCATCTTTTCTGCTCCATGACCTCTTGCGTTTAACATTGTTGTATACAACCCATTTTTCGTCCCCAGTAATAATCCGCTTCAAAAAAGGATCATTTTCTTGACGTTTGAGGAGCGAATCACACACGTCAACGCGACGACACAAATTTCGCTCCTTAAGGACATGGGGCACCCACACATCGAGCTTCGAGGTTAAGCCCATGCCTTTCAAATGGCCATAAACAGTCGAATTCGACAAATTTAATCTCTCACCGATCTCTCGTGTGGTTATTCGCCGATATGCATCAACTAATGCCTTTATCGCATCTTTGTCAGCTTCGACCGGCCTTCCAGACCGTGGTGCATCTTTGACATCAAAATTGCCGGATCGAAATTTTGCAAACCAGTTCTGGCACCGGCGTACTGTTAACACGCCTTCTCCATACACATCCGTCAATTTTTTTCTCCCTTGGACAGCATTTTTACCTTTTCTGAAGTAAAAAAGTAAAATATGACGAAAATGCTGCTTATTGCTCTCCATATTTAAAAGGGCACCAACCAAAAACTACTGCGTAGAATTAATAGAACTTTTTCACACACAAGCCTTGCAATATTAGCTCTCAAGGCATATAATGGTTATTCGGCTTAAGTGTGAAGTTGGTTTCGAAAAAACGTAATTAAGTCCTCTGACGGGAAAAAACGAAATGACTTTCCGAACAACCTTATAGTATACCAAACCAAAGAATATTAAACACAGGTAGGTATAAAATTATTTTCTATTACGGACCACAATTTTACCTGAATTTAAATTCCGAAACTTTAGATAATAATCTTGTTCATTGTATGTTAATGACCACCCTTGGATAATCCCATTCAAAAGCAACTGGTCACTTTTCTTATATCTATGAACAGATCATAACTCCTTTCAGACTTTCACCAAAAAAAGACTTGTCTCTGTTGAGTACCAGTTCATTTTGATATTACCCAGTGTTGATGACATGGGTTGAAAGTTTGAGCCATGATTTTGCTTTTTTTGGTACTGCAGTACCATACGCATATGCTATTGAGATATCTTGCAAAACCAATATATCAATTATACATAAGATGTACAATATTGGTCCAACTATTGAACCCTGAAGAACTCCAACATTAGTTTTGGTTAGTCTATCTATTCTATTGATTGAAATCATTATGGCATTATGGCAACATAGAGTTTTATCTAAAAGTATCGGTTCTTTTTAAAATACTGTGATGAAACACTTACAAATCAACATTTCTTCTTTGAAGCAGAGTATAAAATCTTGAGCCATGCACAGTATGCGCGACGCTAGCCGATGATAATTTACTAGTAATAAGGAAAAACTGGAATATTTTATTTTACCCCTTCAATCAAAAGTAGTTGCAGTTTTGCTTACCTACATTTAATGTACTATTTCCGTGCACTTGGCTATTGACATCTAAACTCGGTTCAACAGGTGAAATTAAATCCCTACAGCCAGCCAACAATTTTGTATTACTAACACCAATTATTTGTTTCTCTAGTGTTCCTAACCTATCTCAATTTTGTTAGATAAATACGTGCTTAACGATAAGCTTTAGTCGCAAATGGCCAAAACTCGACTTTCCTAATAATAATTTTCACTCATTTCTCCATAATCTTATGGTTACATGGAGTGGTGAAAAACAAAATCAACCATGTTCTCTGGCCCATGAGTCAAATTCTCATTTAAGGCAACAGTTGTGACTTTACTATAAGATAATAAAACGGCACTAGGGAGTAAAGCGATTGTATTAAATTCCTTTCTTTTTGATTCGTAGAACGTTCAACTAGACAACTTCTCCAGCAGCTGGGCGGACGGGCTGGCCTTCTGCGCGCTGATACACCATTTCCTGCCCGAAGCTTTCGATTACCACGCCCTCACGCCCAAAGATCGTAGGCATAATTTCGAGCTCGCCTTCAGAATTGCCGAGTAAGTACATTTGCGACTGTTAAAGTAGTTCCCTGGCTGCAGCACTGATCATTTGCCGTTTAAAGCAGCAAGCAAACAACCACAAACGTCTTATGGCATTTAAACTAAAACAATGTAAAAAACTGTCAAATTCTCTGTTCAAAACTGGAATGCAAATGTTATGTTGTCCTATGAGTGGTAATATAACAAGTGCAAATTATAATAAATTAAGCAAAAATGTCGCAAATCGTCTACATAGCCTTTTCATCGCATAATTAAAAATGAAATCATCATTTCGTTATTGTTTAATAGTGAACACAACCTAGAAGGCAAGAATTCTTCTTCTTCTCTTTTTATTTGTGGCTTTGCAACACGAGATTTCTTGAATTGGGATATTGACATAACGGCAAAAATTACTATTCATTGGGCTAAGAATAAACCATATTTCGCACGTAGAAGCACAAAAAGTTATTTCAGTGATTGCGTAATGTTGCAGCGAAAAGGCCGACATTGCACCCCTTTTGGACGTGGAGGACATGCTCGAGACCCGAAAACCGGACTGGAAATGCGTGTTCACTTACGTCCAGTCCATCTACAGACGTTTCAAGGACGAAGACTGACGCGCCCTCGAAGGCCAAGCCCGTAGTAACGATGCGAAAGTTTTGCCGCGTTCCGCCGCCACTGTACGATGATTGCGCGGGGCGCGGCGAAGCGGTTTTCGCGAAAAATTAGTTTCTCCGTTGTGTTGTGTTTTCAACTTTCGACTATACTGTGATTTTATTTATTTAATTTTCTCACATACCAACGAAGCATTTTATCGGGATCTCCGCGCGTTTTCACAATTTTGTACGTTTTTCTACTCGCCCGGCTGCGTTTTCTTTTTACCGTCGTTTTTAATTAACAAAGTTTTTATTCCACGTGTTAACACTCTCGTTTGCGGAACAGACGCATACGTTCCTATATGCTTATTTATTTTTGTGGTTTACCTGGGATGTTGCTGAACGCGCTTGTCTAACAAACCTGGCCCGTAACGACAAGTCAATCAATAATCGCGGCCACTTTACGTGCCTTTTGTAATTTACCAGTACGGTTATTTTCTATAAATTATATATTTATATGGAAAATCTAACATATAATATATTACGTTTAACTTGGCAGCGTTCTTATTGATCTATTCCCATTCCAAATTGCGCCACCGGTCGAGAGATGGCGCTCTACGACTTGCGCGGGTTTAACTGAAAAAGAATCGGAGTACGCTCTGTTTTATTTCTTGCAGTATAAGCGCCCTGTTGTAACAGCGCTCGGAATCTAATACGGATCGATGCGAATGTTTCGACTACCGTCCGATAGATCGCGCAGTACAAAACCCGACTAAGCGTCAGCTGATTCGCATCTTGCGGGTGTTTGAATTCGAACATATCATTTTAGAATGGTCGAAAAGGCAGAAGATCTCGACAAAATATGTGACGTGCTGGACAGGCTAACTCTGGATGCGTTGACCATGATGCAGGAAGAGATAGAGTTGAAAATTAACGCGGAAAATGCGATGATCGGCGGCGAAATGCATTTAGTGAAATCGAGGTACATTTTAGGCCAGAATAACGTGTCGGCTTTGCAGCTGCCGAGCGAGAACGGTCACGAAGCGAGCGCTTTGGTGAAGGTTCACGAAACCGAGGACGAATTCGGTTTAAAACAGTTCGATTTAGAGTCGAACAAGCCTGACGAGACTCGGCCGAACCCGATCAGGTGGTTCGGTTATTTGACGCCCCAGAGTCTGAGTTACGCCCAAAATTTGTACCGGCAGGCATTGCAGTGGATCGTGCAGGCGGGCAACGTGCAGTTGAGGTTAACCGAAACCTGCGCCCAGATCGAGATACTGAAGAAACTCAAGAGAACCGTCCTCTTTGCGAAGTAGTCTTGTTACGTTTAATAAATCGTTTTTTGCGTTGGCTTTATTAATTGAGAGCGTAGAATATTTACCACGTAGTTCACAAAATGATAAGCATACACATTTTTAAATCTTCCAATTCAGTTAAATGGTATAATATGCCAAACGGTTCCCGTATACCAACTGTTATCGCTTGGACGTGTACACTAGGAGATTTTATACATCGCACAGCTTGATTTTCCATATTACTTGCAAAATATCTATAAAAGAAAAGCTGAAGTTACAAAGTCGATTAGGTTAAAAAGCAAACTTGAATTTCGTGCTGCCATCTAGCGTCCGCTGGTAAAATCAACCACACAGGACATCGTTTTCGTCCTTTCTTCTGCGGGTGTTATTGCAACTAAAAGTTAGATGCTGTTAAACGGCAATTACGCAGCTTCTGATTTGATTATACTCAATTAGCATGGCGTTATATTCGTCAATAAACGGGCACGCTTTTGAAATATCCCGTCAGGGATCATCACGAAAATTCACAGATCACCGCAACGTCGACGATTAAAAGTGGCGGTTATAAATCAAACAGTAATAATATGACGGTCATTGGTATAATTCGCGTGTCCTTTCGGCGAAACGAATTAAACAGTCTCGCACGATATCGCAGTTGTTAGCTTCTAGTCGCGGTTTCGGATTGCCGGCATGCAAACCCGACAATAGCGGAGCTCGGCGAAGTAATAAAGCTTTTATTTCGCGAATTCCAGACAGCGGTTCCGAAGATTTATGGCCCGGCACCGCCGCCGGGGGGGTGATAGATCATAATATCCTCCGCCGACGCCGTATTGTCAGCAGAAAAATCCGTCCAAATTACAAAATAGTTAGATTAACATTCGTATAAATCATCCTCGCTCGCGTCGGGTCGCATTTTAAGCTTCGATAGTTGAAGTTGGTTGTTTTTTGTTGGGCCGTCACGGATAGAAATATCTCCGCGTTCTGTCGTCTGTGACGATTTTAATTTTAATGATCACGGATAATAGATTTTGCTAATACCGTTTCGTGTGTGTGAATGCGATTTAAATCAAACCGCTCGCCGGCGAAAACGTCGATAGCGACTCCTGCGTATCGGAGAAAAAAAACGATTCGTCCACATCCCGTTGTAAACCGGGTCGTATTTTTGAAACGGAAACAAAAAGGCTCGGCGTTGTATTCGCGGGAAATTGTTTGCACGCGCCCACGGGCGTAGCGTACAGCTTTGGTCAGTCAAGGCACAGCGACTGGTTAACTGTAAACGAAATGGTGGCGATCAGGAGGCGCCGCCACTGTCGCGTGGCCATTAAAAAGCTCCCCGTGTCGCGCGTAAATCCGCCGTCGCGTTTAGATTTATTATTTTTAATCGTTTTGTTGGTTTTTGGCGGATCGCGGGCAATGAATCAAATATAATATTCGGCGTTTTGACGCGGCCGTCCGGGAGCCGTCAATGGTGCAACCGGCACGGTTCCACAATAATATCAAGAAAAAAGATAGGCAAAAGTCATCTGCACCCGAGCAAGAGACAGACTACTTAACTGTATTCTGTGTCGGTAAATCATAACCGTTCTTACTTAAGAATAGATTTAAAACTTCTGTTAGGGTTAATTTCTCCCATTTTTTAAGTCATATTTTGGTTGTAAATAAAAGTTTGTTAGGGAATTTGTTTGATGAGAGACAAAAAATAATAGTGTCTGTGACACTATTTGCGCCATTGTACCACTAGTTTGATAGAAATTTCGAACAATGTAATGTGAGGAAAGGTTAAGGTGGACGTGTTCGATAAGATCGAGGATTAATGAAAACGTGACTTATATATATCCTGTTTTGGCAATAGTGAATTAGTCTCGTAATTAGTGATTTGTTAAATGCAAAAACATTTATTTTTTGAGGTTTGAATTTATGAGGTTGGCTGAAACAGTTTCATTCATATTTCAATTTATTAAACCACGGCAATAATTTGTGTGTATTTGGTTTTATTTCTGGATTCTATGTGTCGTTACAAATTTTTGTTTTGGTGTTGTTGATTTTGAGATTTAGATTTTTTCGAAAGTATATCTTATTCAGTGCTGCTGATTTAACATGTGTTAAAAATACATCGGGCTTGATGAGGGTGCTTTAGTCTTTTAAACTGCTAAAGAATACCTTTTCCGCACACTTGTGTGAAGTACTATTATCATTAAATATTTAAGTAATGTCTACTGTAAACTATTTCCAAAGTGTAAGTCCCTCTATTTGCACAGATCGTACTAGGTATTTATTTTTTTATGTGTATTTTTCCTGCCTAGCGCTACCTTTTTCTTAGTGTAGGTTTAAAAACGGAGGCTCAAAATATCTTATTTTGTTCATCTGAACCGTGTCCTTTTCATTGTATATTAATACGTGATTAAAATTGTTATTATTAATTTTATTATTATTATTATTATTAAAGTGAAAACGTCTTTGTACCTAGTACCTACTACATCTGAAGAACGACAGGAGCAAAAAGAACCTGCTCAACGAAAGGACTTAATTCTAACTACAAGATTTGCCATGAAAGAAACCATCTCTTGCTAGCCTAGTCTTTGTTCGAGGTTCAGTTGGTTAGTGCAATTTAATTGCATCGCAGCTCTTTTTTGCGTTATGCTATAAATATGGTTTTTGTATGTGTTTCTTTACCTTTGAATATGCAAATATTTTATTATTATTATGTTAATACACCTAGGGGTATGCTGACCGGATGATCTACAACAGTTCTGGTAATTAGAAGTTAAAAGTAGTAGTAGTTTTTACAAAAGACCACTGTTATCTGTTCCTCTCAATGGAAGACATCGATAATCTAAGCACTGGAGCCTCCCCTTTAAACAAACAGATTAACAAAGGACGCCATACTTTCGCGACGGGGCAGCTCCTAACCACTCCGATCGGATTATTCTCAGCTCGTATTTGGTTTGGCAACCGACCAAGTCGCGGTTGGCCGTTTGTTTATATAATTCGCTCGTATTTAGGCGTCGAATTTCGGTCCACGGTTATCCGTTCGCTATAGCAAAAAAGAACAAGGCGATTTCTACCAATGGCCGCCGTAACCCCAAAAGTTAATCCGGAGTTTTAACCGGGCCTTGTCGAACTTTGGAATTGTCGTCTTGATGCGGGGCGGTTTTTTAAATCCGACTCGACGGACAAGAACAACACGGAGAACAAACCGACGTACGTCAAACCCACGGATCGGAAAATCGTCGTTACTTTAAAACTTCCATTTTAAAACTTCGGGAGGAAACATTTTTCTAAATATCAACTTGAATCAATTCGACACCCAGCGCGTAACGACTTACGTATTACGTATTCAATTAGCGTGTGTCGTTCGTAGATCAAACGGCAGCTTTACGCAGGCAATTACGGTTCATTTAAGTGAATATTCACGCGGGCTCCAAACGTTGTCTTCCGGGGGTTCGATCCAGCATTAATCGGGCTAAATACGACGACCCTTTCCCGGTCTATTAAATAATTAATCGCTGGTGAGGGCGGCGATTCACTGCTGAAACACAGTAAAAAAGAAGAATTATTTGTATTATTTTCATATTTAAAAGTATTTTAGTTTATCACAACGTATTTCATTTGCTGTTTGTAAATTCGTACACATTCTTCGGCTTCATTACGTTCTGCTGAGTTGGCCACATTTGCAAAGGCCACTCGCCCATTATAGGGTCATGTTTTACAAAGTAGAGTAACGTAGCAAAGGTCACTCGCCCATCCTAGAAACAAATCAAATCATACCAAGTTTATTTCCATAGACATGATTTCAGATATCGGACAATATCCAAAATATAAACAATAAATTACAAATATTAAACATTGAAATAATATAGACATATAAAAAGCAGAAATATAACTAGTCACCATTTTTATGCTTTACTGCTTGACTTCTATCAGTCCAACCAACCAAGCAAGCGAATTTACCGAGAACATGTGAACAACAATAGGGTGGTAAAAGCCTTCTCTAAAGCCAATCCTCCTTCATTAGACTAGAAGTGGCTTAGGAGTAACTATTTACAAGTTACACAAAAATTCTCTGTATATGGTGATAGAAATACTAGTTTTGGTTAGATATGATTAAAGCAAGTAAGGTAAATATCTGCTTCGGCTTCTTAATAAAATTACCCTTACCATTGGTCCTTAACAATGGTAGAAAATTATTATTGTCATAATTATTAGTGTATCTCTGGTAACACCCCCGAGAAAGACCATTTTTAAAAGTATTTCTTAATTGTTAAAAATTATGAAAAATCATTTATAACAAGTTTTAGTTTTGCATTTATTTTTATATCTCCCAAAATAAAAGTTTTCAATTCAGACAAAATCAAATAAAAGTAAAATTACCACTATTTCAATATAAAACTTTTATTTGATAAGATTAAACGAAACAGTTATAAGTTGTCGGATGGAATTGACATAATGCTTGATTTAAAGCAACTGTGGAAACTCCCTATAACGAAACCCTGTATAACGCAAAACTCGGTATTACGAACAAAATTTGTTGTACTACTAGGTCTCCATACAAAGCTATGTATCCACTGTATCCACGATTTGGAAGTGCAAAGAAAGAATCATTCAGGCTGAAGCCACAGGCAGTTCTAGTACAAAACTAAAAAAGCCAAAATTTGAAGATCTGGATAGGGCAGCAGCAACATGGATGGATGGATTAAAAACCTTTTAATTCAAATGATGATTTTAAGGCAAATTTTCCATTAATATGCTAGATGCAGTCAACTTTAGTAGTAAAGCTTGGAAAGAGGTGACAGCGGAAACAATTCAACACTCCTATCATCATGCAGGACTTATTACCGAGACGGAATCCGAATAGGACTTGGAAGATCAGCCGCTCAGCGAGTGGATAAAGCAGTTTCAAATAACAATTACGTTTACAAGTGAGGAGTTGCAAGATTTTATGGTGATAGACCAGGATTTGCCTACAACAGCAGACTTGATAGAGGAAGCCATATTACAACAAACAAGAAAGGGTGAGGAAGAGCATCAGGAGGAAGAAGAAGATGAAGAAGTTGAT